ATGCTTCCCAAATATTTGAAATCTGAACAGACCATCAGAACCTCTGTTACTTTCAGTCACCTCAGAAGCTGAACCAATGACAGGCCCAATAGGTCATAGAACTCATGGAATACCAGTACACTCTCCATCACAAGATGAGAACCACCAATAAAAAGACAGACCTGCTCAGTCAAAGACCTAATCACAATCAGAGAAAAGAGAATAACAACAAAGTCATCCTACTAAAGCCTAAACACTTCTGAATAATGATCATGCCCACTGAAGAAGAAGCCTATAAATATATCAAAAGTGTGACTCACTGAGTAGATCTATAGGATCAAAAAATTACACTATCTGTCAACTATGACTGAGAAATAGTCAAAGAAGGAGACCTTATATACTACAGTGGGCAGATCTATATGCTCTGAGACCATATACTTCATAGAAAAATCATTATCTGACACCATGATCACATTATAATAGGATACTCTGGAATTGCCAAAATACAGAAATTGATACTATAGAAGTACTGGTAGCCAAAAATGAAAAAGGATATCAAAGCATACATTAGAGCATGCAAGATCTGTCAAAGGACAAAATCTGCTATGATGGCCAAGGCCACCCTGCTTCACCTAAACAAAGTCCACTCCAAACCCTGAACCCATATCTCTGTTGATATAATCATCAGCCTTCTCAAATACAATAGTTACAACACTATCATCATCATTGTAGATCAATTTTCCAAAGTAATCATCTCAGTTGCATGCTCCACTGAGCTATCATCAGAAGGATAAGCAAAAATCCTCAGAGATGAGGTATATGCCAAGTATGGCATGCCCCAAGTAGTCATCTCAGACTGGAGCCTCCAGTTTGTATTAAAATTTATGACAGATCTCTATCAACTTCTCCATATTCAAAGCAATGCATTGATAGCCTATCACCCCCAGACTGATGGACAGACAGAACAGATCAACCAGAAGATAGAGAAGTATCTGTGAATATTGATTAACTACCAACAACATGATTAGACTGAGTGACTCACATTTTCCACATTCTAGCACAACAACTAAGTACATCCAGCTATGGAAAATTCTCTCTTCTTTGTCAACTACAGACAACACCCACTGGTCACAGCATCAGACAGACACAAAACTCAAACTCCACTGTCACAATCTTTTGTGAAACAGATGACACAGATCCATCAGGAAATTCACATAGCCCTTGAAAAGGCAGTGGCCACTATAAAAAGCCCAATATAACAAGCACTGCTGCTCTGCTGAAGAGTATGCAACTGGTGACAAGGTCTGGCTTGATACTATCAACCTTCACCTCCTCCAATCCAAATGAAAACCTGCTGACAAATAAATAGACCCCTTTATAGTATTGACCAAAGTCAGACTCACCACCTATAAACTCAAACTCTCTGATAGCTGGTGAGTACACCTCATATTCAATGAGTCTCTCCTATTATCATATATGCCACTCATATTCCCAAATCAGAAAAAACCACTGCCTCTGAGAGCAGTCTTAGTTAATAGAAAGGAACACTATAAGGTCAAAAAAATTCTATATCACTAGCTTCATAAAACATGTGAATGACAGAGACTAAATCCTTGAATATGGTTAATTACTTAGTTAAATAGAAGGGGTATAGGCATAAGTCTAACAAGTGGATGAATGAAAAGAACATAGATGCAGACTATGCTATTATCAACTATAAGGCCTCCATAACATAGCCATCAAGACAACAGTCTTAAAGAGGGAGTAATGTTATGATTTTTATGCTTATCTTATCTTATCTCTGATGTCTATCTCAATTATCTTATTACAGGTGCCTATTGTATCAGCTTATATAATGGGCCAGTTACTATGACTATATCAGACAACATACACAATTGTACTATAACTCACAACAAATGCCTTGCCAATGGATAATATCTATTGTTTCATGCATAAATACCATGCTCTTTAGTTCCAGCTCACAGACAGATATAATAAGTAGATACTATATTTAACATGTTCAAAATCATATATAAGTAATATAGCTCTTGTTGTAGTAGACTCAGCTTCAAGCTAAAGTTTATATATACTACTCCTCTCTCAAGCCTACTTGCAAGCACTTTGATCCCACCAGATCAAACACATTCAGTAGACTCTATCATGACTGTACAAATCTGATACAGCACTAGTTTATCATGTGTTTGGTCCATATAACAAGCAGGTCTAACACTGCTCCTCTCAACTCCATGTGTGTCAACTCCAGAAAACCCTCAAAGGCACAGATCCAGTGGGAAGTTATCCTCTCAGAATCTCTAGCATCATAGCTTTTGATAACACAATCTTTAAGTGATAACAAACATCTCTGGAGAGCATCCAATATGTTCATGTCTGTGCTTGAGGGAAAGATGAAGCTTTCACCAGCATTCTGCCTGGGCAGTCAAGTATCTCCAGCTGGACACTTGAAACTTTTCCATTAAATAGTCAGTACAAAGAAAACACATCATGATTTTCAGCTTATGCTGATTTGATAGAGATAGTGCTGCTACAAGCAATCTTCATGCATCTTTGCATCATTCCTATATAATCAAGCAGGAGTTTTGTCCATATTCCTGGACAGAGTTGTGGTGGTGGACCACCACAACTTGCAGACTTTGCCAATGACCCATTGATATGCATTGTATCAGGCTAGCCCTAAAATTTGTGAATTTTAAACAATATATTTGTATAAGCTGAAGTCTGTATGGCTAGCAATTTAAGGGCTATAGCTGAGGCTCTGAGCTGATAGCCATGCTATGCTAAGAAGGCTAAGGATCAATGTGGACTTAGCTAAAACAACTTTGCACTGGGTTAATAATCTTGAAGTCAAGACTGGACTTAGAGGGATAACACCATCATGGTAAAATATCAAGTCAATTTGGACTTAGAAATGGTACCATGTTTGGGCCAATTCTAAATGCCATCAGGGCTGGTAGACCATAGTCTAACTCAGGAGTTTATTACTATGACTAGCAGTGAAGTACATCCAGCTAGCACCCAAACCAGGAGTAAAAGCAAAGTGAAACTTATTAGCCCACAGCTAGCACATCCAGTCTGATGCAAAATGCATGTGGTGAGGATTTCTCAGGCATGAATAATTAAAGAGGCACATAGTTCAGAGGATGAGCCACAACCAGGGAGCTCAGCTGCCTCAGATCACTATGATCAATCAATCATGATCAATAAGTGAGTCCAGAAGTAACAAGCAGAACCATAGGATGATTAATTATATAGTAAATATTCATGGGCTATAGAAATAGAGAGCCAGGAGCATCCTGGATCACCTGAAAAGGATATACAAGATATGCCAAGGCAAGATAATGACTTAATTTTAGGGCTAGCCAAGCAAAATAAGTAACCAAACTAAATTATTTATAGATTTTATATCAGTTAGTTATGTATAAAAGCAGGATGAGGGGGAATCATGTGGCAGGCAACCCACCCCCTGTAATTTAAGTGTTCTAGCTCTCAGTAGTTAGTCTCTATACCAGTGGTTTTGTGTGTAACCTTGATTTGGATAGCTATTGTTACTAAGTCACCTGTATTGAATAAGAGTTGAAGTCTTTACCAGACTTTGGGTTTTGGCTTAATAAGAGTTTTGGCATCTGAGTATCAGTTCTCTTGTTTCAAGGACTGCTAGCTAGCCAAGGTGCAGCTAGCCAAGTTTCAGTGCTTGAGAGACTTGGTATTGGGTTTCAGAGTTTTCTAAGTTAAGCTGGACACTATAGCTCTGCATTTTAAGTCTCAATTCACATACCATGTCTTATCCCTATCACCCTTGTGAGTATTTCATCTTAGGATACAAGCTAGCTTTGAATAAACTGCCTTTACATCTTCATATTTGATTTATCTGAGTCTGTAGAATGCTTCTATCATACTCAAACCACCCAAACTCACCCATATTGGTGATCATGCATTGAGTGGTTAGGTGTTGGTGTTTGAGAGCTCATTCCTCATTTGCCTCTCTTAGTCACTTAGCCATTATCCAGCACATCACCATGCTGCATTGTTGGTGTCAAAAATGTTGATGGGACTGCTAACCACATAGAGAAAGATACTGGCCAGAATTTTGAGGGGAAGGATGCTTATGGGGTCCATGGGAGATAAAACTGCTCAGTGAATGTATTTGGCCTCATGCAATAGGCAGCACTTCTCCATGAGTTGATGAAGTGCATCATTTAAATAAGAAATATCTGCATCAATCCAGGCAAGATCATGGTTGATGGACACCTCTGACTCTTTCAAGATTGACTTGTTCCTTTCATCAAAAAGACCATTGTACACATGACAGTGGGAGAACATCTGATGAAAGTCCATTGTATTTTGATATGACTTTTTGAAGTATAGGCAAGACATCAATATTCTCATACATGATCTACATAAATGAAACTGAGTAATCAAACTACAAGTCATTCCCTGCCACTCACAGAAATCATACTATTCATTTTTGTGAGAACTATTGAAAACCAAAGATAGTAAAAAAAACTTTTGTAGCCACCAGTGAGTCATGACTGGAGTATGCTGTCTTTGTTGCTCCTTGTACTCAAGGACTCTACAACAGAATATAATTTGTTGCAAGAAAGACAGTAAAACAAATCAAACTCACCCATACTCTAGCATGTGGAGTGCAAGTGGTAACTTGGAAGAAGTTGAATGGTATGAGCCAAACTGTTCCTATTTTGATTCCCACACCACAGATCCACTTGCCTGCATTTAATTTAAGTTAATAAATATACTCTACGTGGGTCACCTTCCAATTCAAAGTGAGAGACGGAGAGTCTTTCAGGACAAGACTCAAGGAATAGCATCATCTATAACCATGTTGGTACTTTAGTCAAAGTACTAGTGACTCTAATCATCCATATATAATTTCCCGCCCGTTCCGCTTTCCGAGTCGCCTTTTTCCAACCGCTCAGCATCATCTTTCATTTAGTTGCGCACTACTTGAGGCAACTCCTATGAAAGGGAATCATATTTTAATGACTCGCAGATGTAAGGACAGCCAGATTATACATAAACGTGTCTTTCTTCGTCGATGTCGGAGCCACAAGAACTGATGACCACATCAAAACCCTCCATCTTCATAGTTCTCAGCCGTTCAAAATCATCTTCACCTAAATTACAAAACCCCTCATCCGGCACCGTAGCAGTGAGATGGAACTTTTGCAGGGACAACCCGAGGCGTGCCACCATCATGTCTACCATCTTACGGCTGGCACAATGAACGTCGGTCTCGCTGAAGAGGGTCAGTTCAAGAACAACGTCCTTCAGATGGGGGACGAGTGCCTGCGAATCGGACAATCTGCGGAAGAGAATCTTCAAGATATCGTCATTTTGAGCGGACCATTCATGAGTCTGATAATAGAAAGAGACAAGAGCGGGGCTTAATTCGAAAATTCGAAGGAGATTTTCTGGGTGGAGAATGATATCAGATATCTGCAGTGTGGTCAGAGTGTTGCAATGGGACTGAATCAGCAGGTCCTGGAAAGAGGCGAGGCAGTCGATGGGATTCACCCAACAGTCGTTGAACAGGGCGACATCCGTGAGTTGTGGAAGCGAGAGGCTGCGGATAAGAGAGTTGTCGCAGACTGTCAATTCTGATAACGAAGGTTTGGTGATACGTGGGAAGACAGTCCGGCCTGCAGGACAACGGTAAGGGGCATAGAAGACCTTCAAGTTGGGCGAATCTTGGAGGAGCTTTAGATGATGGTCATGGATTGACGCGGACGCTGACCAGACGTCCCTGTCGTCGACAAAGAGCTCAAGGTTGGCAGATGTAATGTGAAAGAGGGTATTGAGATCTAGACCGAACACTTTTATCTTCTTGAGTGCGGGTGTATAATCGAAGGCATCGATGAAATCTAAGCCTTCGCAAGAATATTCCAGATGACATTCTTCAAGCCTCCCGAGGCGCCCGCGGACATGGGAAAGGTACCCCACCTCTTGTAGACCAATACTGGTAAGATAGATATTCGTCCAGCGTTCGGCGGTGGCAATCAGCTCTTCCCACATTGTCGATCCAATAGACGAGGTCACTCTAATGTCTAGCCTGTGCTGACGTGAGCGAGACAACACCATCCGGAGCAATGCCATAGGGTCTTTCTTACGCACGCACTGGTCATCGGAAGAACGAATCTCTATCCTTGACCATAGGCCAGGACACATAAAAATGCACACAGATCTCCACGACCTGGACACTTGCCCGATGACCCAAGGTTCGCTGCCCGCATTGAAGATATCACTGAAGAAGCCAGCGGTGTACAAGAATATCTCCCTGAGAATTTCAGGGGGAATGCGACGGATGAGAAGTAATGGTACACGATGGTCGTATTCAATCTCTTCCAAGAGTGCAAGTCTATTGTGGAGTTGACGACAAGTGTCGCGACTGAGCACGTCCGCGTCGCCGTAGGATAAGCGATCGAGGTCGGCGACGATCCGGCGAATGTCGTTTTGGACGTGGAACAATGATCCTTTCAGAATGCCGACCTCCATTGGATTTGGAACGTCGTTGGTCCGGAGAAGAGCGAGCAAGGTGCGTGGGCGCTGATACGACGAAAGATCGTCGTATTTAGAGAGAACCATTTGTTCGAACGTGGATGGTGCATGGTATTGCTGCATATAAATAAGAAATTAGTGGTGGAAAATTGGACCGACGTCTCTACATACGTTGGAGAGATTATGGCTGCTTGTCGTCATACTGAATTGTTGACCAGTCGGCGGGTTAGGAACTTAGGATAACGAGCGCGTTTCGAGAACTCTCTGAGGGGCGCTGAAGCAGGGAATGATAGGCCACCACATTGCGATGCAAGCCACTTTTAAAGGGCTAGACAGGACAATGGGTTTCCAAACAAGAATGCTGAACGATTTAATGTAAAGGGACACTTCGGAAGTTTCCGGGTGGCCTTGTCTTCCGAATTGCCAATTGCCCTTCTGTTTAGAATTCAACCTCACCCAATGCCACTGTCGTCTAGGACCGGTTTATCAAGCCTTTATTCAGGACCCAACTTTGCGAAGAAAACGAAGAATGCGGACTGGCTGCAATACACTGTATCGTTATTCACTGGCCCTGAAAGACTTTGACATACTGGCATATCCCAGAGAGATGCCTATACTGTTGGAGGATATCCGTTTTATACCCTCTTTTCGTCGCTCGTTCCTACTTACCATATATGTACATGCCTCCTGTCATTACTCGATCACCTATATAGCCTGGCTGTAGATACCCGTATACCTCAGTTGTTTCGCCTACACTGTGCCCGACTGAGACTATCACTTATAATCTTCTGCCAATATATACTCCTTGGTTGATCCTTAGTACTTTTGTCAGGGTGGAGACTGTTCAAACTTTAATGTCCATTGTTCAGCGTTCATGACTTGGAAACTACAGAGACAAAAACAGCTTCTACTTGGACGCTGTACCATAGAAAAAGTATCCTCTAACACTTAGCTTACAGGCATTTTGGAATGTGAGCAGGGGGTCGTCCATCCCTCCCATTGCAAATTGCAGACATACATCCAGAAGAGAACAACTAATACGAGCTGAAAAGACCACCTTCGATTTATGGGACACTGTCATGATCCACGACACTCGGAATTCGGAGGGCGGGGGTTATGAGATACTTTGCACATTTCTCTGAGAAAGGGAGGTAACTGAGCTGACGGAGGTGGCGTAAAGTTACGGGGACGAGCCGTGGCTTGTCAGAAGACTCTGTCCAGTCGTTTTCGCCAGTGGACTGCACTCCAAGCTCCTCTGGACGGATCGCCACGGAAACAAAGTTGTAGAATTCCACGGCCGTCGCTGAAGGAACCTGTAAACTGGCGTAGGTTCGATGCCGGGAACATGCTGGGTGAAACTCGACCCCTGCAGTGAAGACCCAGTGACGTGAGTTTGGGAGCATCAAAAGCCGCGTCGATTGGGAGAGGTTTCGAAAAGCTCCTGAAAACTTCCGTGATTGAGGTCCTGTGGCCCGAACCAAACTTGACACCATCGGTTGGAATGTGAAACCACTTCACTGATAATGGCTTCGCCAGGAACATCGCCATCCTATATCGACGACGACCAACTTCAACGATGCATTCTAGGACAGACGAAGCTGTAGCCTGACAATGTCGAGGTCATGAGACGGGAGGTAGGTCACACAGCTCCGACTGCGGGCGGGGGGGCTTGACGGTTGACCTAAGTGCTGGGGAAGATGAAGCAACGAGTCTCCACCAATGACAGGCGTGAAGAAATATCCATGGCGCTTTCTCACTGAAATTGTAGTCCGATACCCCGTCGCATGCATAGGAGAGTATGATGAGCAGTACGTCACAATTAAGACGTCGAAGAGGAGACATCAACGACCGTTTAGCGGCCAGATTATTCACAATCTTGTCACGTTCCTCGCGAGCACGAGATGCTAGTATGTCGAGATGCTTTAGATACTGGTTCAAATCAGAGATGGCTTTTTGCATGTCAATAGTGATGTCTTGAATAATTGAGCTTGAGTCGATATCGAGGGTTTATTTCCCTGAGCGAAGGCACTCGAAGACATCCTGACCCTGAAGTCGGTCAGGACGAGGAGTCGGTGATGCGCTTTCGTGGGATCCGCAGTGCAAACACTGTTTCGAGTCATACCCCCTGCGTACGCTAATAGCCATGAGACTGGGAATTGGGACGCAGCTTGCTGGTAAATTTATCCGTTACAGGATGAAACAAAGAAGAGATTCGCTATGAATCAGTGAGACGGGGGGGCTCCAGCTGAACACAGCACAGCGTCCGGTATTTGCCGATCCATCTTTCCCCTTTGCCTCCATGATCCTCTTCATTTCATCCCCCATTTGCTTCAATCTTCTAGATCGACACAAACATATGATTACCCCGTGTACTAATGTGTCCTTGATAGAATGATCACCGCGTTCATCATTCTCTGCTGTGGTTCCATTTTTTTGAAGCTCGCAGCAAGTGTTTCCTCGGAAGTCTGAAGACATCGTACACTACTTGGTGGAATATACCTCAATCAGAAAAACAAGGTATGTTTGTTTGCCCTTGATCAAGCTTTGGTATTTTATCCTCCGCCTGTTGCGTTAGATCTCCTCACCGGCGGTGCTCAGAGATTACGAAACGGCGAAGAATATACAAAGTTAACCGAAGCGCTGCTCTACGGACGTAGTTGATATGGCCCGGACTCTTTCGTCAACTAGCGGTAACAGCACCCTCTCGACCCAGGCAACCTGCCTTGCTTTTCCCTCATGCAAGCCAAACCGCCGGTGCCGGCTGCAATAGGCCACCATGTATGGCTTCCTCCACGACTTGCATCCTGTATATCGTACCTCCTTATGGCCTATTCAGACCGACAAACGCATTTCTACAGGAGGGTGCTCACTGTAATGCCACAATCCGCGTCGAGTTACTTCTGTGCTTGGTGTCGGCGGCATGTCAACACCGGCTGACAGAGTCTCGATAAGCGAGCGGACCTCGATGAACATGCGTGGACCAAGGGACCTTATCTAGACAGGTGTGCCAGCGGGTCTCCGTCCATTCTCGCCCATTCCCAAGCTATAGAATCCTTGTTCGTGTAAAAAAAGACTTCGTCTCCGATGCGCTAATGTAGGAAAAATGATGAATGTTAAGAATAGTCGTGCAAGTTTCGAGGTCTGATGCCAAAGAACAGGGTAACCAGAACTTCTGAAACGCGCGCCCGTTCTCGCTTGCACAAAGTGACATACGAGGGACGCAGCAGCGTGAAGTTGTGGTTGTCTAGCATCAAGATCTGGTCCGTGATATTATCTTGTTTCGTGGCAATGATCTCATCTGGCTTCGAATATATAGATCCCTCGAGATTGCTCGGATGCGCGTCCAGCACGAATCCAACTCACCTCGTCCGAATTGCCCTGGGGGTCAGTATCAAGTGATTTCGACAGCGTTCCGGGCTAGAAGCGAAGAATTGTGATATTTCTCTGTGATATGAGTTTCTGATCCCGTTAGGACGGATGGTTGGAGGGCGACGACTTGATCAGATTCATATGCGGTGCACACATCTAACATGCGGATGAGAATGCGCTTCCCACGCACGCCGCCCGATCTATATTGACCAGAAAATCTCGGTATGTCACCGTGTTCAGGGACGTCTAGAAGTAAGCAACACTTAACTGTAGCAGACGATACGTGAACTTTTTGCTTGGCGATCATGTAATACCGTGGGATTAGCTAATATGTGTCTAAGAACCATAGTTGCTGTTAGATGAAAGGGGTCGTGCTGTTCGCCGCGGTTATCAACATCATATGGCGGCATATACTTGCTTCCATCGTACGAGAACCTAGAGCCTACATTCGGTCAAATCCACACCATCGGCCGAGGAATCATCGGAGAAGGAAACCGGAGTGTGGATACGGAAGCAACAAGCTAAGGAGAAGAGAAGGGGTATAGATTCAAAGGAAGTTTAACTGGGGAACCAATAAGAGGCTTCATAGGCAGCCTGACAGTCTTCTGACTTGACGTTATGAATTGACGAAGAATCGAGACCGAGCCTCGTCGGGAGGACTTTTAGCATGAGGCCGGACCGCAGAAGCCGAACTCGTCTCGAGTCATTTAGACCGTCTAGGCACATGTCTCTCTTATAAGAGTGGATTCATCATAACATGTCCAATATTTTCACCCATCTACTGCCCTGGCACTGTGGCAGTGTACCCGGGGATTGCTTACCTTGTGTTACCTGGGGAAGCCTTCACATTCAATCGTGCAAGTACTTGAACTGAGGGGGCAAATTTTTTCTAAAGCTCAACTCTTAATTAATGGCCACCAATACGGTATCAAGCGGATGCATACCTTTCCCCTCAGTGCCACAATCGGGCAAATTTGCCTTTGCACGTCTTTGCAGTGACCGCGAGGTCTACCTCGTACAATTGACCGGTACGTGGCTCGGATGTCTCAGGATTGAGTCGCGCGTCTTACGGGTTGGCTTTCGTAGAGGAATCTTGTCGTTCCCTTTGTGGCGACCTTTCATGTCCCCAGAATGCCCCCAATGCCTGTTTCACGAATGATACCCAAAATGCGTCGATAACGCTACGCCTATTTCGTCATGAATTCATTTCTATTTTCCGTCTTGCGGGGAGCAAGACTGTACGCCTGTCGGATATCCGTATTTTGGAGGTCATAGATGATGCGGCAAAAAGATATGAGGAGGAGCAAGGGGTGGTGTTCCTGGCGAGAGGGCTGGTTAGCGGGATGCGGCGCTGATCGTAACGACGCGTTTTTTTGACGGGATTTATGGTTGAGGAGCAGCGTTGAGTGACAGGACCGAGTTGTGGAGGAGCGCTGGCATATTGGACTGCTGGATCATCTGCGGAGCTGTCGGCAAACCTTGAACATCACTTATGCTATTATAATTATAATTATTTCGTCCTCGATGCTGATACGTACGCTAGATATTCTTGTCGTTTGTCTTGTACAATTCGACAGGATACGATATGACGTTGTTTGAATCCAACTTGTCGTTGGTTAAGCGCAAGTTGAGCCCTCACTAACAGGTATGGGTGTACCTGCAGTTCAAGCTGGGATTCAGCGGTCTTTCCGCTACACTGCGTTGTTCGGCGCGTTAAACGCGTCGTCGTCGTAAGGCAACTTGGTTCAATACCAAATAAAACCCAACAAAATGCGTCTCGCGGCAAATAGTTTCGGGATTTGTCGGTTTTTCAAGTGACGACGTCACGTCTTTCATTACGATCCGAAAAGCCGAACGCAACCTTTCCCTGCAACACCCAAGATGAGTGCAGATTTGCCCAACGATATTGTTCTGATAGCCGAACTTCCAGGTCTTTCATCTCTTTTTTTCTAGCATAGACATTGCTGATTTGATGGGGACAGGTCACGAAGATCGCGCCTGGCATGTTGCTTGGAATCCTACCAAACCCATCCTTGCATCATGTTCCAGCGACAAAACCGTTCGGCTGTATGGATACGCTGACAAGTTCACATTCCTCACATCAATACCAACGGGGCACACAAAGACCGTGCGCGCCATCGCCTGGGCTCCGTCAGGCAATACACTCGCGACGGCGTCGTTTGATTCAAATGTCGGGATATGGGAGCGGGAGGACGGGGACGAGTGGGAGTGCGTGAGCCTGTTAGAGGGACACGAGACGGAATGTAAAAGTGTCGGGTATTCCTCTACAGGGACGCTGTTAGCGAGCTGTAGTCGGGACAAGTCTGTTTGGGTCTGGGAAGGTGCGTCGTTGTCTGCCCAAATGTGCCCGACTTATCATGCCACCTCCTTCACCCTACTCATATTTACCCTCTAGTCCAGCCAGACGCCGACTTTGAATGTCTGGGCGTCATCATGGAACACTCTCAAGACGTCAAGTGCGTAGCTTGGCATCCCACCGAAGAGGTCGTTCTGCATCCCTAACCGGACCCATGTCGGTTGACCATTCACTCGTGCAGATTCTCGCCTCTGGATCATACGACGACACGATCAAGCTCTACGTGGATGACCCAGAAGACGATTGGTTCTGCTGCACGACGCTTACGGGCCATAAGTCGACAGTCTGGGCGTTGGCGTGGTCCCCAGAAGGCCAGTACCTCGCCTCGGGGTCGGATGACAAAACGGTGAGGGTGTGGAAGCGGACGGGGAAAGTTGAGTTTAAACAGGTGCTGGTCCTGGAAGGGCACGAACGGCCGGTGTATTCCGTATCGTGGGGGAAGGGGAAGGGAGTGGGAGTGGGAGCGGGAAGGCTTGCTAGTGCCGGTAGCGACGGCATCATTCGCGTCTGGGAGCTCGTTGTGAGTCAAATTCCAAGGCTGGACGAGTTCGAGGCTTAAACAATTTGTCTTTTAGGAAAAATCGGACGATGGGCTCTTGGAACATAGGATGATTGCAAAACTGGAATATGCGCACGACGTATACGACCTGAATGCCATTGTCTGGTGCCCCAGAGCTGGTTTCGAGGATATGCTAGCTACTGCGGGCGATGATGGTGTTTGTAAGGTGTGGAGAATTACTCCCAGGTAGACAGTAGGTATAATATCTTTTAATGGCATGAGTGATTGTTTACCTACAGGAAACCACTCTCAGTTTTAAACAAACGAAGTGAGAGGTAGTATTTTCCTTCTCCCGACGAACCCTGAATTCGGCTTGCATGGTAACCGGCCGCCTGCGAGCGAAACTTCCGCCTGTTATCGATTTCATCGTCCAAAAGGTAATCGGGAAACGACGGGGAAGGCGGCGTTGTGCACCTCCTCTTGGCATAAAGATAAAGTCTCTCGCATTTTCATTTAGCACGATGGTCGTCGAGACTCATAACATCGATTCAGTGACCTCCTTGCTTTTCTGTGCGCTAAACTTACAGGATTCCGAAAGGTGCGCGTTTGTGATCAATCTAACATCCGAGATCGACCAGTCTGATCAGAGCTAGTACCAGGGAAAACCAATTTAGAGGTGGATACATCGTTCCATTTTGCCGGGGGAAATCCTCACCCTCTGGAAATCCAAAAAGCTGAGCGCGATTCTCGGCCTAGGCTCCGGTCCGGGCTGTATCCATTTTGCAATCACAACCCAGATCTCCTATCCCCCGCACTACTAATCTTGTTCTTGTTCCCTCCCATCATGCCGTTCACGCCAGACAGTACGATGCTCATCCGCTCGAGGGAGTACGGGGACGGGTCAGAGTACGACCTTTCTTCGACTTCTTCTACGATTATCCCGGACCACTATGTGAAGCGGCTCTGGAGGAGACATACGCTGTTGATTGGTAATGGAGGCACGGGGCGCACGGTGAGTGACGAGTCAGTTGGGGGAGGTGCATGGTGACTGATATCAAAAAAAAAATACAGATCCAGTTTATTAATAAGGACGAGAACTCGAATGATAGGTCTGTCGCGTATTCGACGACTGAGGAGGGGAATCTGTTGAGGATCCTTACCGGTGGGTACGGCGAGGGAGGTACAGAGATTGCGAGAGTTTTGTGGTCTGGGTCTGGGAGGTCGATTGATAAGAACAGGTGAGTTCCATTCGTGCGTCTGTCTAGTCTATCCAGCATGGTGATTCCTCTAGTACGATGACTATGGGTAACAAATCCGGAGCGGTGAAAGATCTTCTGAAAAAAAGCAATCGCATGTACGTGGTTGGCCCGCCACGACCGTCTCGGGAGAGAGACACTGACTTCGGACCTGCAGGTCGACCAGTCGGATATTCGTAGGTCCAGACGGGCTGGAATACAAGTGGAAGGTGATTTCTGTTGGGAACGATCCTGCGTTCCCGGAGACGACGTACAAGACGCTGTATGTGAAGGATTCGCAGCATCCGGTGGCTACGACGTCGAGGCTTACGAGGAGGGATGGGAATATGAATGTGGGTTCCATGGTTTTTTTTTCGTCTCGTTGTGGGTTAGGTTGGCTCACCCTTGTTGTTGTGCATGCAGGAGGAAGCCTACCCGATTTATATTGCCGAACGCGGGATTAGGATCCAGAGCTGGATTGTGGCTTCGTTGGTGATTCTCGAAAAAATTCAGACGTCGTAGGCTTCTCCTTCTCGTTGAACGATTCAGTCTTTTTTGGGGCGTTATTTAATATCTGTTCAATTCGTTAATGCTTTCGTTGTATGCGATAATTATAATGAGGTTCAAGGGAAGGGGATGCAGTATGCGATGGGTCGGCTTGTAATAACCAATGTTGGGGAGAAGCGTAGATTCCCTGCAGGTCCCTGGTACTGCGATCTGCCACTGCATGTAGTTTTGCCGAAAGAATATTCTGTTGGTATAGCGGGATCAGAAGGAGTTTGAGTTTATAAAAATATGACGGGACCTTTACATACTTTAAAGGAGAATCATAGGCAATGGCCATTGTATATTTTAATAGCCGCTGGATATGTAGTGTCCACAATTAACAAGAAATGGTATGCTCAGTACCATGAGAAGGGGGGGATTATAATAATACCATCATTGATAACAGCCTAGTCATTGGATGGAGATTAGAGAAAAGAAGGATATCGATGATGTCATAGGATGGGACCAAAGCGCGATAGACGCCAGCAGCTAGTAGCCAGCTTGAGACTTTGCTTTTTGTACACAAGGTGAGTACTTTAACAAATCCAACTTTGGAAGGACTGAGGTCGAGGGAAGAATGAATCTGTGCCATCTCTAAGAAACAAGCCTTCGTTGGTTTGTACAGTTGTAATTACGTAGTAGGGCCCACCAATACACATTGTAATGCCAACGTTGTTTACCTTTATGAAAACTAATTGCAATGCGCCTCCGCAGCCCACTGCCACCGGAGAGGTTAGTTATGACTTCATACTCAATTGCTGGGGTTTCGGCAGTGCTTTCTTACAGCAATACCGAGGCAGTACTTGCTAGAGGATCATATGACGACACCGCACAATAGAAAATAAGGATAGTCGCCGTACAAAGGGAAGAAGAAAGGGAAGTCGATTTCCTAATTCGATCTCTCCCCTTTACCACGTTCGTCCGTCCGTTCCTTCCTTCTTGCTTCCTCCTCGTTCGTCACCATGTCCACGATATCCAACAAACGTCCAGCTATGCCGCTACTCGATGAGGAGGACGATCCCGCAGTCTCGGTGCCAGATACAGGTGACGCTGGTGAGGGGGGCAAGCTCAAGATGATTGTCCAACTAGTCAAGAAGTGCTTTGGGGTCAAGGATATTGCCACTATGTGAGTTTCTCAAGGTTTTTATAGAAAATTGTAGGAGAATAACAATTGGGTTGGTAGGCGCCTTTCATTACCAGCATCACTTCTAGAGCCTATCCCTAACCTTGAATGGTCGCAGTACCTCGACCGACCTGACTTCTTCGCCGCGTGAGTGTCATCATTTTCTTTGATACTGCCGACGACACTGACCAGGAGCAGTATCAACGACTCTGAAGATCCCTTTGAGCGAATGCTGGCCGTCTTGCGCTTCACATTTACGAAGGATCTTAAATACGTCGTGCGTATCAAAGGCGCTTTTCCGTATCAGCTGTTTCCTTGACAGTCTGTCTTTTTCTAGTCTGGTAGGGTATTCAAGCCATACAACTCCGTACTGGGGGAACACTTCCGGGCCCACTGGGATGTCTTCCCCATAGTTAGCTCAGGACACCCGGACCGGCCGCCCATCGTCCTGACGGAACCCCCGACGACGGGCTCGCTCGAGACGTCCAGCATCAAGAGCCGCCGGAGTTCCAAGAGCAGTACCAGCAAGAGCCCATCAACATCACTCAACGCCCACATGTCGAGCCTCAGTCTTGGCGGGCAAGATAAACTCCGGATAGCGTACGTTACAGAACAAGTCTCTCACCACCCTCCCGTGTCAGCGTATTATGCATCCTGTCCAGACCGTTCGCTGGAGCTTCTGGGCGTCGACCAGATATCGGCCAAGGTCTCCGCGGCGATGACGGTTAAGGTTGTTCCAGGGAGCTACAACAAGGGGATGTTCGTGAAGATTAGGGGGGGACATGGGGAGGGCGAGCAGTACCAGGTTACGCACCCTGTTGCGAGCGTGAATGGGCTGTTGCGGGGGAGCTTTTATGTCACGGTGGCGGATACGACGATTATCACCTGCACGGGAGGCAAGCACGGGCCCAAGTTCCGAGCGATAATCGAGTATAAGGAAGAGTCGTGGTTGGGCAAGGCGCGGTTCCGGTTAGAGGGGATCATACATCTCGTCAACGAGGGCGACAAGGTAGACGGCTGGAAGATGGCCAAGGACGTTCCACAGTCTCTTGTTGTAGCTGTGTTTGACGGCTCTTGGAGGGGGCATATCCGCTGGCGGCGGGTCGGCTCTGGCTCGTATCCCACTACGACCTCTTCTGCAAGTTCCTCTCCCTCCCCAGTTCATATGTCCCTCCCTCGATCGAATGCGACGTCGAGAGCAGATTTGGCGACGGTTTCGGAGGGGGAGTACTCAACGCTGATTGATATCGGCGAGTTGGAGGTTATCCCGAAGCAGGTGAGGCCGCTGGAAAGACAGCTGCCGCATGAGAGTAGGCGACTGTGGCATAACGTGACGAGAAGGTTAGAGAATAAGGAGTATTCGGACGCGACGAAGGAGAAGGTGGCTATAGAGCAGAGGCAGAGAGAGGAGGCTGCCGAGAGGCGGAAGAAGGGTATCGGGTGCGTCTCTTTTTTAACAATTTTGTTTTGCGCTTATTCAAGGCCTTGCGTTTAGGTATGTGCCTCGGTACTTTGATAAGGATATCGACTCTGGAGTACCGCTACTAACGGCAGAAGGTAGGAAAGCACTCAATGAGGAGCTCCGGGAACCTTCGCAGTATCATATAGTCGGCTCTGCTGATGCTAAGCTCTCTTCATAATTATTATACCGACTAGATTAATTCTTCCCCACCAGTCACCGCCCACCCTTTTCTGACTTTGTGGACAGTAATCATGGGATTCATTTTGCAAGTTTTTTTTTACGATGGCATTATACGCATGATATACTCACTCCTATTTACACGACTTTGATATATGCTTGTGATTGATGATCTTTTTTTTTTCCCTGACGAAGCGCTAAATCGATATCATCCGTGTCATCCGATCGTGGCTTGTCTTCTTACCACGTCGTCGCTCCAGCAAGTACGGACTCGAAGGGCAGATGTTGTCCGAGTAGTACGGTGTGTTTCTGGCGGCACGAGGTATTCTTTTATTCTCGTGCTGCTGCATTGCCGCTTTAGCTCCGCACTTTGGCTGGATGGGTATTTCCCCTCGGTTGTGTTTATCGTCCGAAGTCCGTCGCCACAGGCACGATGTCGTACTTGAGGATAGTATGCCTTTATCGTGGAGAACCATTTCTTGGGCTAGTCCCATGATAAGACTTCTCCAATGAGAAAGTAGCTGATGAAGATTTAGTTATCCTGTCGGTGAATTCTGAAAACTGGAGAATCAAAATCTGCGGCTTCGGAGCGCTTCTGGGTCATATTTTGGGGGGGGTCTACTGCTAGGCAGTCTTATGAAAACTCCAGACAAGGATAATGCAAACGGTCTCGTCTTTTAAACATCAAAGGGCGATGTGACGAAGAGCATCTTCTAACGCATGGAGGGATATGTCATTATTTAAGATGACCCGGTTTCAGGAGTCAGTTCCACGTCGTACATCTCTCATATAGCTAGCTGACGGGGTACCAAAGTGCCTTCAAGTTTAGTGCAAGGAAGACTTCTCGGTCCCGAAAGCATAGGATAATTTCGTCATTGTGCCTCGGAATGGCGACGAGTCCATTCGGGATGGGTACCCACCTTGTCACGGTTTCCACGCACTGCGCAGGCTCAGGCTTCGGGGATGTAGAGAGTATACCCCGTTGCTAGGTCAGCGTCAGTGGTCACCGGTTTTGGGGTGAACCATTCCGGCGAGTAAGAACCCATTTCCTGATCATAATGGTCGGTTTCTTTTTTTCCGGCTGATGTGAGGATAAAGTTCCCATTTCTGTCTTCGAGCTGTCACATTTGTGCTATGATGAGGCTTGGGCCACCGCCGCGCCCTCGTCAGGGCGCGTTTGAGGCGATTCTTTGGCCCTGGTACGAATATTGGACAATGGTATGGACGGAGTCGCATATATCTTTCGCTTACTACTAGCAATAACATTGCGCATGTTTAATGTGTCCTTTTTTTTCCGACATGGATCCGTCTGGTACTGATATGTCTGGTCATTTGTAGTAGTACCCGGATTGATCACCGTCAGGTCTCGTAATTCATCGCTGAAGACCGATGTTCGTGAGTAGATACGGTTTCTGTTCGCTCATCAGGTGAAGGATTTACAAGTTCCGATGGATGGAATGCAGTTGTCGACGGCCCGTGGACCTACAAAGTACAATCACCATCTCTCCGACCACCGTGTAGTGATTCGGTGTTTTTTGTATTTTTCCTTTGGCTGTGAACGCGGCGCAGGTGTTCATCGATTTTTTTTTCCGTTGGTCACAAAAGCGGCTGGTTCTCGTGTTTTGCCTTGGGAACATCCATAATATCGACTCCAGACGACTGGATACATGATAACGGGGTGCGTTCCATGTGACCTTCTGTTCCGCCCTGCGCTCCTAGTTGTCTCCTAGGTAATCAGAAATTTCGTGTGATCAGCTGTGTAATTAAGGTTCCCCTTTGATAACGACTCGGAGCTTCAAGCTTATGTGACTAGGAACCATCCAGAGATTATCTTGATTGCTAGCTGTTGGTGATACAACGACACGATGGCGGCGTATATCGTTCTCGGTGGTTCGAGCTCGAGCCGATTCCATGCTACAAATGCCGCTTACTACCATCGACAACAAGAAGAGGATTCAATCACGGACTAAGTAACACGAGGGTTCAGGTCCAGATGTATCTTTCGTTACTATCTCAACTGCCATTTGACCTTCAACTTCTCCTGACTAGATATTGGTATCTCAGACCACTGGCAGTCTACCCTTTGGAGGGTCGCCCGTGTCAATACTTACTGACGGAATGCACTATGTCTGTCTGTCTCCCAGACTTGTCTTCGGGAGAAAGGTATTTCGGCCTATTTTCGTATTTGGAACCATTCATCACCGTGACCACTGTCGGCTGTCCCTGCCATGATAAACGTGTCCGCCGGTATCCTCTTGTCAGATTTTCAATTGACCCAGGCAATAATTACATACCCTGAATTTTGAATTGTGACCAAATATGTCAGTCTGCATTCTGGACGATAAATTATTGGAAGTCGTAAGAAAGAGGGACCGCTGTTAGCCTGAAAGGTTCCTCCCTGAGGTGCCGCTTACATAAAGCCGCACCAGAAGGGGGGCCACTCGAGATTACTTTATTTTCCAACTCCGAAACGCGACGTCTCTTCCCCTAACCACCACCTCGTCTCGTCTATCGGTGCGCCTTTTGGTGCCGTGTGCGTTGGGGACGACGACGACGACGACCAGCGTTCCTCGGCATCACCCTCCCCGACCAGCTGAGTTCGTTACCCAGACCTCGGGATCGCTTGCCGCTCTCTATTTTTGTGGATTTGGTACCGAGTTGAGAAGTCGTCTCCGGTCACAAGAACCACTCCCTTCTTGCTGTGTGCCTCGCATATCCTATCAGTGTTACCGATGGGTGCTTGTATATCTTCTGGAGGATTGGAGGTGACGGAGGCAGATAAAGCCTTGCATAGGCAAGCAGAGAAGGAGCTGAAGGAGGTAAGTCACGTTTCGTTTGAGAACCAGTTGCAACGCTGACAGAGAGTCAGGCCAAGGCCAAGATGGCGTCGCAGGTCAAGGTGTGCCCTATCCTTGTCCTCCCAAGTATTCGTCTTCATGACTACTTAGGTCCTACTCCTTGGCTCCGGTGATTCGGGAAAGTCGACAGTGCTCAAGGTGAGGTTCACTGTGTGTGTCTGTTGAGAGCATTGTCGTGACGGTGCTTGAAACAGCAAATGCGGTTTATCCACCGAGTACCGTTCTCGCCTCAGGAAATCGAGTCGTATCGGCAGCTCACATTCGATAATCTCACTGGCGGGCTCAAATATGTTCTCGATGCTATGGAGGACATGGACCTGAAGGTGTCAGAAGAGAACCAGAAGTACCTCGAGGTTATCGAGGATGCTCGTGATCTCAGGGACGGGGAGGCCTTCCCGATGGAATATTACGAACCCCTGAAATCACTATGGAGTGATCCCGAAGTACAGAAGGCGTGGCAGAGAGGCAATGAGGCTGCATTACCCGAAAAGTAAGTCTTACTGTCCCACTATTTCCTGTCGTTCGCTGAAGGACCCGCGTATCAAGTCTTCTTTACTTCTTTGGATCATTAGACCGGTTATTCGACCCGCAATATCAGCCTACGGAACAGGACATCATTCAATGCCGAGCCCGGACGATTGGCATCACGGAGACGACATTTACGCTTCGAGAACATGAGATGCTCATGGTTGATGTTGGAGGTCAGAAATCGGAGCGGCGGAAATGGATACATTGCTTTCAGGATGTGACGAGTATTCTGTTTCTGGTCAGCTTGAGCGGATACGACCAATGTCTGGTGGAGGACAAAGATGCGGTATGTTACCTTCTGATTGTTGATGTATTGTAGCTAATTATTTGGGGATGATAGAATCAAATGCAAGATGCAATGACCATATGGGACTCAATATGTCACTCGCAGTGGTTCAAGCAAACTTCGATCGTGAGTGGCGCTCTTCTGCTGTCCTAATGCTGAGGCTGACAACGATAATGATTAGATTCTGTTTTTGAACAAGAATGACTTGTTCGAGAGGAAAATACCACATTCCGACATCAAAAATTTTTTCCCGGTACGTTGTTTTACATCTCTGACTCTTGATGTCGGGATCTTATCAATCTCCAAAACGCAGGATTATGATGGTGAGACTGGCGACGTCCGAGCAGGTCGCGATTACTTCAAGCGTCGGTTTACAAAACTGGCCACAAAGGCTGGTCGACTAAAAGAGCGTGAGATATACATACAGTACGTCATTCAAGCTGTCTCCGCTCTATATTAACGTGTTCGCAGTATGACGACCGCCACCGATACTGCAATGCTTCGTGTCGTTATGGCTGCTGTAGAAGGTACGTTTCCCTCAATCTGCTGAAACCGATTAGCACTGACCCATTTCATTTAGAGTGAGTCCCTTCCATTTTGTTTTCCCCCCCCTTTTGGTCCCGTATCCTCTCTTCCCGATTCCCGAACTTGCGCTCAAATCTTTTTCTTGCGCTCCCCTCCCCCTTTTCTCCTTTAGCATCGTCCTGCGCACAAATCTTGAGACGGCGGCACTGATCTAACTTTTATTTGCTTTTGCTTCCCTTTATCTATACATCATCACTATGCAATATCCAATACCGGAATTGTCCCTCTCTGCTTTATATCTAAATATCAATACCTCGGATGTTCGCTGCGCGATCAATAGTTCTATCGTGTCAAGTAATGTACGTCTATGTCGTGTGTCTGGACAACTACGTGTTAACCGCCGCTTAAACAGATCCGCGCCATCATGCTCTAACTCGAGCGATTGTTGTCACATTAAGGAGCCTATGTTCCTGGGCCATGATGGGCGTTCTAGGCTGGCGTTGATATGCATTTCCTGCTTATTTTCTCACTCCTCTCGTCATTGTTTTTAGTCTGTATTATTATCGTATCTTCTATGGAGGCGTATTTTGGAGTAGGTGTTTCAACGTAGTTTATATCGCTTTCTTCATCACTTTACCCTTTGTCTGTTTGCATTCAGATTCTGTACCCTCGTCATCGTAGTATTAATTGTTATTGCTTTCGAGATGGTCCGCTGTTTTTGACAAATTGAAAGACCGACCGCCCTTCGCTCTTCCTCTCTTCCCCCGATGAGCTCCTCGTGGTACCTAGAAGGTTCTGTTGTATCGGGGTTGATACATTGCGGTCAGCTCAGCAGCACACGAGTATCGGGCTCGTGTTTGTGTCAAAGGTTTTTTTTTTTCGCCGGTCATGGAAGACAGCTGGCTAGACGTCGCTTATTCCAACGGAAATATTTTGAACGAAAAAGGCTCCTTTCCTCGTAGGTCGGGAGGAACAGCGTTGCTTGTAACACTAATAGAATGATAGGTAGAACCGGACCTGCAGCTGAATTCGGAGACATCATCAATCTCAACGTGGTGGTAATCGTAATATATCTAGTAAGATTTCGGGTTTTGTCTGTGCGATCTCCGTGGGGGGGGGGATACGCCACCAAAGGCACGGCACGTCTTGTCCTTCGAACTTACCAAAGACTTTTGACCTCGAACACGTTCGGATATAGTATGATTGCCGTTAAGAGATCGATCACGACAATCAAGTTCAAAGCGGAACGCGGGATCTGTAAAAAGTCACACAGAAAGACGCAGTTGACGTTTAACACCGGCTCAGGCAGGTAAGGCACTGTAGTACGCGCAGCGATTTTTGACAGCAGTGAGTCTATAACATCGTATCGAAATACGGAAAAATAAATAAATAACGGCGTTGAGAGAAAGAGGGAGATTTCCAATGGGTCTGAAACGCTGATGAGAATTTCGCGTAATGGTACGTAGAACGGAACGTAGTATGCCAGAATCGGACTACCCTCAGGCAACATATCTGAACAAACTCTTGTCCTTCTCGTCCCTCTCCAGGTACTCGTTCTCCACACACCAATCCACCCTCTTCTTGATAAGATCAACGGGAGGCATGAAGTGTCCTTTCACTGCCTCGATCACCGCTACCTTGAGCTTCTCATACGCCAACTCCTTGCGCCCTTTCATGATCCGCACAATTGCCGCGTCCAACGTGCTCTTCCTGTCGCTCTCAATAGCAGTTTGTGTGTATTGCGACTCTTGTTCCTGTATTACACACCGTCAGAAACGTAGCACCACGACCGGGACTGACTGCGACGCACCGAAACCTTCGCCTGGATAGAATTGATATGGATCTTCTGCCGGGGGTCAGTAAAACCAACGTTGAACCGGAACTTGTCCCAGTCCATGATGTCTTTGCCCGGGGGAACTTTCAGCAAGACTTTCTTCTTACCGCACGCCAGGCTCTGCAGGGTAAGTCGCAGTTCCGCGTCATCTAGGCGATGCAATTCAGTCAACGGACGAATATCAAAATCCTTAAAGCATACCCATACGCGTCTGCGCTTTGATGTCAGTAAACGAGACCTCGTCCACGTCCGTGAAGAGTAACACGATGATAGTTTGGTACAAGCTAAGAGAAAGGTCTTTCGAGCCAGCCTCGAAATGAGTCTTCAGTATCACCGTGCTGAGAGCATGATCCCACACCAGTTTCCGGCCCTGGTGTTTCTGATCATAGAACTTTGTAAACATGTTCAGCTGCTCCTGCATCTATTCCAGGAAGATCAGTGCACGCTCCAGACATCGAAGAAAGACCTACCTCCGCTGGTAGGTCGATCCGCGTGCGCTGTAACGAAAACGGCCAACCCCCTCGTTCAAGGACGTTGACGTAGAGTTCATCCTGACCGTGCTTCCGGCGGAACTCCTGAACCAAGTCTCCGGAGAGTGCGAGATCCTTGAACATCTTCTCTGCTTGACCAAATTCGGGATCGTAATCTACGTGCAACAGGTGAGGAAAGTCCAACTGCAATAATGCATCACTTGCCATCCTGCAGCTTCTTTAGCATCCGCTTCTCCACGTCGTCCGAGGCACTTCGGCCCAATAACAGCCTTTTGGCTAGTTGTCGATGGTAGAATGTCCTGAAGACATCCTTGTCCTCCGTGAACCTATACAGCGCCAGAGCGGCATCCAACGCCGCTGTGTGGGAATCCTCGCTGCTTGCACCTTGTCCACGTCTCATCAACTTGTCGAGATACGTAGCAATCATCTCTGCAGGCTTGTTTCTGCGCGCTTTGAATCCATGGGTAAACGCATCACTGAGCGCATACACGAATTCCTGGTTCCCCTTGGTCGGAGGTGGCGCACTCGTAGATGCGGCTCCCATGTAATCTTCGTCACAGAAGGACGTGGATATGGCTATGTTGGCGAGTTCGCGAAGCTCTAGGAGGCGATGGACCATCTCATCATCTCGAGCCTTGTCTGTCACGATGTCGCTGATAGATGTTTGTGTATATCCACGGAAGACGGCGCAAAGAACCTTCTCTCCCCCTACTCTCACGTATAACTTGTACAGGTCCGACAAGGACTTGAAGTCTCTCGCTTCCATGTAGGATCTCAATGCTAGAGAAAAAGTCAGTTGGTGGAAGAAAAGATGGCCTCGACACGTACTTCCTAGTGCAAGCCAATCGACATTTCCATCTAACAGAGCCTTTTCAGTGGAGATACGGACCGCATTCCAGCTTTGAGGGGGTAGGACATCCGCAGAGCGAGCATTCTCCTCCTGTATTCTCTTGCGAACATGCTCAAAGTATTCTGTCGGTTTGATACCTCTATCAATGAGATCCTGAACCTGTTTGCTGTATTGTCCGCCAGTTATGTTGATGTAGAATTTTTCGGCGTCCGGATGCCCTCCAAATGTCCCGATGAGGTCCTGGACTTCCCGGCAGTATTGCTCACGGGTCATATCGATGTAGAACTGTTCAAAAGCCGAATATTGTCCGAATGTCGCGATGTGAGTCATGAGCTTCGGAATGCATTCTCGCAATGCATGTTGAGAGCTGTGTAATCTGTGAGTGAATAATTTCGGCCGTAGTTGAAACGTACTTGGTCTTTCGTTCATGTTCAGCCCACAGTGCGATGCCTGATCTGAGCCGCTCTGCGATTCCGATGTTGCCAAAGACGTGAGAATTGAAAGAGGAATATGCATGAGATCTGAGAGCAAGTGAGGTGCAGAAGAAGGCATTTACAAGAGTACGTACCCAATGTCCTGTAGTCCTTTCTGTTTAGCAACGTATATCTGGTCCAGAAACGAAAATAAGGACTGCAATGTCGCCTATAGAATCATCAGCAACCACGTCGCAGACACGACAGTCATTCATACGCACCACCTGGGTCTCATACCACTCGCATATCTCCACAAATTTCGGTAACCATTGGACTCCCTCTTCCTTCGACGAGGTAAGCTCGCGGGCCAATTTCTCCACGCATTGCTGTATCTCTAGCTTGAGAACAGTGTACAAAGTAGCACCGTCCTTGGCAACAGAGACAACATAACGACAGCTATTGAATACCTGCTCGTATGTCGAAGGCAAGGAAGCAATCGATTCACGGGTAAACAGGAACCTCGGCGTCCGTTTCGCAATAGACTGGTAATATTGCTCCATGTTTGATGTCTTTACTGCGCCCATCTCAGATCCCTGCCTGAAAATGAGAACGAAAACCTCACTGTGGTCACCAATGATGCTGATGTTTACTACACCGCCGCTTCTTCCTGCGGATTTAGACCTGGCGGCAGAGGAAATGTCAGAGTCTGAGTCCAATCGAGGGACCTTGCGAAGAGGAGAAGCCGACCCATCATCTGAAATATTGCTCTCGACGTCGGTGAAGGCAGTCGCAGATGTTGGCAGCGACAGCAAGGACAGAATGCTCGTCATCGTTGTCGCCGTTGCTGACAAGGCCAGTTGAGAAAGTAGCTTCTATACACTCCTCACGAGTGAGATTCCAGAGATTCTCCCCCTCAGCAATCAAGCTTCAAGGACTCAAAGGGACAGATGGGAAGTGCGAGAAAATTGATGGGTAGTAGTACAGACGCGACGTCCTCTGAGCTTGGTCAGCATCGTATTTGCACCGTAGGGTGGTCGGGCCGGGTGTTCCAAGAAAACAGTATATTTCGATCACGTGCATAATGTTCGGTCAGCGGCCCGAAACGCGATCTACAGTCTGAAATTGTTGCCACCTACGACCACTGTATCAATTCAGTACATTTTCCTCCTCGCAGCAGTAATGCACTGCACCAATGCGTCCATGAGAAAATTGTCTCTCTTCAGCCTGTTCGACTCGTTCTGGTCGTCCGTCAGCGGCTACAACATCTGGCAACGGCAGTTCTGACAGCGATTCTGTACCAATTCGACGCGTTGCGGTGGTATTGTATGCAGCAAAAAAAAAACGTCTTTCCTGACGGATAGGTTGGTGTCCTTGTGTGGAATAGAGAACACAGCAACGTGCGTTTGACCGGAATTCAGTCCTAGTACCCTTTGGCTGACAACGTTTGCTTTCTCGTAGATAATTTCAGGCGGTAATTCCTTGTTCCGAATTGACGGTGTGACTGATGCGATGATTATACTCGCTGAACAGGCGAGTATTCTCCTCACTTTCTTCAAGACAGATATCTCGTTGTCTTTTGGTATGACATTGATCTTTATCCTCTGGAAGGGACGCATCGGCCATTTGCGGACCGTTGACTGATCCGTGATGAAGGATACGCCTTTGTCACATTTTCTTTGTACATTTTCCGTTTACTTACATATGACAAAGGTGCTTGGACGATTGCAGACAAATACAGCAACACTCACAAAGGCAAGTTGTTGTCTTGGCAGTGTTGCCACTGACTTGAATACGTATAAAAGGTACGAGGGTCTACCCTTTGAACAATATTCCAGTTCACCCACCTCTCGTCGTGCGCAGTCAAATGTCTTATGGCCTCAATACTACTGATGACTCCGGGAACCAAATTCCCCCATGCGATCTACGTAACGTGAAAGTCTTTATCCCCTATCCGTCTCTTCCCTGGAGCGGAGAGGAAGAATGGGAGGAAAATTTCTATGACCGACGATTTACACGACCTAAATTCATAGGCGGCTCCGACTCCGAGTCTGACGAATTCGACGACGAAGAACCTGACGAAATCCCTGTCCAGTATGTTCGAAACCGACACTGGTGCTTCCTAGGAGAGATTGTCTCCATCCATCATGACCGTAGTCTTCTGGTGGTCTCTGACCAACAACAGAATAGCAACCTCAATGTTTCCCTCGATTTCGATGGGAAACGGTTCGACAAGGATTCAATCAAGGTGGGACGCGTTGCGGCGATTCTTTACGCCGAAAAGGATCTACTCCCTCAGGGAGAGAACGGAGTGCTTGTGAAGAACCCGAAGCATATGAAGGTTTGTCTGATTTCAATCCTTGAGCCGGATGAGAACTGACGCTGTGGCATAGATCATTCCATGCGATATGAAAACCCTCTTCCGAGTCAATAACGTGATCGAGGAGGATACGCCATCTGACGACTACGTCCGCTGTCAGGCCTGTGGCCAAAAAGAGGAGCAAAACACCATCAGCTTTATACAATGCCACCGTTGCAAAAATATCTCCTATTGCAGCCAGGTGGGCTCTCTACCCTCAGGGATGTTGTCGAGTTGTGTTGGACTAACGGGCTGCAGAGTTGTCGGGACCACCATTGGGCAAGCTCGCACAAGCGCGAGTGCAAGATTTTTATCGCGCTCGGCTGGCTCAAGACGTTAGACTGGGAAAGATACTCCGACGGACTCACTTTTAACAAACCTCATACAACTTGGGAAGAGGAGCGGGAGAAGAGATACGTCTTTGATCCGGCTTGGCGAGAGGCAGCGGGTCCCACTGACGTTAAGCCAATCGATGCATCGTTCAATATCGTTTCGGGTAGGGAGGTTGAGCTGAATAGTTTGCTCTCATCTAACAAATGACACCTCAGGCGAAATGCTTTGGGGCGATCTACCATGTATTGTCATGGGTATGAAGTCTACCGAGCATGACAATCCAGCCAAGCAAGTCAGATTAGACTCAGATGGTGAGGGAACAATTGTACAAATGGGTTGGAAGTACCGCGTCGCAGCAAAGTCTGGGGTATGGAAGGTTAGTGATATCAACCCACATGATGACATGCCACCCATACGCGACGTTCTTCAGGTTGCCCAAGTCTTTGGGAAAAGCGAAGAATTCGGTAGGGAGCGTACCGGCTGGATCGTTTATCACGAAGACGAGAGTCCGCAAGCCCTCGTCGAGAAAGGGGTGGAGGTCGATTTCGTTTCAAAAGACCCTTCTATTTCTTACGTCAACCGGTACGATTGGGGTAACCACATGTACGACTGGGGCTACACCACCCGTACATGGGGCGACATCGATCCAGACTCGGGATGGGCGGCGGCTCTCGAACGACACAGACGTAGAGACAGGGTGCACAAGTATCAGATGAAGGAAGGGCACCCGGACTATGAGCGCTGGGAAAGGCCGGGGTATTATCGCCATAGGAAGATTTTCCTCTTCGATGCGGCGCACGGACCATCGGTGGTGAAGTTCACGGCTAGGTGGGTGTGTCTCGTGCTACGTGTCTTTTCTTCGTCAGCTTCATGTCTGACCTAATAGACCCAATGTTCTCGATGGGGCTCTTGGACGTGGTGTGAAGGTCAGCTCGGACCATCCGTCCTACACGCTCTATGCGGAAGAGACACCGGTCGGATGCAACTTGCATATTCCCTGTGGCCACGACTATGAATATGGGAGATTGTTTTTTGCGGAGAGTCGTTCGCCCAGATTTCCTGAGGACAGAGAGTTGGTCGCGTTCTGGTACGATACTGATATTTACATGGATGGCGAGTATGAACCGGAATGTGTGCCTCTGGCTTCCTCTTCGATTGGTCTCGAAAATCATGATGAAAACTCTGAGTTTAAAGGACGCATATAGATATGAAGACAGGGCTGTTGAGAGACAGCGATGTATGTGCCAACTTTTTCTACACGAATAAATAAATATACAAAACTACAAACGGGCTGATAAATCATTCATTGAGGCAACTTTGACCGGGGAGGAACAAGACCCGGTGTACAGTACAGCATGATGGCAAGTATCTCTGGCAGTGCAACAAGTGGGTACCAGAAATGCTCATCGGCCTCCTTTTGAGAGTTAGTTATGGTAGCGACCATGAACGCCTCGCGGACGAGAAGGAGAAGAGAGATGGCGCAAAGGATGAATGAGCCATATCTATCCCCCAGGCTGCTTGCTTGCATCGGTCGATACCCTGGACGAGTCATTCAATCAGAGTCGCTCTGGGCAATTGATAAGGAAAGAAATCAACCATCTTGTATCTCCTTGTTTATTGATGCAATTGTAAGAAATGCTTGCACGATGGTGAGGCCCAGGAAGATGAGGACGCTGGCTTTCCGACACGTAGAGGCGACGCTGCTGGTAGGGTTGTGCATACTTGAGGTAATTCCATAGACTCCGAGTGCAACGGCGACGATCATGATGATGTGGAAGAGTCTGCGGTTGCGGAAAATGCGCGATATTGGGTTTTCCGAGGGAAGAGTCTTCCTCAAGAGGTCCCTAGGGCATGAAACACGTCAGATGATGCCATGTAGGTCTAGTGGCTTTCTCACCGATCCAAGACGAGAGTATAAGCAGCGTTAAGCAGGCCGAAAAATCCAATGGAAAACAGTATTTGATCTGTAACCAGGAGGTCGAGGCTATCGCCAGAGGTATCCGAGCCTATCATAATAGCGCGTATGACGAATGCCCCAACACGAACTGTTCCAAAATTCTCATCAGATTTTCAGAAGGGCGCGGAATAACAGGATTAGCGTACTTGTGCAGAACACAGTCAATACGATGTATACATAAGTGAGTGCTCGGAAGCATTGCACGATAAAGAATGCGCAAAGGGGAACGTAAGCGACGGCAAAGATGATTGCCGCAACTAGAGAGCTGTAGCCGTATGCTGCTGCGTAGTCGATGACAGTCATTATGGTAAGATGACGGAGGAATGTGAAGGTATTGAACACCCCCACACGAGTATCCGAGTTCTTTTATGTGAGACGTGGGGGGAACGTCAGCCGCACAGGAAATCATTTATAATCGTGATAGTTCAGGAACGAAACCTATTTCGAACTAAAAGACAAGTGTCTTACGGCACGAGATGAGAACATAAAACGAGAAAAAAATGCTCTGAGTATGCATGTCCTAAAAGTGACTTGAATGCCTGCAAAGTCCCTGGAAGTCTGTCAGAGAGCTCTATGGATTTCTGCGAGCTCAGGAAAGCTGAAAATGAGGGTACCATCGGTTCCAACCACAATCCGCCGGTAGAAGAGTTGTGCGTCGGACCATGACAACAGGATTCTAAAAATAGATGCAATGACCGTCCAACTCCTTTGCTGTATCAACTAAACGTCACGGTATTTGGGGGCTTAAAATCATGAATAGTACTAATAGTTGGACATGGATATAAAGCCAAGAGAGCACTGGGACATAGAGAACGGTCACGTTCGCATGCAGAGCTGGGGAAATAAACTGATTTGATATTATCAGATGTGCCTGCCGTATCTAACAAGGAACCTAGCAATACTCAGCTTTGCACGGCCTTGCGGTTGCACAGAGCGCCCGGGAGATACTACTGAATATTCAATAGAAGATACATACGTTACTCGCAGAAAGGAACACGGCCTCGAGCACACTTGTTGATTGTAACTCAAGGAGCTGTTTCTCGCCATGTTCCGGTTTCATGGCACCAAGGCTCTCCCAAGGGTAATCAACGTCACAACGCTAACTCAAAACACGACGTTCAGCAGTGATTTGAAATTAATGAAATGTATATCATGATACCAGTCTGTGCTGAATAGGAATTATTGATCTATACATATGGTGCCGCACCCTTACTTTTGTTGTCTGTGATGCTGTATGATGAATCACAACCGAAAAATTCATCCATCCAGTTAATAGAGTAGCGTCGTTCGGGATAATCGTGACAATGTTAACTTGCAAGAATGGTGTACAGTGCAAATCGATACTACATCTTCACCGAGGCATGCTAGTGCACGAACGACCAGCGTCTTCACATATTCCTGCCACACGTCAAATGCCCCAATGCGTCAGATCCCTCACGAATTGGAATTGTTTCGTAAATGCGCGCTCTATCGATGTCCTGCCCGCAAGCACATCTCGGCCGGTACATTAGCACCCGACCAGTGTCTCAAGGGCTAGATGGGCCCAAAGAACAATCTGTTCTTCCCCACCTGCATGACGCCCACCCCGTCTCGTATTCGGAGTTTGATATTGAAGATATCATTGATATTCGTGGTAGGGGCGGATAGGAATCCGGATGTCCCATTGACGATTCGATGATGTGATAAACCTCAGAGGTAACAAGTTTAATGTAGCCGGACTATAGGAAGAGTAGGCTTGATACCCGCCAACCTGTCACTTAATAGTTACCCGGTCGTTATTCCGTCGCTCATCCCCTCAATAGGAACTACATAGCCTCGTCATGCTGGTTCCAGTCTATAAGAAGTGCATCAGATGCTAAAAGAGTCGCCTCTAAATAAAAAATATAATGTTCGAGTCCTTTGTAAAAAGCATAAAAAAATGATCATAGGCATAATATCAACGACGGTCCAAAGGCGTGTATAAACAAAGGGGAGGTGTCGTGGGAGTTAGTACATAGGTGACAGCATTCAACTTAAAGACCTCCTGCGACACAACCGATCCATTCTATTTCCATCGCTCCGGGGAGATATATATCTTCCGGAGCTGTGTTAGAGATATGCCGAAATTCGCCAGATATGCGAGCACGAGGGAAGAGGGATGATCGAAGGGATGTAGAACGGATTAGAATGGATGTATTTCGTTCCTGAATGTAATGGATTCCAGCGAGGGTTCATGAGGAGACCTGAGAGGTCTGGTTTGAGAGGTAATGAGATCAGTAAGCGTGAAGCTATTACGGGCTGGAGGTGAAAGTAAGCGCTAAGCGTAGCCTTCGGGTTGGTGTCGGAAAGCGCTTGGCGTAGCTGATGGTTCACGCAGTGTGAAGGGTTGAAAGCAGTAAATTGATTGAATTATCTTCTTTACCATGGAAAGTACGGTTTTATATACTATAGATAGTTCAAGTCATTAATATTCTACAATTTTCTATAGTATTCCAGTATGCACAAGAGGAGAGAAAATAAGAGAAAGAACTAGTCAGCCGAGGTCAAGGCCGAGAAGGCCAAGAGCAGGCATGTGTTGCCTAATGTGCAGACCGAAAAAGGTCTGATTTCGAGATCTCGCGGCTCAAGCGCGCGTTGTGCACTCTAGTTGCGACTAAGCACCGCATCAGCCAATGTCCTCTCTTCCACAAATCTCTTCTGGTCATTCGTCGACTCCCCGTGGAGATTCTATGCATTATCTTTGAAAAGGCGTGTTCTCTCAATGACGCATCCTACAACCATATCGTCTGTATGTTTTCATTGGCGAGTTGCTCTGCTGTCCCTGAGAATTCTCCACGGATATCGACGTTGTGAATAGTACAACGCAGTGTCGAGGCTGTAGCCTTCCCGACAACATAGAACGGACATTCTGTCGCTGAAATTAAGTCAGGATTTTGAGGCAAGTGAATGCGACACGTACCGTTCTTGGCTGCACCATTCGCCTTGTACCAGGCCTCGCATGAACGTGCGCTGGTCATGACAACTCCATCGAAATTGCCCTGCGCCGTTACTGATGCGAGTTCATTGATATTCGTGAGCACGGTCTCGAGTACTGGAATCGAGAAAGGCGTGTAGTTTGCTGCAGTAAAGATGGCTTCATACCGGTCCTGTCCACTGTCGGAGGACGGCATAGGTTCGCGAAGGAGGAGAACGTTGGCCTTGGACGTCATCATGGTCAGTGGCGAAAACGGTAACATTGTGACCTTGACCAGGAATCATCGTGACGTCTACCGTCTGCTCTCGCTGTATATTGCCCCATACTCAGCACGGTTACGATTCCGCCTCTGAAGATCAGGACTGCCTTCTACTGGCTGGCTATTCTGGTATCCATGATGGCAAGTCTGCTCACCATGTGGCAGTCGCCTAATTCCTTAGACGAAGAACGAGATGCTAAACGTCAGCGGACGAGCTCTCCAACATCTGCATTCGCTGAGGACGACGATACAGCCGCATACATTGAAGATTTTCAGCTGCTTCTATTTGAGGTTTCAATTTCTGCGGCGGAGAATTCAAGATATGGTGAGGTTGTCGTGTACGCCCACTATCCATGGTTCTACTGTGCTTGACACTTGCTGCATGCCATAGTGAAGAACTGGAAGTCCCTGAAGACTCACCAGATATGAGTCAATGGCTATTCTTGTTCGGATTGACGGAGCACCGTACCATGAAACTGGCAGCTCTCGCCACTGATCCACCGACGCCGATGCCTTCGAAGTAGAATCATGGACCAAGGAGAGGAAAGGAGCATTCTCCTGGCCCGCCTCGCGACCTTCGATAAATCCACTATCGACTAGCGGCAGCTGGCATAGTCATAATCCATCTAATTTCAAGTATGGCTTGGATAGGGAGGGGGCCATCTTGAAAAGCTTGGAGATTCGGAATCTAAGATCTCAAATAAGTTTACAGGTTCATACAACCGTAAATTCTATCTCCCTTAACTCTGGGTAGATAAAACGCGAAGCGATTGCGTTTGATGTTCTGACCGTTGTTTTCTCTTCCGGCGGAATCTCATCTATTATCTGGTATCCACACCCTCTAGTGCTCAAGGCATCTCCGCCCATTTTGGCGAGTTTCTGATGGACCTGAAATAGCCACTTTCCAGGAGTGTGGGCGCGACAAGCCGGCCTCATTCAACGCCCACGATAAAAAGTAAATTTACAACAGACTATTATCTAAAGGTCCTAGGAATACAAGTTCAACACCGTCATTAACACTCCGAACCACATCCCATATCGCCCAGACCCAAACTATACGCTGATACGAAATACGATGGAGTGAGGATACACACGATCCTAGCTCTTGAATACGCGTGTTCCGTTCAGTAATAATATCCTCGCGGAATGTACGCAAATGCAAGTTTAATGGTGATGGGATCTTTGCCAGATTTAAACGGAGTTTTTCAAGGCGATGAAGGTTACGGAGTCCTTGTCGTAAAGGTAGCTACAGCCATTGGCACAAGTAGGTTGAACTCCAATTCTCTCAAATACGGAGAGCACAGATTTCACACGTCTCGGAGGATCAACAGGCCAGGAGATGCACTCCAGAGCATCTTCGTCGATAGTGTCAAGCCTTGCCATCAGTGCTCAGTGAATGTTGCATATAAGAGCAAAAAAAAATCGACAACCTATTCCAAGAGGCAACCAGTTTCTGAACAAACCGCCGTAAGATCCCCCATTTCTTCCGCGTACCAGTGCCGTCAGCCAAATCAGCGGGCTGAATCTCTTTTTCGTCATCCTTGACCACTAAAGCTACGTCCACCTCGCAAATACCTCCGCGTTCTTTCATGTCTGGCACCTCACTGACATCGACATGAACTGGGTGAGTCTCTGGCGCTATAGGTCTACCACTGTGCACCGACAAAGCAAATGAGCTGGGGGACATCACAGGACAGGTAGCCCGCAATGATGGCGATGCGGACATTATGCAACGCTCATCGCCTGCGAATTGAGAGTACACGACGACTGGAGCGCTGACAGACCCGTGGACACCGACAAGATGGATTGCCCCAAGATCGGGCGCAGGGGAGTCGTCGATACGCAACGCACCAATCTCGCTCGAAGGGTTGGAGCTTAGCGATAAGATGGAGCATTGGAGAACAGGAGAATTACGAGACAAGGAATCGGAGGGAAGTTCATCAGAGAAGAATGTCTCGAGTTCGGTAATTTCACGTTGAAGATCAGCCAAGCAAATACGACGACGCTCCGAACAGAAGATCTTCTTGAGGATGGTGCAGGCGCCTGCAGATATACCTGGCAAGAAGCGTCTTAGGTGATCTCCATCCTGAACATATAACCTGAAGGAAGAATATGTCGTCACCGCCATCTTCCAAGGAAGGCACCCAGTGACCATCATTGTGAGTACGACACCGAGAGACCAGATATCATTTCTCCGAGTAGAGTATCGTCTGTTGGGCGTATAACCAAACTCTTTCCCTATACATTCTGGTAAATGTCAGTAAGGATGAGCGCATATATGAACAAAAAGACGCACCAGGACTCATGTACTCCTTGCTTCCGCATGCATGGAAAGTCGAGGTCTCGTTCTGCGTCGACAGACCAAAGTCGGTGAGGTAAATCCGTGAACAATGCGTTGAACAAAGAATATTTTCCGGCTTGATATCACGATGGTACACGCTCTGTTCGTGACAGAACGTGATGGCGTCGATGAGCTGGAGAAAGATATTTCGCACCCTGTCGTCTCGCCGGTAGAAGGATTTCCGGATAATCCTGTCAAAGAGATCGCCGCCTTCACAGAGATCCAGCACGACATAGTGAAAGTTGTCCTGGAAGATGACTTGATGGAATGTAACAATGTTGGGATGTTTAGAGACGCGGCTATGGTTGACGAATTCACGGATCTGGAACCGGTGCTCGCGAGTGCGGTCGTCCAAGGTGCGAAGGCATTTGACAGCATAGAAGGCGGGTTTGCTATTAGGCGATGTTGTGCCCAGGGCTCGATAGACCTTTCCAAAGTTGCCGGCACCGAGGCAGTTGAGGAGACGAAAACGACCGTGGTCGAGGATGGTGTTGGTAAAGTCTGGAAATGATTCTGTTGCAAAAGGCATGTGGAAAAAGGTAAAATGTGTGAAAACTGTTGTTTGGTTCAATGGTGGTGGTGGTTGTTCAAAGTGTTGTAATTATTAGGGTCCAGGTTGGAAAGCAGGTGTTTTTCCACGTCTTAGACATGGCCTGGGGAGAAACAAGCATCTAAGACCTCCGGTTCTTCGAATATGGCCCCTCGAGTCGAAAGAAGCCATTTTTGGTTCCACAAAAGTATCGTCGATGATCAGACTGCTGGACACCATTTTGAAGGGCAGTTCGAAGGGCAATGAATCCTAGCCCAGCAGACAACCGGTGCGGTGCAGTAATGAGGTATGAGACGAAGTGATACAAGACTGTCCAGTCGATCTGTTTCTCGTAGCAACACAAGGCTCACGAACATGTCTAAGAAAAGGACAATCTACCGGTGAAACAAATTTCGACCACCAGTTTCTCCTCATACCATGACCTCCATGAACAGATGGGTGAGTGTGGTGAAAAATCAGGCGAACAGTACATACATGATGTGAATGTGACGGTAGCGAAGTAAGAAAATGTGCCCAGAAGATTGCACATGAAGGTCCCAAGGATGCTCATCGCCCGCAAGCAACAGTAGCAAAAATATAAAGAACGATTTCTATACAATATATGAGCTTGTCACCTCTCTGATGAATGGATGCCCACCTATCGTGTGGCTTCGCATGGTTTCATACCGAAGCCTGCAATACATCATGATCCTGTTCATCAAGGGGCCCCATCCACGCTCACAATCACTCTCACCAGCTCCTCTGGCGACGGTTTAGCAGGGACAGCGTCCACACGAAGCTTCACCGTCTCGCGCAAGAATGTCCCAGTGGTTGGCCCAATCGCAGCAATCTTCACTAAATCCAGGTCAAATCCTTCCTTCACAAACGATAGAACGAATTCCGCTGCAGACGGTGCAAAGAACACGATCCACCACGGCGTCGTCGGTCTCTCCGGTACGATCTCCTTCAAACATTGAGAGAATGTCGAGCTGCCTTGGGTCTCATACACCTTGAGAGAATACAGAGACACTCCTGCGGCGCCAAGGATGCTAGACAACGTGTCACGATTCTTGTCGCCAGTGAGACACAGTAATTTCGTTGGACGAGGCCGTTCTGCAAGAATGAAATTGGCGAGTTGCTCTGCTGTCCCTGAGCATTCTCCACGGATATCGGCGTTGGGAATAGTACAACGCAGTGTCGAGGCTGTAGCCTTCCCGACAACGTAGAACGGGCATTCTGTCGCTGAAATTGAGTCAGGATTTTGAGGCAAGTGAATGCGACATGTACCGTTCTTGGCTGCACCATTCGCCTGGTACCAGGCCTCGCATGAACGTGCGCTGGTCATGACAACTCCATCGAAATTGCCCTGCGCCGTTACTGATGCGAGTTCATTGATATTCGTGAGCACGGTCTCGAGTACTGGAATCAAGAAAGGCGTGTAGTTTGCTGCAGTAAAGATGGCTTCATACCGGTCCTGTCCACTGTCGGAGGACGGCGTAGATTCGCGAAGGAGGAGAACGTTGGCCTTGGACGTCATCGTGGTCAGCGACACAAAGGGTAATGTGACCCTTGAACATTGACCATCACCTAGACCATCGCCCGCTTTCTGCCCCAATACCGAGCACGATTCCAACACTGAAGACGACGACTGGCTGCCGATTCTGGTACGTATTTGTTTCGTGACGACGAGGGTCTCCGTTTACCGTGCTGCAGTACGATTCCTCAGATCAAGAACGAAATGGTAAGACGTCAGCGGACGAGCGCTCCAATGTCTTTATTACCTGAGAAATGATACACCCAAGAAACGATTGCCAGTCGTTCTCATCTGAGTTCGTGATGTTTTGTGGCGGAGGATACATACATAGCTCGACGCCAGCCACAGCCAGCCAACGATATGGTCAAGATAATGATAAGACATGGCAAAAATGTCGTATACGTCCGCTATCCATGCTTCTATGGTGCTTCGCCTTTACTGCATGCTGTAGTGAAATCGTGGAAGTCCCTGAAGACTCATCTCATACGAATGACCACTATCGTTCGAGCTGACGGAGCGCGATGCTACCGTGAAACCGGTAGCTCCCCTTCTGATACACCAACGTCTATGTCTTCGAAGCAAAAAGGCTTACCTAGGAATGGGGATCTCTCCCTAACCTCCCGGATCCCTCAAAGCACAATCCAAAAAGCCCACGAACTTCGACAAGTTCTGCTATGGACCGGCGCAGTTATGTTTCTTTCAGTTTCAAGGATGAGTGAGCTAGATGCGGATTGACAAAAAAGAGGTTATCTCGAAAAGTTTGCATTCTTAGCGAGATAAAGTCAGGGAACGAGAAGGAGCTTATGAAGTCAGCAAAAGCAATAATCGTCGTAAATGCTTCCTCTGCTCATGGCCTCAGGTATTTCGCTGCATCCCTTCCTTGCTGTTGCGCACATTCATTTCGTTATTTCCGTTAACCCAATGAACCAGTCTCGACAACGAATATGAATCCTGACATCCTCATGGATTGTAGGAGTATCAGTCTTTATTGGGAATATGTCGCCACGAATTGCGTCAGTGCAATGAATCAAACCCACCGCTTGAGCTCGTAGAGAAACAGCCGCGTTCAGTGCTCCGTTGTGGTTGCTGAAGAACCGATAGGCCGACCAGCAGTGACCTAGATATTGTTGTATGCTCTCTTGAGTGGCATCATTCTCGTACCTATAGTTGAATCTGATTTAGGCGCTGCAAAAACATACCACAGATCAAAGTTTGCTTTTTATGTAGGCGTTCATGCCTTATTTGGAAGTTTTGAAACAAATTACGTCCCCAAAAGGACCCATACGTGCAACGTAAAAGCTAGTATGATAGGCGTAAAAAACATGATTATTATACATGACAATGGAAAGTATCACTAAAATTCTGAATCGGAACCGTCGTCGTAGAGCGCACCATCGGACTCCCACTTATCCCACTCTCTTGCACGATCGGTATATTGTAGAACAATATTGCCGTTGGCATTCAGTAGGCCACTTGGACTCATGAAAAGCCAAGATCTCAGGGTACTTCCCAGCGGTTGAATTTTGTGGTGGTCATAGTAGCAGAATATGTAGCGTGCATGGAGGTCGTCTCCAGAGAATTCAGTAGCATCCAATAGCCTCCCCAGAGATTGCATGACATTGTTTTGATGGTGTACGAGCTGCTGTAGGTCCAACTTGTCTTGCCAGATCTTCTTGGCATCACGCTTCAAGTTGCCACTGACAATCGATCCTATCTTGAGTACGATGAGATCCAGTAAAGTAGCGAAGCCTCTGAGATCGAAGGCATTCGGAAACATGTCGATTGAAATCATGTCTGCGGTGACAGGATGTTCTGGAGGCATCTATAGTAGCGGTTGTGAAATCTATATGAGAAATTGAAGTGAGAGAGACTTACATTGGCAGAACTGATCAAATCTATCGGTAACTTTGAAGGAGCACTGATCCCGCAATTCCCTAGTCTCCGATACAACATTTTTTCGGTTAAATCACCTTCCAAACAGTATTTCGTAGGATAGTGTTTCACGAGAAGGTCCTCGATATGTCGGGCATTTGATACGATCACGTCGATGTCCTTTGGGTGCAGTCGTTAGCATCATATAAAATACACAACATAGAAATTTACAGATGTATCCCGGAAGGGACTAATCCTCGCCGCCGCCGCGTGCGCCCCAACCACCTTGATGAATGTATTCAGAATGATCCCTTGTTGACGAAGATCATAAATGTCCTGCAAAAGGTTTTGTAGAACCTGCTGGCAAGTCTGGAAAGTAAAGGTTGTCTAATGATGGTCTTCAGTGCTACCAAATACCATCGTAGTTGAATTTATGCACCTTGGCTGCCATGGGATAGTTCTCGGGAAAGTGGACAGCTTGTAAAGGACACGCCAGAGTGGTTTGGGTATGCAAGCGCTCTCTGTCGGGACCCCATTATATAGCAAGAGAAATGGCCATTGTACAGGGTCAGTGGGTCTCCATTTTTGGTTGCTCCAAGTCGTAAATACGATCATGAATAGGTCACCAAAGTCGCTTGACCTCGCATTGCCTTAATGGGGCCGACGCACACAAAGACCATCCAGACATGACCCTTCCAGCAAGAGTCAAAACCGTCCTAAGGGCCTCGAAAAAAAGAACAAAGGATGGAACAAAGCGGCGACCATTCCTAATTCCTATTCTGCAGGAAGGAGTTATCGACAACAATTGAATTCCTTTATGCTGCGCAGCATAGAGCTCAAGAAGGTCACAATAGGTCCAAGCTGTTCGCGTTTACGAGGTCCCAGTAAGGAATGGAGGTCTCATTATCGCTTTGTTGATCGCACCATTGTCTCCTAGACCAGTAGCTCTAGTATGATCAGGGCCTCTTCAACTAACTAGTAGACTTACCCATGGAATCATGGATCCGTTCGAGTATTTCGTGAATTTACCTTCCGGAATCCGTTGGCACTGACCTTGGCGCTGTAAAAGTACCCAAGTTAATCCAGATACCTTCACTAAGTGTAGCCTTGTTGAATTTTGCGACTTCGAGGGAGACCCCCTCGAGAAAGCCAAACAAGTCTCAATAACACGTCCCATCTGTTGCACGTGGTCACTTTGAAATTAGTTTCCTTAATTCTTACAACTGTTACAGAGACTCATTTGACGTACTACGTGTTAAAGAATTTATGGCTTTTTGTACGCCATATATTAGGTGCACATTTTGAATATTCCCAATTCTCGATTTTCTCAAAGTACCACGGTTTCGCAGTGTGCATATGCCGTTTATCAAAGTTCTGGCTCCGATTCGTTGACAATGAATAATCTTCTGTTAACATCAAAGCTTGTAATCATGTTACTCAGGACTTCTTATGCGGCAGGACGCTTCATTCAGTTGTCTCTGCTCGTTCTCTCCTAGATGGAATCCCTAGGAGTCGCTCTGATCACAGGCTCTGCCCAGGGAATCGGCAGAGCCATTGCTCTCCGACTTGCAGATGACGGCTTCAACATCTCGCTCAATGATCTTCCTTCAACGAGAGCAGAACTTGATGTCCTAGCCTCCGAAATAGCCTCCAAAGGCCGTAAATCTCATATAGTCACTGGAGACGTCTCTTCCGAATCTGACGTACAAAAAATGATCCGCTCGACAGTCCAAACATTAGGATCCCTCGACGTAGTGAGTAAAGATTCCATCTTTACTCGATCCAGCGAAATTGAATCTGGGTGAAGATGGTTGCTAATGCAGGCATATGCATTGCAAAAAGTATTCTGTCTAGTACGTCCAAGGGGAATCATTGTGACGCAAGCGATCTTTGACTCTGGACAGCCTCTACAGAAGAATGGGATCGAATCGCTGCAGTTAACGGTCGTGGCACCTTTCTCTGCTACAAGTATGCAGCAGAGCAGATGATTAATCAAGGTCATGGCGGGAGAATTATCGGGGCATCGTCCATCTCTGGCAAGCAAGGTGCGACGGTTTTTGCCCAGGGACATTATCCACGGATATAACCAAGTTCGCTCTCATAGGATCCCCTAACCTACCTGCATATGGCGCCTCCAAATGGGCTATACGTGGGCTTACGCAAAGTGCCGGTGGGACCGCCCCTCCTTCAGGTGAACATTGCACTTATTCTCAACTATACATGGTTAGCGCGTGAGTTCGGTAAATACGGTATCACTGTTAATGCCTATGCTCCAGGTGTGTCTATAATGTTTGTATTGAATTGCTTTGATATTAATGCATACCAGGTGCAACTGAAACCAACATGAGTACGCTGTTTTCATCTTCTATAGCTTATTATCTTCCTATCTTCAGCCCAAGTCGTCGGCATTGCTAGTGCAGTCAACCCTGGTGATCCCGAACAGTTCTATAAAGATGTGAGAGGAAGGACTGATGTAGGAAGAAACGGGACACCCGCTGACGTCGCCAGCTTGGTATCGTACCTCGCTTCCAAGGAGGCTAGCTTCATAACGGGTACGAGATTTTTTCCTTGCACAACTTTAGGCTCTTTCTGACTTTAGAGGTGTTCGGAACTTGCAAAGGTCAATCGGTACGATCCACGCCTGCTCGTATAGTACACCTCATCTATTGCATCACTAGGTCTCCATCAATGGGGGCGGTTTCTACGACTAGGACAAGTAGTTACCTCCCTCGACTTTGTACGATATACGCAATGAAGCGCAGGATTTAACCGACGGTAAAATGTTCGGGTCCGAAACCTCGTTACTAGATTCAGCTCCCTCACCATGTGCCACTACCTTAGTATAACGCGCCCGAATGATTATTGCTAGGCTACGTGAATTTTTCCAGGGATCCGCCTGTACGGTAGTCTAAAAATTGCATGTCATTCCTGTGGCGAAAATGACGTTCTCTCCCGTGGTGCCATGACCACCGCGTTACCTCCGTTCTGATTTGGCTCGGCGGGGCATCCTCCCTTGTGATTAAGAATAGAGAATTGTGTAACTCGCGGCTTCCTCTCTCCCCCCCACCACCAATGGCGGTCGCCCTGGTCACAAACTCTACTCAAGGAACCGCGCGCGCGATCGCTCTGAGACTCGCTGACGACGGGTTCGACGTCGCCGTGAATGATCTGCCTTTGAGAGCTGCTGACCTCGAAGCACTCGTTTGTGAGATATCCCTAAAGGGACGAAAAAGCTGCGCAGTTCCCGGGGACGCGTCATCTGAAGCTGACGTGCAAGAGATGATTTCTTCGACTGTAGAGGAGCTGGGGTCAGTGGATGTGGTGCGTAGGTGACGTCCTCGACGTGTCCTGAGTTTGCTGATCGCTGCTTGAGATGGTCGCCAATGCCGGTGTGTGCATGACGAGGAGTATACTATCAAGTATGCCTATCAAAGGCGTATATCGAGGATCTGCATCGCTGATCATCGTTCAGCGTCTTCCGAAGAATGGGACCGGATAGCTGCTATCAACAGCCGTGAGACCTTCTTGTTCCACAAGTACGCCGCGAAGCGAAAAATGAGGGATCGAGTGAAAATCATTGGGGTGTCCTCTGTTGCAGGCAAAAGAGGTATGTGCGTATACCTTCCAAGAATCCTACCCTGAAGGTCGAAGGGTCGCCGTTTAGCGCTGCATGTTGCTCTTCAAAGTTTTCAGCGCGCGATATCACGGGTAAGGAAGTTCGACCCACCTCTGCGCTTTCGTCTAATGATCAAACGCCAAGAGCCCAAGTTCGGTCGGGGGATCACAGTCAATGCGTATACACCAGGTACGCTCCTCGTTTCGCCATTTATAAGTCTTTGATGCATTAACGCATATACTTAGCTGCCGCCGATACTGAAATGCGTAAGAAAGGCTGGCGTCCTTGTTGACCTACACTCACCCTCTGGCTAGTCATGGGGATCGGCAATACTCTCATGGTAGATTGGAAAAAAGTCCATGGAAAGGTACGTCTTGAGACTGTGACTCCGACATTCCCTGCTAACTTGATATTAAATGGAAGAAGGATAGGTCCGGCGCACCTTCTGATATAGCGAGTATGGTTTCTTATCTAGCTTCCAAAGAAGCCCGTTTTACTGTGACAGGTATCTCGCTTTCTCTAGTGGTCAACGATTGAAGCCCTGAACATTGAAAGGCCGTCTCAATGTCATGTACCATTACTACGAAACACTCATATTCCTGAGTTTCCAGATGTCAGGCTCATGGTACAAATAAAAAACAGGGATACGCACGAAGTCTGTATTAGTTCGGTAGCACATACCCAAGCTTCTATCATCTCACGATGTCCTACTTCTCTCTCTTGTAGACCTTGTTCAGGAAACTCCGGAACACCTCTCTCTTCAATGTCTTCCTGCTGTGTCTCCGGTATAGCCTCAATCATCCGTATCAACTCCGCGTAGACGCCCTCCTCATAGACTCTGTATATCTCCCTCAGTCCGACCTCTTCAAACACCACCTTCACCCTTCCCTCGGCTGCAGAATCCTTCCGACCATAATTCTCATCAAGCACCATCCTCTGCTTCGAAGACGCTAACTCCAAAGCCGTGTTGATACACCATGAGCACTTGTTATCCAAGATATCCGTGCCGACCTTCCCAATCTGTTCCGGGGACCCGGAAAAGTCAAGGAAGTCGTCCTGGATCTGGAAGTACTCGCCAAGAGGGATCAGAATGGATTTGGCGGTTCCGTAGGGTTGGATGTGAGCCGAGTCGATGGTGTAAGCTGCGGGAACGCCGCACATGTGCATAGCAAGCGCGACGGGGAGGTATAAAGAGTAGTATGCAGTCTTGTATATCACGATGAGGCTGTGTCTACACAAGCAGGATATGAGTGGAACATGTTCAGAATGAGAAACCCTCTTACCGCTTTGAGGAGAACGTGCTAAGATCAACCTTATCCACGGGAGCGGTGAGCTGATCAATAAGCTGGCCCATCTCAGTCTGATAGGTGGTCTCGTGGAAGAGCTCGAGTAAATCAACGTAGTAGCTTTCCGATCGGAAGTGCTTCTTGAGGAGAAAGTATATCGCGCTCTCAAGCATGAACGAGTCGTTTATAGCTATATGCCCAACTTGAGGGACGCGATACCAACAGGATTGGCCATGTCGCGTGATTGAATTATCCATGATATCGTCGGCGACAAGGAAACATGCCTGAAGCTGAAAAGGTGATGAGCTGAGGCGTATGGACGAGCTCTGGTCAATTCACCAGTTCGACACTCCATCCCAGCACGGCCGCTTTCATATATTCGTCACTGGTGAGAGCGCGCCCCTTGAGTATTTCGACAGTATCGACGACCGACATTCCACGGTAGAGTTTGCCTCCTAGAACGTTGTAGTCTAGATTCTGTCTGGCGAGTGAGGGAGAATAGGTGGCAAAATCCGATTCGTACCCACTCTTTCATACCACTCTGCGGCATCTTTAGGCATGCCTTCGCCATTGAAATGATCTAGTAGTTCTTGCTTAATGACGACCCATGCCACCTCGAACTTGGAACAAACAGACATGGAAATAGAAGGACAAGAGTATTGTCGCAGGTGGTGCCACGCTGTTCGACCGATTACCGACAGACATTGACAGATTCATCTACAGTCAGTAGAGTTCAATATATTATCAAAAAAAGTTACTCTGTACCATCAACCGAGAGCCGACTGAATCTCCATTTGGCAGATAATACTTATTCAATTTTTTATTCAGATAACGCCCAAATATCCTAGTGATATCAATCGTACCTAAAGTCGTGTCAGAACAGCAGAAGAAGCAGACAGAGGAAACACCAACATTTCTATCAGTTATTCCCCAGCCGCTGTCCTGACCCCCAATTGTACCCCCTGCTGGTTCCAGTGCTTGAACCAGTTCCAGATCCCGATGCACCCCCTCGGCTGCGAGGCGGATAAACATGTACACCACTGGCACTCCCGTGTCCTCCAGATACAGCCCTCGAGCCGATCAGATCTCTGACCCACCGTGGTGCCCTAGCCCACGCCCCGCCTTGCGCATCACCAGCGCTCCAAACACGCCACCACCACAGATGGCCTACAACGGTCCCAACAACAGCTCGAGCTGCGGCTGCTGGACCACCCATGAGTAACTCGACAGCAAGCATCGTGTATGGGACATAAACAACAGGAATGGTAAGAAGACCGAAGAATGAGGATTGCGAGCCTGGAGGTGCGCGCGCTGAGGAGAGGTAGGTGAGACAGTGCATGAGAGGACGTAGAAATACAGTGGCATCAAGAGGGTGGCTTGCAATCTGTGAATAATCAGTTGAGCAGAGTAAGCGAGCAATGCACCGGCGTACATTGATCGCTATACAAGCAAAGAATAATTGCCAGGCGAGGTCTGCAGAATCGTATGTTGCCTCGAGCTGGTTGGATGTTTGGCTATGCAGGCGACATGAGGGCGGGGGGAGGTACGGACAGTAACCAAACTCACTAGAGCATTGCCAGTTCAAATATAAAGTTTATTCCCGAGCCTGCAGCGAAAGAAAATCATCATTATCCGGTGAACAGTGCCGTACAGACTGCCCTTACTTCCAATGAAGAAGCTGGTATAGAGGCGCCATATCTGAAGACGTCTGGGTACCTTTGCGCAAGAATTCGGTACCAACGCACCTGCAACTTTTGCAGCACCAAGTCTCGATGATAAAGCAAGGTATACGGTGATATTATCCCAAGCAGATACGGTATTGACACGCCCAGCAGCGACGTAGAAAGGAACCGGGTCACTGACGGTATTTTTCGAATTTCAGCTAGTATTGAATCGGACATCATCGAGGAAAAAGAAACGAATGAGTGACGTGTTTGTTGGCGGCTGTTTTGGGGGCCGGTCCGAAATTGCCGCAATGCCTCCACCTGTTGCTCCGTTTACCTCCTCCTGCCCGTAGTTGTATCGAATTCCCAGTAATCTCTTGATCCCCTTGAGACAACCCAATAAAGGTCCAGCCCATCTCAACATTTTCTGCTTCGTGCTGGTGATTCTCATCCAACATTCTTCGGCTTCTCGTCGGAGTGATGCTCGTGGTGAATCTTCTCGAGTGGGCTTCATGAGGTCGCCATTCTCTCAGTCGGTCAGCTGGTTTGTCATGGGTACTCAAACCTGAAAAAAGAACCTAGTATACTGTGTGCCCGCGCTCTGAAATGTGGCACTGTCTGGTCGTTGCCCTTTTGATTTCATTGCGCGTCCTATCTGTGGACATCTTCACAGGTACGTTATCTGTCTCTTATAATTGTCACCTATGTTAATTTTATGGTGGGGGATTCCCAGATGCTTCCTCAACTAAGCCACGTTCCATTCGGTGGCATGTCTGCTGGAGGGTCGACGAACGACTATGTCGCTTCCAACCACACAGAGCTCCGCGAGGCTCCCGCTCTGCCTTTCACTAAGACGATATATTTGAACGGCACTATTGAAAAGAGCCAACTCGATACCGGTACCCATCCACGTCCCCGTCTTAATTTCAACGTTTCACAACTATACTGATAGGTACTCTCGCGACATGTGTAATACTATACCGCTACCACGAGTGGCACATCAAGTCAATTCGATTTAATTCTATACCTTCTTAGCCTCAATGAGACCTACATCTCTCATGCGAACCTGTCTGACGACGGGGTCAACAATAATGAGCCTCGGTTCAATAAGAATCAACAAGAGATGTCTTTGGATGCCATATCCGAGTTCCACCTGGGGATGTACGGCCAGTCGACGGTCCAGCTTCCGGGGAACCCTGAGCTCCCTGCAAGAGGTTGTATACGGGATTCCAGTGTTCCGCCTACCCTCAACAGGGTAGAGATCGACTTAGGTGCGGTAGCACGGGATCCTGTTGACTGGTTCGTGGACGAAAGGGATACAACAGAAGGTGCCGTGCTGGTGACGTGCGAGGACGTGGCACTGGGCGACTACTAAACTTTTTGGGACCATGCAGGAGGCGACTAGGTATGTGTTGCGAGAGGCGTGACAGTCTTCGTGACTAGGGCAGTGCCAAGTTTCTGGACACCAATTTCAAGGTAGAAATTGTTTATGTATAACACCAAGATAAATAAAACATAATGCATATCACGATTCGTACACGAGGTGGAAAACTCAAACTGTTACAATATTCACGAAAGGATAAGCTTGAAAACACCCCCATCGACAACTAATCCTCTGAACATCGTCTTTCCCAACAAAAGATCCACCCTCTTCACTCCATCCTGCCTCTCCGCATTCGCTAGCTGAGGATTCCCTAGAGCCCTGCACCTACGATTAAAAGCCTTCGCAATGGCAGTCTGGTCACCCTCGGGAAATCTGTGCCATTCCGCCGCGCTAATTCTCCACATCAGCATACGGTATAAACCTTGCAAGACATCTAGCAACGACAGCCCCCTGCTTCCATCCCCGACGGTTATGGGCCAATACGGCAACGCATCGCAGATAATGATCATCTTCTGGATGTGAGGGTGCGTAGCCGGACCACTGAGCTCATTCATGCCCAATGACACTTGCATGCCCATTGTATCCACCCGGAGTGGGTTGAACGCAGCCATCGACAGGTCGAACCGCAGATATCCTGCCTGCGCGTATCCAGTGAGCCAGGGATTGATTTGGAGCTGCATGGGTAGCTGCGGGTTCTGCTGGTAAAGGTTATACATGGAGGGATTGTAGTACTGGTCAGTGTGAATGTCTACTTGACCGCCAATTCCCCCGAAGGAGTTGGTTCGCTGACGGACGCCTAGAGGTGAGTTGAGGAATGGATTTTCGGCACCGTTCCAAGAGGGCCTGCGTACGCGGGGAGGTATCCACCCAATTGTTGGATCGTAGAAGGACTCGGGGGGGTCTCCGGGGGAGGATGGGAAGGGAAGCGGCCCAAGATGAGGAGAACCTCCGGGAAGGGGAATATTGTGAATGTAAGGCGAGGGGGTACCAGGATATAACGAAGCGGGAGGTATGAAGGGGCTATTCTGCGCCGCAGCGGCGGCGAATGGATCGTAAACTGGCGTGTAAGGTGACGCGGTGGGAGTGTAGGTGAATCGTCCGGCCATGATTGCGAACTCGTAGAGTAGAGAATAGAAAAGAAGTCAAGAACGAGTATTTATGGGAAAGAGTGGCTTGAAAATGCTGCGCGCTTTACAAATCGTCCTTGGGAACTGGAACTTGCACAAGAAAGGCGCTTATCCGAAGCTGCTGTGAGGTACTGACGCAACTTGAGTCAGTCGACTCTTGAAGACAATGGCGCGTAGAGATTGTTATAAGCTATGATTTGAGCGGCGATGAGATATTTTGTTATTATTATATAGACTGCCGATAACGTCCTGATGAAAAAGATGATCAGCCAGCAAGTACAGATTAAAAAATACGGCGTCGGTACCGATGAAGTTATCCTGGCTGCAAACAACAGAAAGAGCCGAACCTAGGCAAACCAACCCGCCAGCGATGTCGTGGTAAGCGACTTGATAACCAGACTCTTTAGACACCCGAGATGGTTATCACGCACAGGGACCCTGGAAGTGTTTCACGTTTCGAAAGGGCGCCACGGGAGGTAACCGGCGGTGATTGTGCTACTCAATCCTAGCGACAGCACCAGCTAGGCCCGACCCGGCCGAGCAGGAGGAGAAGGCAGAGATGGTGGTGGTAAGAAGTCAAAAGACGCGATTGGGTTGTTTGGTTGCGTATTTGTCTATTCCAACCGCGCTGCTTTTATATCGCCCAGACATTACATCCTGATTCGTTCGGAATCCGGTAGAAATAGATATTTCCTATCTCCTAAACCTTTCCCTTCAGAAATCAAAGTTTTCTGATATAGTTCTTGATGAAAATCCCCCCTAATCGATCATCTGGTGATGGCGCCAAACTTAGAAGTACCGAGCTACGCATCGAGGCGACTGCCGGATTCGAGTCGACCGAGCTCGGTTCTCGTCTGACCTGTGCTTTCTACCAGGTTACGTTGTCCCTAAGGAGCCAATGATCTTAGCCAGGGCAGTAAGACCCATCCAGTGTGAACTCTTGTGAGCCGGAGGTCCATCTACTCCGATAAGCGCCAAATGGCAGACGTCAAGCTCTTAAACATTATCCAGGTTATACGTACTTTGTTTTGTGTTGATGGGCATCTCCGCTATCACTCTGACACAGCCACATACCTCCGTTCCGGCCTCCGCCCGTCCGCAGCAACACAGCCACTCCACATCCATGCTGGTTCCTGAGTAGGAAGTGGTTCAAGACATTTTGTCAAAGGGTTCAGGACATCTTAAGATGATAGAGAGATCAGAACATTCTAGATTAGCCTCAGTTGTCTGTCAATGTTGTATATTGCTACTACACTTTATCTTGAGGTCCAGCAATATCTGTTACTCTTAAAGCTATTAGACTTAGAGAAATTGAAATATGCTAAAAGCATTATGGATATACTGCATGAATGGTATATTTTAAAAATACAAGTTGGTGTGCTTCTATCACTCAATTCCCCTAAGAACTTGAGAGTTTGTATATATAGTATTAAGTGAAATTAGAGTTTTAAAACATTAAAGAGAGTCAGAGTTAGTCAGTTATTGCTCAGTTATAGAATCAATTATAAAGTCAATTATGAGAGCATAATCATGAGAATAGCTATAATCAACTGCAATTGCATAACCAACTCTAGAGTCAGTTCTACAATTATAAGTTGATTATGAGTTGATCATACTTTCAACTATAATTGCTACTGCTAAAAAAGAGCACCAGATTTCTTAGAAGTCCTATCTGCTGTGAAATTAGTTCTTTCAATGTCAATTATAGTATCATAATTGAGTTCATAATTGAGGTCTATAATTGATGCATAATTGACTTATAATTGCAACTCTGATCCTCTCTATTTCTAGCTTGCATGCACAGAATCTCTTTAATATTTTGAGATAGAGGATTAAGACCTTTTTTAAAAGTGTTCAGAATTTCTTCAGATTACAAGAATGGAACATTTGAGTTTGAGGGTATGAGAGATCTTCTGGAGGTAGAAACATTTGCAGTTGAAGATCTGAAGCATTTTACTGAGGTGTTCAGCACATTTTGAGATGACAAGGCTAGAACTTTTCACAAAGGAGTAAGAGATTTTTTCTGAGAAAGTTTGAGATCTGACTACTATATATGATATTCTCTGAAAGGATTTCTGAAGACAAAGATTTATAGTACAATAGTGAGGTTGAGATCTGTAAAATGATTTAGAAGTTGGACTCCAGCCTTATACTTTTCAGTTCAGTTTCAGACATTTACTCTTGAGTTCTGATATGATTGGCCACAGACCCTGGTATTGAGAGTGTCTATCACAATTTCAAAGGTCCTCACTATTCAATTAACATATCTGCATACACTATCTCACTTTTGAAAAATCCTAATTACTCTGCCTCCAAAGTCCTGATTTCTTTAGCTTTAGATGTCTTGACCCTCTACCATTGAAAAAGTTCTATATGCTCCTCTCAAATGTTCCAATCCCTGAATATGGAAAATGTCCCCATCTCTTTCAATATCCTATACTCAGGTCTCAAATGTCCTGAACTCTCAGTATAGAAAATGTTCCTATCTCTTTCTGACAATGTTCTGTACTCAGTTCTTAAATGTCTCTATCTCTCAGCTAGAAATGTCCCCATCTCTTTCTGACAATGTTCTGAGCTTGCCAGTGTCCCGGAGTGATCGGGCCTGGACGGAATTAGATGTCGTGCTTCCCGTGTTTGGGCGGCACCGGGCAGTTATAAATGGTTCCAGGTCATGTGATGCTCCTGCTGTCCACAATTCTCGTATGTCATCAATGTCACAGCATCATCTGCTACTCTGTACTATTCTATACCAGCAGGCTAAAGCTCCGAAAGACGGAACTCTAATAGCACTCTAATCGGGGTTAGCACTTACCATAGAGCTGGTCGATTTGCTTCGAAAAGGTGAATCTGTCTTTCTTCTAGCCCCACAAGCGTTTACCGAGCCTGATTTAGGACTGATTTCACAAGGTGCCGTATCATTTAACAGCAGTTGGAAGGCGCGTAAACAAAAGAATCACTGCTGTGTTTGAGAAAACATACGAAAGGTGCCTGGAGCTTATCCGAATGGCTGGAGGCTAATTTTATTCCTGTGGACATGAGTCAACTGGTGAAAACTACATGCACCTAACTGGCACAGGGTTTTCTTTGAACTCCGCTTGTGATTTTGCTCCGGGGGACTCAGGATGCGCAGAGCACTCATCACAGCTTTTTCTAAATTGTTCCTGATATGTCTGTCGTACCCCCAAAGACAGCAGTCATTTACCCAAGAAGATGCTTCTGCATTTGTTCATCAGCCTTTTCCAGAAGATGTACAGTTAGAGACAGAGGCCATGAGAATAAGCACCAGGACCGTCTCGAGGCAAGAATGATCTTCCCGAGTGTGTATTGCGACTCAATAGTATGGAACTCGGTATTCTGTATTCACGTTCAGTAAGCAACAAGACGGCTAAAAAAGCATTTTTGGGTTCTGACCTTTCATTGTAGGGTGGAGCTGAAGCAAAGGTCACTCTCCGAAGGACCTCAAGTTCGTATTCAGCGCTTGGGAGCCTAGCTCGGGTTGCTGATCTCCCACGGGACCTTCGCAGTATGTGTAAACTTCCGATAATGATGCAGTCTGCTATCACTAGCACTGTTGATAATGCATGAGACCTGTAACAGCAACAACCGTCCAATAGTGCTGCCTGAATTTATGTCAAGTCAGCGGCAGCTTGATGTAAAGGGTCCTTTAGAGCACACCATAATGCGAAATGCGCTTATTGGCAACGGCAAAGTTCGCTTGACTGAAATCTACTGCTTGTTTAAAGATCGAAGGTCCCTAGGTCGTCGAGCAGATTTAATCATCCAAACCGATATTCGTCGATCAGGGTATCCGTAGTACGGCTACCAACGAGGTTCGCTGCAACGCAGACTCGGGCCTTCCAGGTGAGGAAACTTGTCGAACTCAGAAGCGAGAACAAACCCGACAACTCTAGTGGATCGACGTAAATCTACATTTTCAATGCAAATAGCGGATGCCATTTTATGTGCTACACATTCACTAGCAGCATCAGTTCACCTGGATATAATGGTGGTCGTCCTCTGCGACCACTGGCAGTGTGATGGATCAACGAAGAAATCTTCGGACCGATCATCCCCGGACTGTCCCAATCCATCCCATCGGATCACGTGCGGGATTATTTTTTTTTTACCACGAGACGACTTTTCGGTATCCTTCCTTCATCCTCCGTTCACGACCCAACCCAACGTCCTCGGTACCTCTGTTGGGCTCGACAGTGACTAACTTTTTGACGAAGCTCTCACTATGGCCCTGCCAGCCGGCCTTCGGTCTTTCCAGGCCTCAAAAATATGTCGGACGAAATGTATGTCCAGACGTTCGCTCCTTTCATTTTCGCAACACAATGGGATTCTAGGGTTGCTACAAAAGAACGGTATGTTGTGGACTTTTGTCTTATGCACAGATCCTTATGCTGCTTCAGTTTCAGTTCGTTCAGCGTCGACGGCGGTCGCATACGAAGATAAGGAATCGTTAGATCCAGGAACCGCCGTGAAGCCCACGTCCCCACCTGCGGCAGAGAAGACCGGGAAGCCTTTTGCTAGCCTCACGGGTGCTCTTCTTCCCGACACTCTGAAAGCCATTATGGTCAAACCCTTCAAACTCACCAGCATGACCCCCATCCAAGAGGAAGTCCTGTCGCTCCTCCCAGACCTCGCTAAGCCCTACAACCCCGAATCTACCTCTAGCCGCGATCTCCTCATTCGTGCACGGACTGGTACGGGCAAGACGCTGGCCTTTCTGGTTCCTGTCATCGAAGCTCGCGTTAGGGCTGTTGAAAATGCCGGTCAAAAGAGGGTCTTGGACGATGGACTGCTCTCCAAGCCCCATCTTGCCGGACAAGCGTCGAAGAATTGGGCACGGGCAAATGTTGGGGCAGTTATTATCAGCCCTACTCGGGAATTGGCTACGCAGATTGCCAACGAGGCTTTGAGACTTTCGTACCACCACGAGGGATTCGAGGTTCGGCTTCTGGTGGGCGGCATGAGCAAGCGCGTTCAATTGCGTGATTGGGCTAAAGGACGACCGGATATTGTTGTAGCGACCCCTGGTCGTATACGGGATATCGTTAACTCTGAACCGGATATTGCAAACGCTTTGAAGACAACTCGTACTGTGAGTTTGTTTTATCTTCACATTCACGATATTGATGATGAGTATTCAGTTGGTGCTTGATGAAGTTGATACGCTCCTCGATATTGGTTTCCGTGATGATATTAGCGCAATCATTAGGGATCTGTCTCCCACACCCGAACGTCAAACGCTATTGTGCTCCGCTACCCTCACTCCGGCCATTCGACAGGTTGCTCGTGAGGCATTGGCTAAGGATTACAAGTACATCAATTGTGTCGACGACTCGACACCCACCCATCTCAACATCCCCCAGTTTGCGACCACGGTCCCGAGTCCTGCGGACCAGCTCCCCCATATCGTCAAGCTTATCATCCATGACCAGCTGAAGCACCCTGGGAAATCCAAAATCGTCTTGTTCTTGCCTACCACCAAGCTCACCATGCTGTTCTCGTCGATGTTGAGAACGATAGCCAAGTCTGTTTTTCCCGCCGGCAAGGACACATGGGTTGGCGAGATCCATTCCAAATTCACCCAGGAAATGCGAACGAAGATGTCCAACATGTTCAGGAAGACCACTGACAAACCAACTATCCTCGTGACATCGGATGTTTCTGCTCGCGGTGTTGATTATCCTGGAGTAACGCGTGTCATCCAGGTGGGAATACCTCACAGTATGGAGCAGTATGTGCACCGTGTTGGTCGAACGGGACGTGCCGGGATGGAGGGACGAGGCGACTTGGTCCTGCTTCCTTGGGAGATCGGCTTCTTGACATGGCATCTCACAGAGATACCGCTCAAGTCTTTATCAACCAGTGAACTGGATTCGCAGCTCACGGAGCTGACGCAGACGTACGATACCAACCCTATCGCGCACTTTGCCGGCAACAGGCAAGGAGCCGCGACATACAGACACCCTATGGCGCCTGTCTTGGACGAGATTGAAAGTGCAGTAAACCACTTGCGGTATGATCGCTTGGACCCTCAGGCCGTGAAGGAGGCGTTCATGTCCATGCTTGGTTATTACTTCCCCAAGTACTCTGAACTCCGTGTGGGTAAGAGCGTTGTGTTTGAGGGTTTGAAAGAGTGGACTACTGCTGGATGTGGACTGGAGGAGGCCCCCATGGTATCGCAGGCATTCCTCGCTGAGATGGGTGTCCACGATAATAGGACCAAGTATTTCGGCAAGGGACAGTCGGCCAACAGAATATCACGCGCTCGAGCGACACCATGGTCTGGACGTGGGCACCAGAGGACGAGAGACATTGCTTGGGACCAGGTAGACATGGGTGATGACTTGTCGCCAGAAGAGCGCAGTTTGGATATTAGCGAGTTCAAGGGAACGAGCTATGGCGAAAAGTACCTGAGGGCTTCATTGAGGCAGAAAAAGGAAGCAGAGCGGGATGGTACAGGCGAAGGAATATTTTCGGGCGGTGGCCGGAAACCACAGGGTGAATTTAGAGATCGTGATCGTTCGTACCAAAGGAGTCCTCCAGGTGGGCGCGGTGGAGGCTCTTACGAACGAAGCAGTCGAGGTGGAGAACGGGGTTCATATTCAGGTGGTGGTTCGTACGGAAGGAGTGACCGCAGTGGAGACCGGAGCTCTTTTTCGGGTGGTGACAGGGGTGGAAGAAACGGTTCGAGGAGGTCTAGCTGGGCGTGAAGGAGTGTATCTATGTTTACGGTCTTGTGTTAATTACATACATGGAGGGTACTCTCGTATGTTGTATGATAGTTTCATCTAGAATTGACTAACGCCATTCCAAGGGCTTTGAGCTACTGAGTAATACATGACGTATTAGGACTAGTTGTAGGATTCTTTTATTTTTCTCCGATTGTCCTAAATTTTCTTCGCGTATGGGTCGATTCATTTAACGACTTGACTTCCTACTTTCATCTTCGTTCGACTTTGACAGTCTCTCTTCGCACATCCTACCCTTTTTTCAACATGTCTATCGCGCTGGACTCTTTCAAAGACTTTACCGGCACCATCCTCGACCACGGTCGTTTTCGTCTCCTCAACTGCCTCGGCGCCGGCGCCTTTGGAAAGGTCTATCGAACTCTGGACACAACATCGCCTAATAGCAAACCCGCCTTCTATGCTGTCAAATGCCTTCGCACCTTGGACGACCGCACTCGCGAGCACCGGTTCCAGATCCGTGAACTCGTCAACCATAGCTGCGTCTCTAAACATCCCAACATTGTTACATTCCATCAAGTCATCTTCCAGGACAACTTTCACTATGTCGTGCTGGATCTCTGCGAAGGCGGCGATCTCTTTGACAGGATTATCCGGAAATTCTTCTACCGGCGAGACGACAGGGTACGAAATATCTTTCTCCAGCTCATCGACGCCATCGCGTTCTGTCACGAACAGAGCGTGTACCATCGTGATATCAAGCCAGAAAATATTCTTTGTTCAACGTATTGTTCACGGATTTACCTCACCGACTTTGGTCTGTCGACGCAGAACGAGACCTCGACTTTCCATGAATGCGGAAGCAAGGAGTACATGAGTCCTGGTGCGTCTTTTTGTTCATATATGCGCTCCTCCTTACTGACATTTACCAGAATGTATAGGGAAAGAGTTTGGTTACACGCCCAACAGACGATACTCTACTCGGAGAAATGATATCTGGTCTCTCGGTGTCGTACTCACAACGATGGTCGCTGGGTGCCCTCCTTGGAAGATGGCGGTGACAACCGATTCTTCCTTCAGGTTATATGTTCAGGATGGAGATCACCTAAGACGCTCCTTGCCAGGTATATCTGCAGGCGCCTGTACCATCCTCAAGAAGATCTTCTGTCCGGAGCGTCGTCGTATTTGCTTGGCTGATCTTCAACGTGAAATTACCGAACTCGAGACATTCTTCTCTGATGAACCTCCTTCCGATTCCTTGTCTCGTAATTCTCCTGTTCTCCAATGCTCCATCTCATCGCTAAGCTCCACCCCTTCGAGCGAGATTGGTGCGTTGCGTATCGACGACTCTCTTGCGCCCGATCTTGGGGCAATCCATCTTGTCGGTGCCGACGGGCTTGTTAGCACTCCAGTCGTCGTGTACTCTCAATTGACAGGCGATGAGCGTTGCATAATGTCCGCATCGCCATCATTGCGGGCTACCTGTCCTGTGATGTCCCCCAGCTCATTTGCTTTGTCGGTGCACAGTGGTGGATCTATAGCGCCAGAGACTCACCCAGTTCATGTCGATGTCAGTAAGGTGCCAGACATGAAAGAAGGCGAAGGTATTGGCGAGGTGGACATAGCTTTGGTGGTCAAAGATGACGAGAATGATACTCAGCCCGCTGATTTGGCTGACGGCACTGGTTCGCGGAAGAAACGTGTGTTCTTCCAGCGGTTTGTTCAGAAACTGGCTGCGTCTAGGAATAGGTTGTCGATGATTCTTCATTCGGCTTAAGTTATAGGCAACATCCTATGCCACACGTCGAAATCATGCATTAATTTTATTCAATATCTGTTTCTTTTTTGAGTTTCATACTACAGAGACTGGAAAGGTCGGACATATTTTCTTTTCAATGTCTTTGGCGTCATTACCGCATCATCAACTTGCCTCCTCCTCCATCTTCACTAAGCACTGATGGCAAGGCCCATCAGAAACTGGCGAAAATGGGGGGATATGCCTTGAGCGCCGGCCGGATGTGGATATCGGACAATAGATAAGATTCTGAGTGAAGAGAACAATGTCAGATGCTGCTAGTCGATAGTGGATGTATGGAGTGTCATGAGGTTTTTTTTTCGAGTGGGTGGGAGAACGCTCCTTTCCTCTCCTTGGTCCATGATTCTACTTCGAAAGCATCGACGTCGGTGGATCAGTGGCGAGAGCTGCGCTTTCATGGTAGGGTGCTCCGTCAACCCGAATGATAATGGTCATTGATTTGTATCTGGTGAGACTTCAGGGACTTCCAGGACTTCACCATGGCATGCAGTAAATGTGAAGCACAGTAGAACCATGGATATCATGGACAGTGGGCGTACACAACAACCCCACCATATCTTTTCGCGCAGGAGTCGTCGTCGACTCTATGAATTCTCCACCGCAGAGCATCGAGACCTCAGATAGAAGCAGCTGTCAGTCTTCAATATATACGGCTGGATCGTCGTCATCAGCGAATGCGGACGTTGGAGAGCTCGTCCACTGACGTTTAGCATCTCGTTCTTCGTCAGAGGAATTAGGCTACTGCCGCATGGAGCGCAGACTCTTGCCGCCGTGGATACCAGCATAGCCAGCCAGTAGAAGGCAGTCCTGATCTTCAGAGGCGGAATCGTAACCGTGCTGAGTATGGGGCAATCAATATACAGCGAGAGCAGACGGTAGACGTCACGATGATTCCTGGTCAAGGTCACAATGTTACCGTTTTCGCCGCTGACCATGATGACGTCCAAGGCCAACGTTCTCCTCCTTCGCGAACCTATGCCGTCCTCCGACAGTGGACAGGACCGGTATGAAGCCATCTTGACTGCAGCAAACTACATGCCTTTCTCGATTCCAGTACTCGAGACCGTGCTCACGAATATCAATGAACTCGCATCAGTAACGGCGCAGGGCAATTTCGATGGAGTTGTCATGACCAGCGCACGTTCATGCGAGGCCTGGTACAAGGCGAATGGTGCAGCCAAGAACGGTACATGTCGCATTCACTTGCCTCAAAATCCTGACTCAATTTCAGCGACAGAATGCCCGTTCTACGTTGTTGGGAAGGCTACAGCCTCGACACTGCGTTGTACTATTCCCAACGCCGATATCCGTGGAGAATGCTCAGGGACAGCAGAGCAACTCGCCAATTTCATTCTTGCAGAACGGCCTCGTCCAACGAAATTACTGTGTCTCACTGGCGACAAGAATCGTGACACGTTGTCTAGCATCCTTGGCGCCGCAGGAGTGTCTCTGCATTCTCTCAAGGTGTACGAGACCCAAGGCAGCTCGACATTCTCTCAATGTTTGAAGGAGATCGTACCGGAGAGACCGGCGACGCCGTGGTGGATCGTGTTCTTTGCACCGTCCGCGGCCGAATTCGTTTTACCGTTTGTGAAGGAAGGATTTGACCTGGATTTAGTGAAGATTGCTGTGATTGGGCCAACCACTGGGACATTCTTGCGCGAGACGGTGAAGCTTCGTGTGGACGCTGTCCCTACTAAACCGTCGCCAGAGGAGCTGGTGAGAGTGATTGTGAGCGTAGATGCGGCCTGTTGATGGACTGAATCATGGTATATTGCATGCTTCAGTATGAAAGCATGCGAAGCTACACGACAGGTGGGCGTCAATTCATCAGAGAGGTGACACGCTCATACATTGTATAGAAATAATTCGTCATATTTTTTCTGCTGTTGCGTGCGGACGATGAGTGACCTTGATGTGCAATCTTTTGGGCTCATTTTTTTACTCACTTCCGTCACATTCACACCATGTATGTACCATTCGCCTGATTTTTCGCCATGTTCACCCATCTGTTTGCAGAGGTCGTCATTTGCGGAGAAACCGGTGGTCCGAAATTTGTTTCGCTGGTAGTCGTCCTTCTCTTAGACATGTTTGTGAGCCTTGTGTTGCTATGAGAGACAGATCGACTGGACAGTCTTGTATCACTTCATCTCATACCTCATTACTGCACCACACCGGTTGTCTGCTGGGCTAGGATTCACTGCCCTTCGAACTGCCCTTCGAACTGGTGTCCAGCAGTCTGGTTGTCGACGATACTTTCGTGGAACCAAAAATGGCTTCTTTCGACTCGAGGGGCCATATTCGAAGAACCGGTGGTCTTGGATGCTTGTTTCTTGGCAGGCCATGTCTAAGACGTGGATAAAACACATGCCTCATGAACGATATAAAATGAGTGCTCTTTCCAGTCTGGTTCCCCACAGTCAGAACACTTTGAATCCCAACAACAGTCACCATCTCACCAAACAACTCCTATTACCTATCATCATATCCACTGATATGATATTCATGGATGGAACGTACTGTCTTCTTTGTGAAAAGTATTTCTTCGATAAACAGGAAGAGGCCGAGCTCATTATGAAGTCCAATGCTCATTTCAAGTGTGGGGGATGTCGTGGTCGATTTTTGAATTGCCGAATTCTTCGTCGTGTAGGTAGTCGGTGTTGTCCCTTCATTGGCAAAACTGATGCGTTTCTTGTATAGCCCTGCGCCGTTGTGCTTAATCATCACTACTGTGTGCAGTGCAACAAGCACTGCGGTACAGCGGAAGGCTTTCGTGTGCACATGGAGCAATTTCATAGATTTGACGACGATGACAATGACGACGATCCCTGGGAAGGAGTGGACACCGATGACAGTAATGACGAGTCCTGGGAAAGAGTGGAACACAATGACAGTGCCGATGACTCCTGGGAAGAAGTGGGTGACTATGATGACCTTGATGGTGGTCGGGTGGATGAGAGGGCTGAAGATGAGGTGTCTGAACCAGGAAATGAGCCCCTCGATACATCATGGGAAGACACCGAGGACGACTTTTTCGGACCAGAGCGCCTCAGGCTGCCGCTGCCAACTCTGAGTTGGTTCTTCATCCCCTCATCCTTGGGCCTGACTCGACCCATTCAGAATGATGGGGCAGCCGACGATGCAGAGGGGAGCGATGAAGAAGACCTTGAAGAGAGGTCTCACTCCTCGTGGTTGATGGACCAGCAAGAGCACACGGTGCGCGGTGCAGCTCCGTGTCGACATGTGTATTCTGTAATCTGCATTCGCGCTGCGCTGAAATTTACAGAGGCGTGTCCCGTCTACGAGGGACGAGTCACCAAGGTCCAGCTCCGGAAGATGTATATCTGCCCGGCGTGACGAAAACAGAATGGGTCGGTGGTGTCGCACGAGGTCATCGAGCTGATCTACCAATATCCATCATCGCCCATGCTGTCATCTATGTACCTCATAGCTCCTATGATACTTCCATTGTGTATGAACGCCTTTTGACATTGATATTGTGCATATGAACAATTTTTATGCCTTTTCAAATGGACTCAATCTTTGTTTTCTTTGTTCTTGCCATCCATCAATATGATTTATTCAAACTTCGAATGAGATGTTTCCTTGGTGTCTGTCGGTTCACTATGACAAGTTCTGGGCCGCTTCTGCAGCCAGTGGAATTGCTAGCAAATGGTGAATGTATTGACCCCGTCCGCTTAACGTGACAGATGCCCTCAGCTACCTTGATGCTGTCAAGGTACAGTTTCAGGACCAGCCTGATGTCTATAACCAATTTTTGGACATTATGAAGGAATTTAAGAGCTATGCATTCTCTGTGGTTTCTTTTCGCCTTTCTCTTCTTGCAGGAAGGGCAGGATCGACACACCAGGTGCCATAGAGCGTGTATCACATCTGTTCTTCGGTCACCCTCAGCTCATTATCGGATTCAACACGTTTTTGCCAGCGGGGTATCGTATCGAATGCACCTCGGACGGTCCGACACACAACCGAATCACCGTCATCAATAGCGACGGAACGATTATCCTTTATCAACAACCCCCCATTCTACCTCCAGGTGAGTGTCACTTATATTCGGGTGACGCACATACGTCGCACGATCAGGATGTTATTCAGCATTCTAGGAGGCCTCTTGTACCGTCATTCCCTACGGGGTTTTGTTCTGCAACGTTGTCAGCAGTGCTTATGCCTCCCGCAGGACGAAATCCCGAGGGTCGAACCCCCGATCCCAAAGCTCTTGGCCTCGAACTCGACAAACAGATAATGGGCCCCGCTTTTGATTACCGTGCAAAAGATCAAGCAACGATGTGACCCGGACACGTACCAGCAGTTCCTTGACATTTTGTCACGCTATCACAGGAAGCATGATAATATCGACGAGGTATTTTATTTTTGTTTTACCGCTATCGATTTCTGTAATCGACAGGGAGACAGGTATCCAAACAAATAGCCAGACTGTTCAAAGACGATCCCGATTTGAGGGCCGACTTTCATAGGGTGGGGCGTCTTGGAAAATTGTCCAAGGTTTTATAGAAGTGGCGTACAGAAAACAGATTTCAAACTGACTGTAATACAAGAGAGCGAAATGCAAGGGCATTATAGAACGACATTCCGCAGCTATTCATGGAGACGCGAACGGTGGGGTGCTGCATCGGAATGTCAAAAGCTGACATTTCTGAGGCGATTTCTTTATGACTGGCATTGTCGAACGCAGCGGCGGGATCGGAAGCGAGTTTGTGATTCAAAGTCTATAGGGATTGATAATGATCGATACGGCGAGCGACAGCATTAGAACTGTCTGAGGAGGTGTGACAGACGGCGATATTCGACCATACGGAGAGAGTAGACAGACAGATGTTGCGCCAATGAAAACATACAGACGTCGATATGGTTGTAGGACGCGTCATTGAGAGGACACGCGAAACGGAGGGAGAGAACACGTCTCTTCAAAGATGATGCATAGAATCTCCTCGGGGGAGAAGACGAATGGGGGGCCAGAAGAGATTTGTGGAAGAGAGAACATTGGATAATGCGATGCTCAGTCGCAACTAGAGCGCACAAACCGCGCTTGAGCCGTGAGATCTCGAAATCATACCGCGGGAGATGTGATTACAGTTGTAAGCGATCAGGGGTCATCACTGAACAAATGGACAGCTCCCCATTCCGCAGTTCACGTAGAAGAGAATATTTGAATTTTTCAGCGTCTTGGATCACAGGAAGAGTCCAAATATACTACTCTTGTCATCGAGTTCAGTGAGGGCCTGAGCCATTACAACCTAGTGTCAAGAAAGGAGAACTGGGGCAGATTATTAACAAAATCCTTACTGCAACTTCTCCTGTAGAAAACCTGCATGATGCCGAGGCGAACTCGCAGACTCGTCAATGTATTATCTACGCCCGGCATTCCCCGATGGACCGCGCCGTGTAATACTACCTACCTACCTACCTATTTCAATGATCACCAAATGTACAAGTTCCACGGACACCTGACATAGGTAGGTAGGTAGCAGTATTACATGGCACGGGCCATCGGAAGGGCACCGATTCGACATCATGTACTTAAGTATCTACTGACACCTCCACACGCTCAACGTTGAGAACGTAGGATCCAGTCGAAGGCCTCAAAGAGCTATTATCCGGAGTCCTTCGGTGCGTTGAAAGCATAGCGCGGCGATAACGCCGACGAGACAAGTTCGTACAAACCATGTCGACAATATTTGTGTACGGTTTCGCTGACACTGCGTCAGGGGTTGGTGGCGGGAAGATCGCCACAGGGAAGGAAACTGGGGACAATAAAACCCACAGAAAGGGCGTAACCGCGAGGTAATCCATCCCTCTCGAAGTAGAAGCAGGTATCGGCGCATAGCGCATGCAAAACTGGAAGACCATGAAAGCGAAGGTCCCACATAGCAATCAGGCAACAGATTAGCCTGCCATGAATATTATTGAAAAATTCACTGGGAGCCAGCGTAACAGCCAGACAGAGATGCGGGTAGTGAGGCAGAGCACCTGAGATCTTCACCCACCAGCCGAACACTGCTTTGTCAAGTTCATAATTTCCATCGCGAATCCACGATAGAGCTCCACACGACGAGAAACTGTGCACCCTCACACCGCTTGGAGCTTCGACATGGGGGTGATCAGTGGGATGAGACAGATTGTCGAGTCAACCAGGATATCATACATTGCATCGTCTCCGGCTCTAATGATCTCTACTGAAGAATATTTCGTCTTTTCAGTCACCGACGATACCAGATCCCATGTAGATCCTTCGATTTGGCTGCTGATACCCCTTCGGGCACATAGATCGTTCCGTGACTGGACGGCTGGTATACAGCAGAGCACTTGTGTGAGATCTTCAGGGTCCACTGAGGGCCGGGGATCTGGTCTAGGAAAGCAAAGAATGGATTGGGTGGGAGAGGATGAGGCGTCGGCTCGATGGGGTTTCCACGATGATTCATTCCTACACACGACGAAGACCGTCGAGATAGAGAACCCGTTCCGGAGCTGAGTTACGCCAGAGATTCGGAGCCATTGCCCGAAGTCAAGCGGACGTTCATGATGAAGCGAATCGGTCGGGCAGTACGGCTCCATATGATGGGCAACGATAAACGTCGATAGCGAAGGAGCCGCCAAATAGTTACTGATTAGCGAATGTTATTCCCCTGTTCTTGCTCGACGCACTAAACAGAGAAAACTAAGCCGAACCCTCATTAGATCACAAAGAAAAACACCAACCTGAACAAACCGATCATGATCCCAATGATTAACAACGAAATCCATATCGTCTCTCGGGATCCACCACTCCAAAAACAAGAAAAACAGACAGTCCACAACAAGGATGATCAAGTAGATCGGTCCTGCAAAGGGACCTAGTCCCATTGTTCTGTCCAACGAAGTAAGCAAAACAAAAAGAACGAGGCGACTGAACGAACAAACCTCTTCATCCTCTCACAGAGTTCCATCTGTCTTGACTTGACAACGGTATCATACACCACCTCGGTGCGCTCCGCGACCTGCGCCCAATCGTAGAATGTCTTGATCTTCTCGTGTGCACGGAGAGGATCATGTCTCCCTGAGGAGATGATGTCGATAGCCTCTGATATAGCACGGAAGACATCTGCAGGAAACTGCATAAGAGATGGTGACTAACGGCAGGAAGGGACGCACCATCCTCTTCAGGCTCTGCAAAGCTGATCATGTCGTCTGGGAGAATCTCCGGCACCCCGCCCACACGCGTAGACACCACATATAGCCCTGCACACGCTGCTTCGAGGATGGCAATGCCAAAAGATTCTGTGAGGGAAGTATTGAGGAATATAGCGCCTTGCGTGAGGACTGAGCGGACATCATTGGGTCTAATGGAACCCAGGAGCTTGATGCGGTCTTGAAGGTTGAGTTCTTCGCGCATTTGGAGGAGGTCGATAAGCTTGGGGCCATCGCCGCCTGGGAAGGAGTTGAACAAGGAGAAAGCGATGGGGGGTGAGATACGCACCGACGACGAAGCGTACGTTGGGGAAGGCATTGCAGATACGGGGGGCGGTGGCAATGAGGAGGTCGATGCCTTTGCGGTATGCAAGTCGGGAGACGACGACGATGGTTACTGAGAAGATGTTAGTGGGTCGGAGGCCATTAACCTAGTCTTTACCAGTATCGCTGGATTTCGGAGGGTCCGGCCGAAAATGCTCCGGCACCAGTGCATTTGGGATAACGTACACGTTCTCCCGGACTCTGCCTGACTCGTCAACGAGTTCTCCTCGAAGGACGGTGTTCTCCCTCCTGCAAGAAGTCAGTACAACAGAGATATACAACGAATAATCCTCACCCAGTATGAGAGACACAAATGACCGCATCGGCATTCCTCAGCGTCCCCGCTAGGAGCTTGTTCGTTAGGATGCTCGCAGCGTCTTCGAATCCAAACAGACTATGGTCAGTGAACACTGTTCTGATACCAAGTAGATGGGAATGCAGGATTCCTTCGTGGCCAAGGGAGGATAGACTGGCATGGGCATGGATGAGGTGAATGTGCTCCCGAATGAGAATCGTCCGGAGGTAAGGCAGAAAGGTGAAAAAGTTGGGCAACGTCGCAGAAGAAGCAATGGGTACAAAAGGGAGGTAGTATACTTTGAGCGAAGGAAAGAGCCAGCGAATGCCAACGCGATCGGGTGCATGGCTGTGTGTTATAACGATGACCTAGGATTATCAGGGATTGCAAAACTTAAGGTATTCATATGACACACCTTATGGCCACGCTTTATCAGATTGGCGCTCAACATGTAGACGTGATTCTCTACCCCACCAACATTTGGATGAAAGAAATCCGTTATCATTCTGTTTTTCATCAGCAGCCAGCCTTGCTTGGAGTAGAATTACTAACGCTATTGATATGGGCTCCATGGCGAAAAGAATGTCCCTGTTGACATTATTTCAAGTTGCGGGATGGAATCCCGTCTTGATAACGGCCGTCGTCATGGTTGTGGTCAGAGATGAAACTGAGACACGCCCACGTGGCTGATATTTTTAAATTTGCATAACGAATGTCTGAATTGTTGGCCTTCAAGTTTACGTACCAACTCAATCCCACTTCCTAGTCCTTTTATACACTGCATCGCCTTCGATGTCCTGGCGTCAACCAGCAACCAAGTAGCTATTTAATCGGATGTAGCTAGTCAGCAGCCCCCCAATTGTTCCGTATCAGCGTGCTGATCTCGGTATGTGTTAATAGTAAAGTTCTGTCTATGTGTATACGGCTCAAACATCACTTTCCAGTCTAAGAATTGACGGCTAGTCCGCAGATTGCTTATATACCAGCCACCTGCAGCTAAGACGACATCATGAGAGCCCCGTACTGCCTAACCTTGGCTACAGTCCTTGCCTCTCCTACATTCGCGGCTCCCATGAGATACGAGGTATCCCAACAATCTCCATACTTGACACGCTTCAGAGAGGCAGATACTGGAGGAGGGATAGCACTGTACATGAAAAGGATATCCGGTTCCCTCCGGGGAGCCCGTGTTCCTTCCTACTTGAGCCCTTCCGAGAGGCCTGACGAAGATGTATTCCATGCCCGGGCTCTCGAAGATACAGTGTTCATTTCTGTTCGTCCGACGCACGTTGGAACGCAGAAATTCATAGTCGGTAACCAGATATTAGGTATCGCAGAGGGTCCTCGGTGCGGTTTAAATCTGCTTTCCTCTTAACTTACATGTTGTTGATTTCATAGCAGAACTCTGACACCTTTGCTCATTGCATCCTTGCATGATCAGTCCCGACCCTCGTTTGGGCGAGAACAGGGATTGGAAGAGTTGCCGCCTCCTTTCTATTGAGGAGGGCGCAAGAGCCATATAATCATGTGATCCGCTTAGCCATGTCGACCCCAACTACGTCGTGAAGCGTCGACCGTTATGACAGACAGATGGTGTGGAAAAGAAGGAAAGATGCGGTGAAATAAAAAAAGGACCCCTTTTATAAGCACGGACACGGGCGGGCGGCTGTCGCTATCAATGTTGCTTGACACTCCATGATCCCGCGGCGTTGTGCAAGATCTCCCATCTTCAGATTACCTTGTGGTTGTTCTTTTTCCTCATTAACGTACGATGACAAAATCTTTTACATGATAATATGGATATAGGACTCAGACCCACAAACCTCCTTACAGTGCATTCCAACGTAGTTGCAATAGCACGCGTTCGTCATAGGCAGAGATGATGTTCGGGCTCAGAACACCTAAAGTAGTAGAGGAATCGTATCTGTCGAGTGCCCACTGATATTTGTCGGCATCATGGACAGTCGCAATGACATGAATCACCCTCGAGTCCTCTCTTTGTTGCCAGCCCCCTTCAACTTTCTCATGCTCGACTATGGTTGATTCAATATCAGAGGTAAGCGTACGCCAATGCTCAATCAAACAAATCTAAAGCGGCCGAGTGAACATGAGTCTAGGCAAAAAATCCTTCATATACCCTCTCTGAATGTATTCCAGCGTAACACGAATGTGAGATAATACGAGGAAACGGAGGCACGGCTGACCGTATCTTAGAAACGGACGGTCCGACGCAAACTCGACTTGGGAGATTTCAAGTTGGGACAATTAGCGTTCTCCAATTTCACCTTCTGATAACTTAGCGCTTGCCTGTTGATGGTACTTATATACCTTTCGGTGATAGAAATAGTTTAGAATAGACGGACGACTAGGAACCCCGGAGATTTGGCTCTTTGGAGAAGCACCTGGAACACGTTAATTATGGTTGCAAAGAGCAGGGGTATAGAATTACCCGGGGGCTCTGCCATTTCGATGTCTTTGTTTAGCTCCATTAAAGTGCAATGATGACTTGACGGCGTTCAGTGAGTTGAGCAACGAGAGCTGAAGAAGTTCAAAGTAGATCAAAGGACGAATGAACGTGATGGGATTAGATGTTCGCCATGGGGGTCGTACCGCAGAAGACAGTCTAAGTTGGATTTCGAGAAGGGCCAAAATGACATACAGCAAGTAGTTGCGAAACAAATCGAGGGGCATACATACACAGCGTCGTCATGAAGGTACCGGCCCTGGCTTGGAAGAGCTCTCTAACCACTTCTTTCGAAGAACATTCCTGGCTCGCAGGTTCTCCGTCGCCTTCTGTACATCCTCCTGCTGCCGTATCTTCCACAGATAATCCTCCGAATCCGATACGAAGAACAGACGGTACGTACGGACGCACACTTTGATTTTCAAGCCGTCGCTGGTCTTGATGTTCGGTTCAGTCGGAATGGTCGCCGGCAGATTTCTAATGAAGAATGATAAACATCTGGGATAATTCACGCAAGGACAGTACTCACTTTCGCAGGAACGGCCGTCTGACTTTCGTTTGAGGTACGTCAGTTGTTGGACCGGTCTGTATAGTAAGGTGAGGATTATCGATGGTAATCACAGAGGAGTAACGCACCTGAGTGTAGGTTTTTATGTACGCCTGCCACCGTCCTGTCAATACTTCCGAATCATCGAAGCTGGAATCGTCCTTTCCAATCAATTGGACCGTCATCTTCTTCGACTCCGGCAGCTGATCCCATCTCGTCAATCCAATAGATACAATATAAAGACACCGATGCCACGCACCCAGTCGATACGAAATAGATTCTCATCCGGCCCAAGCACCTTTTCAGCATTATGTCGACTATTCAGGTAGTCTTGTGTTGTTAGGGAAGGAATACTTCGGTCCCGCTTCAGAGTTTCTAACAGCTCCTGACTCTTGGTGTCGGCTAGGATTATTTCGACCTGGCAGATGCTTAGAACACATACATGCGGAAATAATCACTCTCACCTGTTTGATGATCGATCCGATCAGCTTGTCAACGGTGAAGATCTTGTAGGCTTCCTGCACAGTAGTCGTCAGTCTAATCATCAAATCATGTGGAAGTAAAAAATATACCTTGACTCCAAACATAAGCCGCATCTGTTCCTCAAACGCTTGTTGCTCCAACTCGTTATCGAACAAGCGTTCGCAAGATTCGAGCATCAGCTCGTAAAAGTGGCTCGCGTTGCGGTTGGGATCGCTCATGCTCTCAATGAAAGCAGTAGCCTGAACCGAAAGTCCAGTGATGGGCGGTGCTTTGCTTTGTGGTCCCTCCATCGCGAGTTGGTTCGAGATGTTTCGGAACTTCAAAAGCCGCGTATACATAACCTTATCACGAGAACAGCATTAGAAGTTGCAGAACCGAAATGTCAACCAGCGTACCTCGAGTAATCGCAGCAAAACATAAAAGTTAGTATTCGTAAAGAACGTGTTCTTGACCCGTCGTTGCTGACCCTCGGCTGGACCACCATCTGCCGGCGTAGGCGATGGCACGCGAGACAGAGAAGGAGACGATGCTTCTTGCGCTCTAGTTTTCCTGATCGTCGACTTGGCCTGCTCGCTCTTGAGCAGTTTCTTTCTCAAGTCACCCGTGGCGGCTCCTACGCCTCCCTTCCTCCCCTTCCCATTCCCTTTCGAGCTCCCAACACTCGACACCTCCGTATCGCTAGCATCACTCGGATCGCTAAACATATTCTCTTGAATGACTTGGAAAGCATTGTTGAACGCCACTGGATCCAAAACGAAGAAAAGGGGAACAAACGAACGTAGGAGTAGCTCTATCCGTTTACGTTCAGTGAGTGCGATCTGCCCTAGAGTGCGGTCCAAAAACGAGAACGTCAGCTTCAGTCCATCTTGCATCACGGACACATCGTCGATCATGAATTCCAACTGATGGGAGGGCCGTGTTCTACCGAAAAGGGGATCAATCAACGACGCGCGTTTCGCCATCTGCTCCTCCCGTGCGGCCTCAATCTGGTTGATGAACGACCTGGCCGAAGTGGCCCTCTTGTCCGTCAATCTAAACGTGATGCTCTGGTGATCGAGACTTCTGATGTAGTTCCTCGCGTCGACCTCTCGCCACACTTTGTTCCATTCCCTCTGTGCCCGTTTCCATTCCTCCTCCTTGGCCTTCAGCCGGTTTAGGACCGGAAGGATAGTCTGTGAAGGGAAATCCTGCATCGCTTGGATCAGCTCTAATCCAGGTTCCCGACCCCAGATCTTCTTGATGACCCGGTGATTGATTGCCTTGGCCGATCCATTCAGATTAGGCTTCAGTTTGAAGGTGGCTCGTTCTTCTGGGTTTAGCTGTGCGACTTTGTTGCTGATGGGTTCGAGGATGGCGATTGTGCGAACGATGGCCTCGATGTGGAAGTCGTATTCGTGGCGTTCTTCCTCGCTGCGGTGAAGGGCTTCTTCAAAGACGTTCTTTTTGGTGGATACCATAGGAGGGTCTTCGCTCGTCCATGTTGGATGCGAAACCCATTCGTCGTTTAGCACGGAACGGCACATGTCGTCGCGTCCAGAGCAAGTGACGTGAGCTTCCTGCAAGTACATGAGTTGAAGATCCGACGGATGATAACAGGGTGCTCACACTAGGATGCAGCTTGCGATAGCTGCCGTACTTCGTGCTCATGTCCATCCTTGTAGGCCGATCTTGGAAACCGGCGACAATGGGTCTTGTCATTCCAAAGAGCTGATGCTGCTCAAAGATATGATAGTCCCGCTCCTTCTTTTCGTCCCAGCCAAGAATATCTTTGAACTGCCGCATCAACTCACCGTCTCCCGCGAGGAAGTTCCGACTCTCTTTGACCAACCGTCCCATATCAATGATGCCCTGAGTGAAGAGATTGATAACTTTGAGGAATTCGTTGTAGGATTCTCGGCTATCGAGTGATTGTTTTACGCGGTCGAAGAAGCGCGTGTCATCCGGCGGTGGAGGAGGAGCATGGCGTCGTTCAGATTTGAATGCGGAGGGAATGTCTTGTGAGATAGACGATTTGAGTTTTTTAACCTGTAAAAAGTCGGATTGGCCGCAGCAGCCAAAAAGCGCGGACATACCTTGTGAGGATTGCTTGACGACAGTTTCGTCTCTTTCTCTACCAACCTTCTCTTCCTCTTCTGCGGAAGTAGCTGTCCTCCATCCATCTTCTTCTTGCCTTCGTCCATCATGGCTGACTCTGGCATGAATATATGAAAGTCGGCCCTCAAATCGGGATCGTCTTTGAACAGTCTGGCTATTTGTTTGGATACCTGTCCCTGTCGGTTACAGAATCGATAATAGTAAAACAAAAATAAAATACCTCGTCGATATTATCATGCTTCCTGTGATAGCGTGACAAAATGTCAAGGAACTGCTGGTACGTGTCCGGGTCACATCGTTGCTTGATCTTTTGCACGTAATCAAAAGCGGGGCCCATTATCTGCTTGTCGAGTTCGAGGCCAAGAGCTTTGGGATCGGGGGTTCGACCCTCGGGATTTCGTCCTGCGGGAGGCATAAGCACTGCTGACAATGTTGCAGAACAAAACCCCGTAGGGCATGACGGTACAAGAGGCCTCCTAGAATGCTGAATAACATCCTGATCGTGCGACGTATGTGCGTCACCCGAATATAAGTGACACTCACCTGGAGGTAGAATGGGGGGTTGCTGATAAAGGATAATCGTTCCGTCGCTATTGATGACGGTGATTCGGTTGTGTGTCGGACCGTCCGAGGTGCATTCGATACGATACCCCGCTGGCAAAAACGTATTGAATCCGATAATGAGCTGAGGGTGACCGAAGAACAGATGTGATACACGTTCTATGACACCTGGTGTGTCGATCCTGCGCTCCCCATAAGAAGAAAAGGGGGAAAAGAGATCACAAAAAACGCACAGCTGGCTCTTAAATTCCTTCATAATGTCCAAAAATTGATTATAGACGTCAGGCTGGTCCTGGAACTGTACCTTGACAGCATCAAGGTAGCTGAGGGCATCTGTCACGTTGAGCGGACGGGGTTCCGGCGTATTCATTGGAGGAGAAGAGGGAGAGACGTCGACAACCATGGGAGTCGAGGGGTGCAGCAGTAGAGCTACCGAGTCCGACCTGGCCTCTGTCGTCACTGGGACCGGCGTCGGAGACTGCTGGACACTAGCGTCCTTCACGGAGATCTCCTTGGAGATTTCGTTCTCCGGTGCGGCTGCCGTTTTCATGGAAGAATCGCCTGCCCCATGGCTGGATATTAGGTTCTGATTGTCGGGTAAACCTGATCCTTTCGGCTCGGTGTCACGGACAGGTTCGGTATTCGAATTTGGTGACGGAACGTCGACGTCCATGATGAATATGTCGTCGTCAACAGGAGGAGAGTCCGGGCGTCGCTGTTGACGTTCAGGAAAGAAAAGCGATAAGAGAGGTCCGTGCGCCGATCGCTGCTACACGTGGTCGGTCTGATGTTGCAATTTCAAATGCAAGCGATCATTGTTTGCTTCCGCGCCACTGAATCATTGTCCTCTCATCGATAGCCTGTGCCTTCGGACGCTCAAAAATTTTACAAGCTCCCTATCGACAAATATATGTACGATGGTGACAGAGCGGATGCGCACCATTAGCTCAAAAAACGGAATAGCTTCAACCGTTGGATACGAAGGAACTGTATTTATAATGTACGTTACAGTGAGCAACTCAGTTATGCCTCTCATCACTCTCCTCATCATCTGCGGCGCGTCCAGAGAGGCAGGTCTCATTGTCTTCCCACACCACTCCTACGCTGGGTTTCTGTTCTCTATATACATCGGAGAATATGTGCACAATGGTGGCATTGCCGCGGTCACAATGAAAGGAACGGATCACAATTAGCTCGAGAAATGGAATATCGTGGATAGCTTCAAGACGTCACATCCGTACGATGCTCAGGATCCGTATTTATCATGCAGGATGCCGGTGAGTAGCTCAGTTATGCCTCTCTTTGCTCCTCTCATCATCCATGGTACATCCAAAGCGTCCAGCAACAATACAGTCTTCGATGTCCAGAATCCATACACCAGTTCAGTAGTGGGAATGACTGCCTCTGCAATCTTCCACAATGTCGCCCAAATGCTCCAAACTCCAGAATACAACGAGGTCATCGCTCTATCTCAAATCAAAACTGGAGCAAACGGAACGGCCGTCAGCAACTGGCAGATTGCTTATGCCTTTATCTACAGCATCGTCTCCTTTTGCCACTAACTTCACGGAAAACATTCCCCATCAGACGCTATTTCAGGCTCGCAGGTTATCGGCCATGTATGTTGTCATCATCACTTACATTCGCTTGGCTTCTCCGTTTGTCCGTCAGTAGCCTTGACGGCTCTCGCAGTCACTTATGTCATTCTATGCGGGAATACAGTGATCCTCAGGCCTTCCGAATACAGTCGTAAATCACAAGCATTTTTGGCCTTTTTAACAAAGCTGGAGTTCTGAAAATTGTTCCAATGGGGAGGGAGGTAACGCCTAGATTAACAGCTGAAATCATTGCACAACCACTTCTTCGCAAGATATCGGCATGGTTGCTTTTGGTACTCTACGCATTCTGTAACCCTCCCCAGCGGTTCATTGGCAATGAAAACGTTGGCGGATCTGTCTCCATCAAAGTTTAAACTTTTTGTTCTCGAATTGGGAGGTAACGCACCTTCGATCGTAACTTCTTATTCTCCTCAAAATCTACATTCCAAATCAGCAACAGCTGTCATTGACATGATTCGGGAATGTTCCTGTCGGTGATATGCAGGCTGATGGTGCTCCAACTTGTCAAGCCGGGTGGGTATGAAGCTTTGGGAGTGCGAATCATCTGACCTGGGTAAATCTGATTTTACAATTCCAATTGTTATGTTCTGATTTCACAGTTTTTTGCACGACTGCCTTCGACACACTCGAGGAAGCGGTTTCTCTGGTGAACCAGTATTCGTTGGCATCGTCTGTTTGAACATCCAACGTGTATACTTCTCAGCAAATTTCGAGTCAGCTACGTTCAGGTCAGTGATCCTATCTGTTTCAAGGATATGCCTTGACAATGCCAAACTAGTAGGATACACCCACATCAACGGACCGACGTCATAGGTTGAACCGACCTGTGCCGTAGCAACTGCTGTTGAGTGAACCCATCGTTTCAATAATTTGCCTGCAACTTAATATTTTCACTAGTGATGGATCGTCTGGTTATGGTTGATTTGATGAATTACATGTCACCCACCGCGTACAAGCACTCGTTGTCTAAATGTGTGTCCCATTTCTAAATCAGTATGTGCTAATAAACAGGCCACCCATTTTCTGGTGACCTTTCTCATGACACCATCAATAGTCAGCAACCGGCGCATGATGTCTACCAAACAATACTCCACGGTTATAAATTAGATCAAGTTGAGGTCCAAAGTATTGATATGTCTGGAGCTCTTCCATTCACCCCGCTCTTCATCAATGGGCAGAAGGTTCCTTCCAGCGATAACGAGACATTCGATATCTCGAACCCATACTCCCATGCCATAGTAGGCAGATCTGCATCAGCGACCAGCGCTGACTGCCTCGCGGCCATCGATGCAGCCCATACTGCCTTCAAGACGTGGGAATATTCTCCGCTCCAGCAGCGGAAAGACCTTCTTATCAAGGCTGCCGATATCCTCTCCACTGGCCGTTACAAACAACTCATCCTGCAGTCCATGAAGGAAGAGACTGCCGCTCCAATCGACTTTTGTATGTATAATTGGGGCTCCTCGCAGCTTTTTCTTCGTGACACAGCGAAACTTGGGGATCTTATGGGCGATGAGAGAACAGCATCGGATAGGGTTCCCGGCGCAGAAGTCCTCGTTCAGAGAAGAGCAATGGGTGTGATGTGAGTCGTACTTACATAGTCTGGATTCCTCCGACCGACGATGTCGTATACGCTAGCTTTGGCATTGCCCCATGGAATGCACCTATCTCACTCACACTGCGTGCTATTGCCGTACCCATTCTTTGTGGAAACACCGTCGTGCTGAAATCATCAGAATTGAGTCCGAGGAGCCAGTTCATCGTCGCGGAACTATTACATGAGGCCGGACTGCCCGAAGGGGTACTTAATGTAGTTTCTATATCGAGGGAGGATTCACCTGCCTTGACTGCTGAGATCATTGCGCATCCGGCTGTACGGAAGATTAATGTCAGCCGCTAGATTTTGGGGTTTCTTTGCGCTGAAATGTTCATTCTTTGCAGTTCACAGGGAGCGATCGTGTAGGAAAGATAATCGCAAGCGAAGCAGCGAAGTATCTCAAACCTTGTGTTTTCGAGCTTGGTGGAAAGGCGCCTTCAATTGTAGGTCAAATACCTCAGTCTGTGCTACAACGCTCCCTCAGAATTCTTCCGCAGGTTCTCAACGACGCCGATATAGATGCCGCCGCAAAAGGCATAGTATCCGGAGCCCTCCTCTACTCTGGCCAAATCTGCATGTCTACCAGCAGAGTCCTTGTACAGCGGGGCGTATCCGACGCTTTGACAGAGAAGATCTGCGTACTCTGCAAATCTCTGAAAGCTGGAGATCCATATACGGACCCGACGGCTAAGCTCTCTGCCTTGTTTTCCGAACGTTCGGCAGAGAATGTGTTGAGTATGTTCCACGAGGCTATTGGAGAGGGAGCGCAAGTCCTCATAGGAGATGTCACGAGGGATGGTTCTGTGATACAACCACATGTGTTCACCGGCGTTAAACCGGGTACTAGGCTGTGGGAGCGGGAAGTTTTTGGACCTGGTGGGTGCTTTTGTGACATCCGAATGTCCGCTCTCTAAATGGGCATTGTAGAACTTTCGATTACGACCTTCAACACGATTGATGAAGCCGTGGAACTCACAAATATGTCCGATTACACACTTACATCATCTCTGTGGACGTCTGATTTAGGTGCTGCAGAGAAACTGGCACCTCGGATTCGGGCAGGTAAACTTAGTGACTCTGTCTAAGTTGACGGTTCCTGATGACATCCAGGTTATGCCAATGTTAACGGTTCCACCATTCACTCGGAGACCTTCTTGGGTATTATTGGACTTGGGTGAGCTCTTTACTCGGACATAGCATCTCCAAGCTCATTATCAACTTTTCGAAGCGGTTCTTCGGGATATGGCCGATTCAATATCGAAGACTTCACTAATAGGTGTTTGGTAGTGTTCCATCCACCACAGCAATATCCCCTAACATCATAAGCGCCATGTTATCGCCGATGTTGTATATACTACTGTGAAATGCTGTATGAAAATATCCGTGTGACGAGAGCTGTCAAAACAAGCACCCAGTAGAAAGGGTCAGTTGAGCACATTTTCTTTTCGGTGCTTGAACTTTTACCATCATTGTCGTCCTTCAAAAGCACCGCAACAGTACTTAACCTGGAAACCTGGATCCAGATGGCTAAGCTCATCGCGACTGCCGCGGATATGGCACCCTTTCTGTACATCAAAAACGTTTTCGGGTGTGTAGTACTTCTACTGGAGGCCATTGATATACGTCACAATAATCCTTGTCACGTTTTATTGCTCATTAACAGGGGTAACAGAAAGCTAACCAGAACGATAAGGATTTACTAGATTTGGCGGAGAGTATAGGGAAGGCGATGGTCGTGATTCAGGATACCGTTATAGAACACGGCGAAAGTAGCGCTCTCCGTTTCCGTGATATTTGTGCAGAGCTTCAAACGTGAGCGAGCACAAACACGTCTTGAAGCTTCCTTAATGAAAGCGTTTTTCAGATACTTGATGAGCTGAATTGTTGAAGTAAAACAGCACCCGGCACAAGTACCATCGGTTCAAGAGTTTCTTGAGGACAAAGAAAGTTTCGGACACTATCAATAGTTACCAGCAACGCGTACGTGCGATCAAGGATGATTTTATCGTGCGTCTCACAGAGACCTTTACCAATCTAGTATCTTTACCATTCGTTCATAGATTCGTATTCCATTGACTCGCGTTTCGTTATTGCAGACATCAAAGATGGATTAAAGACCAGTGCAGATGCTCTTACTAGCCCCATCGAGACGTCACAACGGCATGCCATGTCTAACATTGACAAGCATGCAGATAGGATATACGAAGAGATACATACGTGGGGTGTTTTGCATAGCAAGAAGACCGACAAGCTTAGCGCGGACATCCAGACATTGAAGGAACGGGGCTTGTACAAAGGATTTGCACTTTATTCTTCTTGTACGAGGAATCCACTGATTGATCGCGTGTCGATTACAGATTCGAGATGTCCTTCCAGGGGATATCTATTTGAGAGAGAACTCCTTAATCCTTCAGATCGCCTACACCCACTAGACAATGCTTTAGTGTTTACTGATTATAAAGCCGACGTTAATAACAGTAACACGCCCAAAATTGTTCACGTATATCGACGTTTCCACAGCAATGAACAAGATGCCACGACCGTGCGTTGCATCAATTCTGTCTCATCTCCTGGAGCTTAGGTGTCCTCAAGCAATTCCATGTAGATGCAAGTAGACCGATAAATCTTAAGGATGCCTACAGCATTTTGTGACAGTATTCATAAGTACTAATCTTATGGTCTTGGACCTAGGCACCAGAATATTGCCCAGGTCTTCGGTGTATGCGGCTCTACGGATTTCACTGCCGTTATATTTCATGGTAATGAGAATCATTATTTATTTAATATTTCTAAGCTTACACCTGTCCGGAGGCTTCACACGACACTCGATCTCCAACTATTGTGTATCCTTTACTGCAACTCAGTTGTTGCACTTCTATACACAACTAGTATGCTTCTTCAAAATTTGCTGTAGTGTTACTAAAATAATTGTGCGTTTCTGTAGTTCAGTGATTTAGAGGTGACGCATTTCCCGACTCTACTTCGTGTCAACCTTGAATGGTAAAATTAGTCGACCTCAGGTTACCTCAGTAGATTTTACCATACATCTCCGCAGGGTTGGATGCACTATGTGTCTGTGAGTAATGATACGTCCTGAGAAAGCCTATCTAATTCTAACTACTAATGTCTAGAAGGATGAGAATCTCAGTAATGTATATGTCAATGAACAAGGTCGCTTCGTACTGTCAGGGCTCGCATTTCACTATTTTATTGGCCTCTATTCGGTGGATATAGTTCAGGATGGCGAAGCAGTTCGACTCGAGTGACGGAATCGATGCTGCGCTCTGATTCAATCAGAGAATGGAACTGGCTGATGCATCGTACGAATCTGTACAAAAGCCGTCTCATAGAGATTTACGGCGCCCTTTATTATCTCATAGGCGATGCCTGTACGATGGGATACAACCCTATACTTCAGTTTGAATGCCCCTGCGGTCCCGGTAGCGTGTTTACGGACAGTGCCATATGATTCTTCCATGGATGGCAAGGTACCAGTTGAGCTGCCTGAACGGAACGCAGAATGGATAAACGATGAGAATGATTCTCATGTGCAGGTGTGATTGACGTGAATATACATGTATACCTTCTGCTGACTTATTCACCCATCAGTGGATCATTTACCGCCCAATACTTGTCTGTCACTCAAGAGCATTGTCTTCTGATATCGCCCTCCTGGACATTAGAGGGTCGTACTCAGGTCACGGCGGATGATGTACTCATGGTTTGCGCAAGCTTCGAAATTGTCATTGTCCTCTTATCAGAACCCAAGGGGCATTGATTGTAGGGTGCACAACATGAAATACATCGAACGTTGGTATAGCATATCAGAGGAACTCGGAAATATACTGACCAATAACCAGTGTGTCAACGAATGTACTTTAACCTTCATATAACACCGTGTTATGACCCTTTCCAGTTGCTGGAAACGTTTATGGCAGACAGCGAACATGTGTCTGCTCTCTCACTAACAGTCTGTGAACCCCGTCTTGATTCACGATCCAAGAAAATTTGCCGGTCCGTCCTTCACTGGTTTTCTGACCTGAATCTATCCAAGGAGATATCCGTTGAGGAAGCGGAAGCTCTTTTTGGAATCGAAGTCGAGTTAGGCGCTCATGAAGGGCTGTCCTTCGTACCGCGAAAGACGTTTTCGACAATCATCGAGATCAACACCATATGCGGGTTTGATCCTGTTCTCGAGGGTGCGGACATATGTGAATACGTTGACCTTCCTTGCATGGAGATCTTCGAGAATCCAGCAAAACTCTACCATCGTAAGTGAATATCTGACATCTTGTGCTCGCGCTTTGCTAAAAAAAAAAAGGGCGCAGAGGCTATAAGATCGACACACATTGCCGGCACCTGTTCATGATCACAGAGCCATTACAGATGCTACAGACATTACCCCAATCACTCATGTACGAGCAGAGAAAGAACCATCATCCTCTCCCATGTAAAAGTGGTTCATCGCAGTCCTCATTGCGCCGAACATTGTTCTTCTATCATTGGTTATACGTTCTTCTACCTACGTATAGAGGTGTAGAGCAGACAGGTTATGTATGGATCGAGCCAATAGCCACCTTATATTACGATCCACCGAAATCTTGTACTATCCAAATATGCGCTTCCAAATTTGTGATCCCACTCTCCGCCTCTCTTCAGATGCTTGCCCGTCTCCAAGAACCGACTTATTCTCAATCGCTCGCCGTGATAGGTAAGGCATTACCTAGAAAAAAGTAGTCAATGAATAAAAAGTGACACACACACGACAAATTACATACCTCTGACAAAGCGCCATATGGAACATACCTGAACGATTCAAGTGAATAAGCTTGTTGAAGTAGATTAATAAGAAATTATCTTACTTGATGATCATTGGAGTACTCGACCGTGTCCTTTCCACCAAGTAATCAGTCAAAGCATCCCCCATACCTGAAAAACAAGACCATCAATCCATCACCATCCAATCTGATATAGAGAAATACAGCACCCACCAAAAAGCTGCCCGATAGTTAATCTTTCCGTAACGTCATCACCTAAGCTCACAGCCTCTTCCCCCTCGCCCTCTACATGCTTCGCCAGCCCCTCCCCCACCAACTCCGTCAAAATCAACTGACAGCTCGCCCAATTATGCGTTCCAAACAAGATCCCCATCGTCTGATCCTCTCTTCCCAGATCCTGCTTGAGCTCCCTGATAAGCACTTTTGCGCATTCGTTGTAGCATTTGTCCGTTTCCCACTTCTCCGCCCATACAGGCGGGAGAGGATCGGATGATATCGAGAGGGATGTTTTGCCGGCCCGATAACATTGGTGGGCGATGGTCTCGTGAGGGTGATACGCTCCTCGGACCAACTTGACGCCGAGGGCATAGTTGTCGGCTTGGGCATCTTTGAAGGACTGTTCGAGGTAGGATTGGGTCCTTTCATATGCGAATGTGTCAGAGATAGTCGCTGACGAGGAATTATCTACCTTTTGAGATACGCCTGGAAGGTCCCGTATATTAATGGTTGTACACCGTTCGATTCTCCCAATTTGTTGAACTCGCGCATGAGAGCCAGCTGCAGAGCGTCGATGGCAGGTTGATACCAGCTGGATTATCCATAACGGTCAGCAAATTGTTGTGATGGACGGCAACGGCAGAGCATGCCTGTATTCTGCATCGATGATAATCTTGACGCCTCTTTCCTTGGCACGTGTGCAGATTCGGTGAAGGTCAGCGTGCAGCTCTCGGAGGGATTTGATGTCCTCTTCAGTTAGATCACTCTTGATGGAACCGATCGGGGCATAGAGAAAGTCAAGGTCGCTAGCGTGAGGGCATCCAGGGAATGGAACAGAGGATTTGGGTCGTAAAGTGAGGAGAGCTGTTGAGTAACGGAGCAGGGAGTTAGCATCAGGAAGTAATGCGCTCTACACGTAATTAGTCTAGCATTCTGTAGCAACAAAGGATCAACGGACCAGTTTCACGGCTACCCAGGTCCTCCGACCTGTCGTCGCGTTTGCAAGGATGCCATCCTCGAAGTCGGCTGCGACGTCAATGCAATGGACCATTTCATTTACTATTCGTTTGTGCACAGGCTGCGAGACCTTCTTCAGAGACGCCGCCGCCGTTGCCTCATGCTCATCGACCTCTACAGAATAAGCAAACAATGTTCCCTTGTTAGCGGAGCGAAGGTCCTTTAGCAGCGGAACCGTCTCTAAAGCAGTATCTCCTCCGACGAACTGATCGCCTAGAATGAATAGAAGGGAAACAATGAAATATAGATGGGAATTACCTGATCAAAGAAAGTAACTCTAACCAAAGCCTCCGTTACTTGCTTGATACCCGGAATGCTCGTGAGCACGTCAAGCATCGTGGGGGATATATCGATCAAGGCCGGAAAGGAGCACATTGTGAAGACTATGTAGGATCGGACTAATTCACGCAGTGGTGTCTTCTTGTTCGCTGGATCGCCACCATCGCTATCGGCGTGGAGAGGAGAGGAAGATAGTCCCAAGCCAGTGGCTAGCAATATGCCCCCAGACATTGCACCAATCCCTAAGTGGGAAGTCCTGTGGGATACCCTGGAGCTGAATAACCGCCCATGGATAGCCCCCCGTCCCAGTTTCGCCCCAAAAAGTCGAGTAAGGATGCCTAAAGACATCTGGAAGATAAATCGTAAGATCCGGAACGGGCTCAAGGTGGTGGTAGTCAGAGAGCAAGAAAAGAAAGGCTCAGTGATAATTATAGCACGGGTCATGTCCGACATTCGTTTTTGCAGTAGTGGCTCCTGTTTATCTTTCCTCCCAGTAAGACGTCGACGATAAGATTGTCTTCAGTCAGGACTCCGCTTCGTTCTTCATTAAGAACAAGGGCACCCGTGTTTCACCCGTGCATTTTGCAATACCGTTTTTTCTTCCTCAAAAAGTAACATTTTATTGACTTGCAATATGTAGACCTGACGTACAATTTCATTCACCCAACAGCATACGCTTCAGACATCTTCCCAACCAGGGCCGCGAAATTTTCGGCCGGCATGAGCATCATTCTGCCTCGAGTGTCCAGTCCGAAAGATTCTTTATCGCGGGGCACAGTGGGTGACGTGGAGAAGGCATAGTCGACTGCATGTATGGAGGCCTAATGATTTGAGATATCGGATCCAATAATTCGGTTTAAAGAAGCGGCCTCACCTGCTTAATATATTCATCTTCAGGGTGAAACGGGTAGATACCGTCTGCAGGACGGGTGAATGTCGGAACTGGGGCTTTTTTTGTCTTCTTTGACTTGTGTGGCTTCGTCTGGGTGGAAGATAGCATCGTTTCTTCATCCTTCGTGAGGTGGTAGGTCCGCGATACGACGATGAGGTGTGAAAACGTGTACGACTCGTTCTGGTAGGGTCAGCAAGGAGGCTCAACCCAACAACGTAAAAGAACGCACATCGTCAATCGCCCATTTCAACTCATCCATCAACATGCGGTACATGGGAGGAATTACTTGGACAGGCATATTGATCAGCCGCTCGCACAGCACAAAGCCAACGTGCGACTCTGTCTGCGAAAAGAGTCCTTGTAAGGTAGCATGGAACGCCGGGTCTGTGGAGGACTTGTCCAGGAAATAGTTTGCCAGCGCCTTGATAGAAGGATGATCCTTTTCCTTCAAGGTAAGCAAAAGTCGACGAGAAACGACAGGCTACGCACTTTGTGTATATGCATATTCAGCACCGTCAGCAACGCATAAGGATCACTCTCCATTCCATCAGTTTTTATCGTCGTCCCCACCCTGGGCTGGCTCAGGATCAGGTCCGTGAGCTCGTGCGTGTGAAAAAGGTCGGCATCGCGCTGGAAAAGCTGGCCAATGAGCCTCTTCAAGGCATGGTAATCTACGTTGGGATTTGGGTCGAAAAAGTCGAAATCGACGTCGATCAGGCTCTACTGAGGAAGGTGAGTGAGAAAATTGGCTGTTGGGGGCCACGAAGAGACTTACAACGTCAGAATCATCGTCGGAGTCATCATTTTTCTTGTCCTGTTTTCGTTTGGACATCGCAGTAGTAGTTTATAAGCAAATGGATTAGTAACATTTTTTTGTGGCATCGATCGTGTTGGCAGTTGTTGTGGCATATAGGTCCAACAAGATACTCAACGACACAATTTTACTGGTTACAGGTCTTCTTGGGGGTATAATGAGATCTAAAATAATTATACTAGCTCAATGACTCCTGGATATGTATTCCTTCTAAGTTTCCACTGTCTCCCGCGTTCCTGCCATGTAGTGAGCAATTGTATCCTTCTCAGAGCAATCTGTAGCCGTTTCACCTTGGAGTATAAACTGGTTAGAGAATCGGCATCGAGGCGCTTAGCGTTCATCATCCGGCGATATGAATATCGTGCATTTAAGCTGGGAACTATGAGTGAACAAAGGTTAATGATACGAAGAGCCTCACTTACGATGAAAGCATTGCGTTGGAGTACACTGGGAGCATGTTAGGATCATATGGGAGACAGTCTGGGTAGGACTTACGTTTAGCTAGGAAAATATACACCCCGATCCATGCAACTATCAAGGATTAATTAGCCCATGAAAGCAAATCATCACGGAGTAGAACTTGCAGGTATCCTCCATCGTCTGAAACTGCAGCAACCAAGGTTAATCAACAAAATGCAGCTACAGAATCATCAACCTACACAGATCAAGACCGTAACCGAGGCCAAGCTGTGTCCGTCCATCAGTCGATGCACTGAAAATCAACTATCACGGTGCCATACCTGGTAATCAACCCCGTCTCTGTCCAGAAGCATCAGAAGCGTCTCTCGCTAAAATAAGAAACAACAAACGCAGCGAACGCAAGAATATCCCATTCAACACTCCTCCGGACCTATACGTTTCATCAGCCATCAAGTCCTCGTATCTCCCCTGCACGTACGTTTCCATGACCAAGGGAGAAGCAAGCTTGCTGACGTGATAGCACAGCGTGCAAGCGATGGTCAGATCGGCTAGGGCGCCTACGGCGAAGGCGGTGGTAAGAAGCGAGTCCCACTTGTGTTGGAACACCATGAACGCAGGTTCCATAGGCACGTCGCGAACTGCTTGGTAACCCAAGAACAATCCTGCGCTCACACGAAAGGCAGAGAGCAGGCTGGTCAAGCCACTGGTATATATGTTGCCTGAGAGGCGGTAGATACGGGTGCAGAACAACCCCTGCGTACGTTGATGAGCGGTGGAAGAGAGTGGAGGGAAGCAGCAGGTACCTGCACTAACGCCGTAGACAGAGGCTCGAGGATGGCTACCGAAGCCAGGAAATACGAACTTCTTGGCTTGCGAGGGTCCGCAATATCTACAATGATTACAGTAAAATAGTATACCGACAGAAAGGAGCATATCGAGTGTGCGACTTCTAGAATCCTGTGCACAAATTAGAGCGCCTATTCGTTGCGTTACGGATCAAACGTACAAAACGAGAGTAACCTGTTCACTTTCGGTAAGGCTTGTGTAACCTCAAACTGCGGTGAACTTACGAGAAGCTTGATTAACCAGAAGTCTTTTCCGCACCAACGAAAGTAGACAGCTCCTTGCACTAAAGCGGCTCCCATGAGAATGAGATTGAAAAATACGCCAATCAGGAGGGAGCCGACAATCTGATTAGACTCGACAGGAATATTGGGTGGTTGCATATTGAAGACGAGGAAGACAGAAGAGAAAGAACTCTTGCCCCGCTTCTGCTTTGCGAACTTCCTTAAGTACGGAGCCATACCATCAGATTACAGACGGCAACGACTTAGGCTAATGTCCGCCTCAGCCGCAACGGACAGGGTGGATACGAAGGTTTCATTATGGCGCTATTCTAACGATGAACTGTAATCAAATAAGATACAAACCTGCGAAGCAATCAGCAAGCCATTCAATCGTCAAGCGAGATGAATAATGTGGATCAGAGAAGCCGATGTTTTCTTTCCCATGATCGTCGACTGAACACGGCGACCAGGAGAACTGCTCCATAACGAAACAGCCGCGCTTTCCCACCCGAAAACCAGGCAAGACGGCCATCATATCCAGCTTCCGAAAAGATATTCAAAGAATGGATGAACTTGTTTTCGTCCTCTAGGGAAAAGAGAAGGAAGACAGATTAAATACTCACGACTCATTCCATCTGCAATTGACCCGCGAACAAGAACAGGAATCTGAGAGGTAGACGAAGATATAGTTAGCAATATTCCAGATAGAAAAGTACAGGAGTTGAGGAGAATCAGAAAAAGTTTTGGTAAATTGATTGTCCACAAGAGGTTGATTGCTCTCATTCGGAAGCAGAACTGAATGTATCATCACGAAAGAGGAGGCCGCGAGACGAGAGGAAATAGACAACTGACCTATTCACTCAATATTGAGGCGAGGCACCGTCGCAATAATTGTTAGCTGGCTAGAATCATGATAAATCAGATCTGAGATATCGTTAGCAAGTTTAAAAAATGCAGACAGCGACAAGGAAAGGATATTCAGACGAGATAAAATTGTCCTTCATATGCGTTCGGACATATGCTTGTTTAAAAATAGAACATCATGATGAAGGGAACGCGGCCTAGTCGGACTCACCTACTGTGGAAGCCTCCAGGCCCTATCGCGGGTACCTATACTACCATCGTCAGCTCTGCAGTTCTTGCCCAAAGATTGCAAAATTCAGAGGGTGGTGTGTGTTAGCTGAGGGCCCACGTCGTTGTCGCCCACTAACGCGAATCATCCACGCAGTCATTTGGCAAAAGCAGACTTACGCCATCTGGAGTAAACAGTCAGCAAAAAGATTTCGAGAAGAGGTCAAAGCGGGAGATCAGTTGGTGATGCATGTTGCGAGTATGGATCATCGAATATCGTCACCAACTCGAAAAGATGGATAGATATCATCAAGGAGTAATCCAAAGAACCAACAAACTTACGGTGATGCGACTGGAGGTTACGATTGAGTAGCACAGATGAGAAACATGAACGTTGAATGTAAAGCGGAAGAAAAACTTTTTGTGCGGACGGAGATTTTCAGGCTCCGATATCGGAACCTGAAATGGCATACACAGCCACAAGCCACTAAAGGAACAATGAAAAAATGATCTGTACATTTCTGTTCTCTAAGAGATTTGCAGCAAGGATACAAGTCCAGAACCTAAAGATAGAGGCTCCATTAATGATACTCAAATTGCTTCGCCTCTAGAATCCTATTCTCCTTCCCATCCAAGACGCCCTATATCAGACTCGTACTCTCCAAACTCCTACGCCTCGCCTTTGTTCATCATAGCTAACTCTGGCACGAATACGTGAAGTTCGGCCATCAAATCGGGATCGCCTTTGAAGAGTCGGGCTACTTCTTTGTATAACTGTTTCCTCATCAGTTAGAAGTCGGTCCATAGTGGTAAAACGAGGATAAAATACTTCATCGATACTAGCAAGCCCCAGGTGACAGCGTGATAAAATAGCAAGGAACTTCTGGTAGGTGTCCGGGTCACATCGCTGCTTGACCTTTCGCATGTAATCAATAGCGGGACCTGTTGTTATCTGTTTGTCAAAATCTACGCCAAGAACATTGGGATCGAGGATCGAGATGTCGTCCTGCGGGAGGCACTGCTGACAAGGCAGAAGAAACTCCGTAGGGCATGATGGCACAAGATCCCTCCTAGAATGCTGAATAACATCCTGATGGTGCGACGTATGTGCATCGAACTGCCTATCCGCCCGAATATAAGTGGCACTCACCCGGAGGTAGAATCGGGGGTTGCTGATAAAGGATAGTGGTTCCGTCGCTATTGATGACGGTGATTCGGTTGTGAGTCGGACCGTCCGAGGTGCATTCGATACGATACCCCGCTGGCAAAAATGTGTTGAATCCGATAATTAGCTGAGGGTGACCGGAAAACAGATGCGATACACGCTGTATGACAACTGGTGTGTCGATCCTGCTCTCCCTGTAAGAAGAAAAGGGCGAAAAGAGATCACAGAGAACGTACAGGTGGCTCTTAAATTCCTTCATAATGTCCAAAAATTGGTTATAGACGTCAGGCTGGCCCTGAAACTGTATCCTGATAGCTTCAAGGTAGCTGAGGGCATCTGTCTCGTTGAGCGGACGGGGTTCCGGAATATTCATGGGTGGCGAAGTGGGAGAGTTGTTGGCAACCTGTAACACTGATTCGTGCACCAATCTTTTTCACGTGGTCGGTTTGATGCAATCTGACCCTTTGTTTGCTTCCGCGCCAACCCGTTCATCGAGAGCCTCCTACCCTGCGGCAGTACTCAAACGTCTGCGAACGTCTGCGTCGACAAATACATGTACGATGGTGACAGAACGGATACGCACGATTAGCTCGAGAAATGGGGTGTTCAATATACCAATGCCTACCTCGATCCCGCGATCCCGTTGGTCTAGTAGTCTTCCTTATCCTTGACAATGACTCGGAGAGTCGTGACCCATCTACCTTGCATCCTTCCCGAGTCGTGTACACCATTGGAGGACTCATGCTTCTTCCTATCCTCTATATTTCGCAACCAGGGGTTCCAAGCCATGTTGTGGCAACGGGCGTACACCGTCACGGTCATCCATCCAGGTGACAATAAATGGTTTCCACCAAAAAGAAGATCCAAAGCTGGAAATTTAAAGCCCCGCGAACGCCATTTTTGATGGAGTTGGAAGCCAGTCCAGTTCGGCCGATTGATATATCAGTTCGTACCAGAAGAGCCAGCTGATATCGGTGTTGATCGACGTTTGCATGGTTCAGCACCACGAGAGGTGGCGACTGCAGAGCAGTTTAGTGAGATGTGCTTTTCGAGTAGTGGTAACATCTTACTGAAACCGGTGATAGTATAGTTCTCGACCCAAGAACTAGATGCTACGCTCAGCAGGCCGCTGCCCTCCCTATCCGATGTCAACGAAAGGATACGACATAATCTGAAAAGACTAAACCCGCCCCCATGTCTCACAACGTAGTCTTGTAAGTTGTCGGAAAGGGAAGCCATCGGTGCAGCGAAGTGAAGTTGCTGAAGGGCAAGACGCGCAAAATCAATACTGTACAGAAACGGAGTCTCAGAACATTGTAGAATAACAGTAAGGCTTTCCATACCATGCTTCCCGTGTCCACATCTCGACTCTGTAAAGAGGTAATACCCTGGGCGATGTTGATTCCAATTATTTTCCCAACAGGCTTCAATACCTTGGCTATGCCGCGAAGACTTTCCTCAAGATGAGATAACGGAGGTGCACACGTCGGTGGGCAGAGATCCAGCTGGACAGTGAGAACATCATGCCAGGAATCTTGCTGCCCGAATCCACGGAATCCATTCGAATATTGATAAATACCGCTCTAAGTCGCTAGGTTCACCGAAGTTCTCAGTGAGCAGTCGCGCCATTTTGGGTCACCAAACGACACCTTGAGAGGGGGTTCTTGTTGATAGTGGTGAAAAAGAACGTATCATACCTCGTAAGAGGCTTCGTTTGTGTCGTTGGAAATGAGCACAGCCACCTATTTGGCTTTATTATTGATGCTGCCGCTTGGAAGTAGATCTTGCTCTCCAGCAAGGTAAGGGAAACAGTCAGTTCTCCGAGAGGTTTGCGAATTATATGATGAACAACGAAAATGATAAGACATATCCCGAGACGAAGATACAAGTCCAGAACCTAAAATAACGGCTCCATTGCTCCATTGATGATACTCAAATTACCTTGTCGTCATATTATCCACAGATGACCCAGCCAGCTGTGCAGCCAATCCTTCAACGGCCTCATCCCCCTCTGGAATCCTATTTTCCTTGCCATCCAAGACACCCTGTATCAGACTCATCGTACTCTCCAAACTCCTACGCCTATTACTAGGACTCGTCATTGTCGTACCCAAGCTCGCCTGTCGTCCGTGACCTCTCCTAAACGGAGCAGCAGAGGGCGATGTCGGCGAGCCAGGAGAGGCCGTCGGAGAATACACAGGCGATGCTAAGTAGTTGCGTTGATGTGTAGGTGTAATCGTGCCATTGGAAATCGCTGCCTCGATACCCGCTTCCACACCATTGGCGGCAACTGGCGTGCTTGGCGTCTCGTCGTGTTCTGAGGGCGTGGTAGGAAGGGAGTTCAAAATAGCCTTGCCTTCTTCTGACTGGGCATCATACAAGTCGGGAGGAAGACGTTCGTTTTCAATATCGGACTTCCGCCTAAATATGGAAGATCAGTTTCGCAAGACCGTGCAGATACCAAAAGACTAACGCGTCGTCGAAGCTACTTATAGCTTCTTTGATACCTTCGGACCCTGATGCAAGCGTCCCGTAAGGGAGGGTGTTCGAGCCAGACACGCTCTTGAGTTCTGAAACCTTTTCGGATTCCTCCCTAGAATGAAGCATTAATTTGGAAGCAGACATAGTCATCCTCGTTCACCAACCGGAGAAGTGCGAATACGCGAGCCATCCGACCAACAGCCATAATCTTGCTCTTGATAGCCCTCCGCCGCTCGACAGAATCTTCAGAGGCGACAGATACCGGTGATATAATAGACTCCTCGTCACTCTCCTCCAATTCTTCCTTTGTGCATGTGTTCAATACAGCAACAAGCATGTCAGTAACTGTAAAAGGATTAGATGTGCAGATAAGAATCTACAAAAACGCGCACTCTTTTCACCAACGAACGGTAAACTCCAAGTAAAAACGTCCATGAAGTTTGGCAGCCAGTATGGATGAGGTGTGCAGTTGAACTGCCGAATATTCATAACATTGCTTTCGTACTTTAGCACGGCGGCCTTATTGTTGTAGACATCAAGGTAATTCGGGGCAGAGAAGATGGTCATAACTGATGGGAACCCTGTTGTTTTCGTTTTGCGATACATACGATATCTACAAAGCGTGAACTCAGATTGTATAAGGGAGAATGACAAAGGGAACAAACCCAGCATCTTGTGCTTCGTGCGCACGAATTATAGATAGCAGATTGTTCCGCTCAAGGAATTGACAAGCAGCGGCATACCTGCACAAAGGCAAATGAGACACCGGAAATCGGCGAATAGACAGACATACGTAAAGAAATATGAACAGCCCCGGACATGGTTGTGGACGAAGCTATCAGATATCTTCTCCGTGCCAAAGTCTTCGACTGGATCAGCCCAAAGAATATCGCACATCAGTCCATGTGTGGGCGGTTCTCGGAAACGATCAAGCTGTGATGGCAATCGGATGAGATGCCTAAGACGACATGAGGAGACTCACCGCACGGATATCATCCAACGTGTTAAGTTCCGGAGACAGTCCACCATGGATACACAGAAACTGTTTGTTCATGATCGCTGCCAAGGGCAAGGCACAAAAAGACTCCATGCAGGCATCGTAAATGCGCTCCGAGTACTTATGTTTGCACTCGAGCTTGAAGGTGAAGTAGTCGGTGAGATGCCGACATTCATGATTTCCCCGAAGCAAGAAGAGTGTGTTGGGGTACCATATTTTGAGGGACCAGAGATAGAGAACGCACTGCAAAGATTTGTCGGTCATCAGGAGTAAGGTAAGGGCAGCCACCGCACACCTCAATGCTAAAGTATCCTCTGTCCACGTAGTCTCCCAAGAAGAGATATCGTGTGTCTGCCGGACTGCCTCCGACTTCAAAGAGTTTCATCAAGTCATACTAGCCACAGAGAGCGATGAGCACTGATCACAACACACCAGGGCATTACTCACATATTGGCCGTGTATGTCGCCACAGACTGTCGTGGAGATCTGTCAGTGGCTGAGGCCCAGGCAGACGAGCATTACACACCGGTTATTGGGGCATCGACATTGAGGACGTTAGGCTCCCTCCGAAGGACATCAGTTCCCTTCTCCAATATCCACATTGCCTGCTCCTCGGTTAGCCGCCCTTCACGATAAAAGTGGTTCTTCAGGAAGGCGACATCAGGTTTCGAACGATCCCTGCCACCATTTGCGAAGAACTGCTCTGGTGTAGGGATCTGCATGGCTGGTGCTTGGACCTGGATGCGAAAGAGTCAGTGAAAAGCAACGGCGGCGACGGCGTCATCAGGATCACTGGCAGTACTACACACATCTTTGATAACCCGCTCCTGAGTGCTGACTATATTCCCATCCTCCAGCTTGTGTTGAGTAAAGTCAATCTCTGGCAGAGGCCCCTTGTCAGAGATTTGCTCTATCGCCCGCGCCATATGGGTACTCATTGTGCCAGAGGTCGCTATGGCGTCGAGGACAGAGAAAGGAAAGGTGGGGGTGAGCGTAGAAGGAGAGTCGTGACGCCCGGTGGCGATCCAGATTTAGAGGCAAAGGGTACGGCACAGCTTTGGCTGACAGCCCACTGCAACAGACTACAACGCTTACATCTATCGTGTGCACCTCCGGTGCTCAGCAAATTGTCTATAAATTATCGTATCTACGCGGTACAGTCCATTCTACGACCCGAAATATATCGTCAAGACATGCTTGGCGATGTTGAATCCCAGCAGAGATATTATGTACGCAGTGAATAACGGCAATAATGGGGACAGGAGAAGCTCGGACCGAACCAGGAAGGGTAACGCTGTGGAGTCGGAGGTAAGAAATTTGCACATTTTGAACAGCACAATATTAGTAACGAACCATTTAGTCCGAGGTATATCCCATAGGTGTACTGCGCAAAGCTGTATAACAATGATCAGGATAGCGATAAATGAAGTAGTGTAGGCACTCACGCAGCAAGATAGAGCGTGTTGCCAACCCATAGGCACACCCAATTGTCTTTGAGGACGATAGGAAGAAGAAACAGCTGAGCAAGGTAGAGCGCAAGATACAACGGGAAAAAAGCATTCGTATGGACGTCGAATACGTAGGCCCACTCTACGAACGAATCTGCCGGTGTTGAATGCGAAGGTGGAGACAGCAACAGTCGATTAGAGGTGAACCTAAACGACATCAGCGGAGAAAGAATAATGCACCAACAAACATACCAAAGTAACGTGGCTATTACAATGCCAGTCAACAGATAATCCCGAGCTATCATAAGAAACGCCAACTCTATGGCTTCGAAAATAGTGTAGGAATATACGACAGCCCATGCCACGGCAGAAACTGAGAAAAAGTTAGACAAACTACGGACATGAACAGCAGCTCACGCACCACAGAGACATGCACCAATGAGGACAAGTATCGCAGGATCATCTCGCGCCCAGGTATTTTTTGTTTCTGCACCCAATATTCCGTGAATACGATAAATAACCGTGTGTTAAATGCGTACGTTTGTGGAAGTATACGTTCCGGTACCTTTGGATGGGTTAGACCGTGAATCAGCTGCATACAGACTTCAAGCTCACACTTACACTCTCCGGGGTGCCAGACACAGGTATGTGAGCTGCCAGGCTGCCAGTTCGAAGTCCTACGCCAAGCAAGAGTTAGAGTAGGGCAATGCGCATACCGTAGAAAACACGGACCATCTGCTGGAACCGGTGCAGTCGCCTGAATATTATGGGGACACGGTGGGATATTGAACCAGGTGGACGGGTAGTAGATGGTCCCTGCTGGCCATTGTAGGTAGGGAGCTCCATGGTCAAGCCTTGAGACGGCTAGAGACGGCCTCGTCGAAACGAGCAACTGCCAAGTTGAAGCGGAGATCCAAATCCCGCCTGATATTTGGCCGGAGTCTCAAAAGCTTTCATTGCCCTCCCCATCGTTCAGGCGCCCTGATCCTCTCCTATTCCTGTTCTTGCTATGATGGAACACGACATCGAGGTCGACTATGACTATGCTGACGATGACGAGACTGGTCTCGCAGATCATTCCCGCAAGTTGTCTCGCCCAGGGGACGTCGACGACGACGAAGACGCCGTCTCTTTAGGGCCTGACGAGGACGAACCTGGCTACTACCACAAAGACTCTTACCAGAATGATACATTTCCGTCTGAAGATGGGGATGCGGCCGACGCCAATGATGATGGCACGCCTTCAAGCTCGACGCCACATTCAACCAATCTTCCTCAGCACAAGCCACAACCGTCGACGAGGGAGAATTCAGTGAATTCTCCTAGAAATACCACCTCTCCTCAGCGTTCTCATTCTCATATCAATATCATTCATGGGTTGCCTCCAAAACCCGTAGTGGCCAACGTCCCTTTTTTGCATCCGTCACACCCATCGCTCATCGAGGCCACTGCAATGTCGCGTACCACCGCGAAAACTAAAACTTCATCAGGTAACAATGGATTTGCGGCAAAGCCACCTTCTTCTGTAGATGCGAAGGAATTACCGTTGGACTGGCAAATTCGCAAGTCGCACAACGGTGATATGTATTACTACAATACCAAGACCCATGTCTCTACGTGGGAACGACCCGTAAGCTCATTTCTTTGTGACGGTGTTCTACTTACAACCTTTGTATTACAGGTGCGAAATGGTTTGCAAGATGACAAAACTTCTCAGCCCATGCATTTCCCGACTTCCGGAAGCTCAGGACCCAAAGATCTTTCCTATGAAGATAGGCATTATCGTCCGGGAGAGAATGGCGCACCTCCTGGAGATTCTCGTCCTCCTGTTTTACCTCCATCGAACAGGGGTGGTACTACTGATACATGGTTTGGTAGCGCTGTGGCTCCAAGCTATGACTCGCGCACACCACCGGATTCTCCTCAGCATGGAGATCAGCTCAGGTCGCCACTTCCGATGCCGCAGCGTGGACGTCGTCGACGCCATGCTAATTACGATGGTGAAGCCATCAACAGTCATGGCGATTCTCGTCGTCCAATGACACCTCCTCGACGAACTGAAACAGATACTCTTCAAGAGTCCAGGCGACAACCCCGTGTGCATGACTATGAACCGCCTCAAGCACAATCTAAGTTTCCAATAGAGAGGGAGAAACTACCGGTGCGACAAGAGCCCTCCTCACGCAACAACCGTGGTAATCCGCCGGAGCGGGAACCCCGTGATTCGCAGCCTCAAAATACCACTTCCAGTACGTTAATCCGCCTCATCATGCACTCTTCCCCCTTCTCCATACGTGCATCTGTATGCGCTCGCGCTGTGACCCGCATGTATGCTGTATTCATGGGTGCGCTATCATGTTACGCATCGTTCCCGATCCCTTCCCCTCACTCTGCTGTTGCCGACATAAGGACGCTCATCATGGACTCCCTCTGTTTCTTCCCTTTCATCCCCTCTTTTCTCCTCATGTATCCATTCCTCATGTATATTTGTTCTCCCATATCCTCCTTCCTTTTAAACAGGACATAGATCTCCACCGCCTCCGTCATTTGAACCGCCACCGCCTTCGCAACGTTCGTCCAAAAGAGATAGGCCGTCGCGCTTTGGTGGTCCTATCGAGGCGACTCCTGCCCTCGCGTCGCATCCTCCTTCGAGGATTGCTGATGTGCCTGAGCTCGTGCCGTTCCCCAACGGGCTCAAGGGACCACCGAAGCACAGCAGTGCCCCCCGTTCCACTTCGTCACCTCCTATAGAACAGCCCAGCTCAGCAACACGTATGTCAGCCTCCATGTCCACGATTTTTCCTCTCATTTCTCCGTGATAGGACGAAGACCGCCTCTTCCTCCTCAGGAGATGAGTTTCCGCGAAACCTCTGCCAAGTCCAAGATTCCTCCACCTCCGGCGCCTGCACTAACAATTACTAGCGAATTACCGCCACTTCCGACATGGATTGAAAGGCAATCAAATCTACCCCCTTCTGGGCCGCGTGCGGCAAAACGCAACAGGCAGGTCTCGACGAGTGGAGATGTTTTTGACGATTTGTCTTCGACTTCTCCTTCTTCTAGGGCGCATCCACCTCCTGCAAGCGGATATGGTAGAGAAAGTAGGGATAATGCTGTGGAAAATGCTGGTAACCCCCTACCAAAAGGCCCACGAGCGTTGCGCCCGCCTACGTCTGAATCCACTGCTCAAGGATGGATTAGGGAGCGATCTCCGCCGAGTATGTTTGGTGCCGAAGGTCATATGAGAGGCTTTGAAGACCAGAGCCGAGGGTCGATGTATCCTCATCCAATGGAACGAGGACAGGTGTGTATCTGTGTTGAGATCGTCTCGAACGTTCGCCGATAATCATTAGGGTCGGCCTCCACGCGGTCGTGGAGAGTTTTCTAGGCCTACGTTGTCTGGAACTAACAGTCTTCCTCTTGGAAGTAGAAAGAGTCTTGGTGGACCCCTGCCCTCGTCGTCCGGAGGGGATGCTCCTCCCTCCTCAGGGAAGTTCATGGATTCTCGCCTTCCGGATGGCAATAGCGGGGGACTTCCGATGAGGAAACCAAGAAATGCGCCTGGCCCGTCGGATGTTAGTCTGCTTCTCCTTGTTTCTGCCATCGTATTGACTTTTGTTGCAGTCTCGGATGCATGTGGAAGTTGAAGTTAACCCTCGACACAGAGTGTCCGATAATGGCTATCCGCATAGACTGAGAAATGAAGAGGTACAGTAGACTTGCCTTTGGCGTAAAGTCATATGTTAATGTCCGCATAGCCTCGCATTTCACCTCAGGAGCCTCCTCCAAATGTTTGATCATTGACTAAGTCTTCTTTTATATTGACATTAACATGCTTTTAGCTCCAACGATACGGTCAGGAACACCCTTCCCTGTCTTTTGAACGACGAGGCGGAGAGAGAAACAGGGATGAGCCTCCTCGTCAGTATCCTCGCCAAGACAATTTTAGTACCAGTCCAAACGATGAACACCGACCAGCGACTCCACCTCCTTTGTCGAGAGATCCCTCGCAGTCTCATTCATGGGAAGGTTCTCGGGGTTCTGTACGGTATGACAAGGAACGAGAGGGTGGTCGGAGAGAACGATTCAGAGGCCGAGATGATAGAGGACTACCGCCTCCTGCCCCGCCTCTTGAGGAGCCTGTACGAAATGACGTTGAGAGGGAGAGGGAAAGACCTGTCAGCCCTAGTACCTCCCGTCTACCTCCTGGACACGGTCTCCCTAACAAACCGGAGGGACTACCACCTCGACCGAGACGTGATGATATGGACGTTGATGACGGACGGTATCTAAGGGATGGGTTTGAGGAGCGACCGTTGTTGAGACGCGGTGGTTCGTTGCTTTCTCGTCTTGATGGAGGTGGTATCATTGAGGCCGGCATGAAAAGAGATAGAGATGAGCTCGTGGACCCAGCCGACGATGATTCGAAGAAGAGACGAAGAAACCACAAGTCAAGGAGAGGTGGTGGTGGTAAGATGAGGGTCTAGGTTGCTAATCGTTCTTTGTCCGGATGTCGTTACCGTGTTACGTACAAAATACTATTGGTACATACTACATATGAGTTACATTATAGCATGTGTTCTTTGGATTATATAATTCACAGAGTTGCTCAAGTTCAGACCAACTATTGGTATCTGTGTACTATGTACCAGGAAGTTGAACTCACCGATTCTCGATGCATTCATGCACGTGGCTCTCGACTTGCTGACAACTAAACCTACCACAAACTGGTCTGTTCCTTGGATAGGCTTGGAATTCCTGCGTACGAAAGGTGGCTCCGATGGGACCTTTATCGATATGCCCTATAAGGTTAATCCTGATATTGGTAGGTGAAATTCGCCAGCGACGCTACCCCATTAATTCATTTTAAGTCTTCTAGGATCTTCTCATAATGTGGTACACCCGCAATTGATGAAATGCAGCGACTATTTTCTCCTCGCTATATACTCAGATACGAGGCCTTTCGCATGAGCAACAATATGGAACCGTACGATTGCACTTTAAATTCAACGATCGGCATTGGTACACTCAATCGTCGATTCGCATGTGTTCAGCATGCAGCCTAGGAAGTATGCTAAGAATGATGATGAAAACATGCAAGCTCTCTGCTCTTTTAAGCCTGATATGCGGCCGAATCCAAAGTATTGTGTCCTGGCAGCGGTACGTTGATGAATACAACTTGCTGCCTCTTGATTAATACCTTATCTCAGCCTTTTTTCAGCATGGTCGCAGTCGAGTTTAATAACATTTTGAGTCTGTCCGCTTTAGAGCATATGAAAATCCCAGCCATAGCACAAAAGTCAAATTAGTGAATCTATCCAAGTCCTGGGTAACATCATTCGTATAGCTTTACCAATGTACTCATCACGTAGGACATGCTTCAAGTATATTGTAAATTTGATGATGATTGGTCGGAGTGCATAGATCGTTCCAGTTCAATTGATCTACGATTATACTGAGGTGCGACCTCATATGAGCACAGACGACACTATGAGATGGATACGATAACACATCTCCCAAAATACAGGATGATAAATTACTTGAAAAAATCTGCCAGACGAACGGTATCAACAGCGGGAGTAAGCATTCGCATTTTGCATTTGTACACTGGGGACATTTCTTCCCACTTCACCTTCTGTGCATCACGACTCTCCAAGCTGAAGACCTGGTGCCCTTCGTCTGGGTCGATGAGGTCGCCTTTCGGGTCCATCATATTCGCGATCCACGATTTCAGCACGCCAGAGATGTCTTGAAACGCAAAGTCATCGAAATAGCAGTGGATATATCGAGCATGTAGGAATTCGCTGGCGGCGTCCAGTGCCGTTCGTTCTTGTCGATTCCTCAGTGCTACAAGCTCCCGTAGATCTTCAAAATCCTGCATTTTGAGCTGTCTGTCGCGCGCCCAGTCGATGATGCATTCGATCTTCATGATTATGAGGTCGAGAATGCTCGCGCAGATACTAGTGTCAGCGGCGGTGTCGGATATCTCTTTGATTGGACGCATGTTGGCGGTGACGGGATATTCGAGAGGCATCTGCGAGTCGGTGAGTCAAGTTGGACTGGGAGCTTGTGGACTGAAAACCCTTACTTGGGAGAACGATCTGAAGTCAATTCGGACCCATGATCTTGGATCAGGATCTACAAATGATCCTCGGTAGAAGAGGATTGTCTGGGTGCCCTTGAGGTGACGATAATACTTCTCGGGACACTTGGAGAGAAGGAAATTCTTCACTAGTTCGGGTTCTGTGATGATAAAATCCAATCCCTAGACCATGTCGGCGTCAGAATATTACAGCACGTCTGATGAGGTGAAAAGGCTCACTGAAGTATCGCGAAAGGAGTAGTGAAAGTGTTTGCTAGCGGCATGTCCGCCAATCAGCTTCACCAAGATCGGTTTATCTTGGATGAGACTCAAGTCTTTGAGGAATTCCTGCGTGATGGATTCGAGTGTTTCGGGGAGGTTGTACGAGAAAGAATGCTGGAAATGAGGATGAGTTTTGATAGATATACCGAGAGGCATAATTGGACTGTACGCGGTCGAGAATACCAGATAGGGCTTTGGGAGAGAAGAAATCCGACATTTTGAGGAGCAAATCCGAAACGAGAGTCGAGTTAAAAAATTTCTAGCATTCTGAGCTTCTTCGTTTAGTCGGAAACAAGAACAAGAACAATAAGCGGGAGTTGCTATAACACCGCACTTGAAGCCAATCCGGGATTGTCGGTCTCTAGCATGCAAGACAGAAGAAGACAAAGTAATTCATTTCATCAATAGTCCCGCGGGGTGTTATTGACCAAGGAAATTTTCAATCAGTGTTACAACATCTTTGCCCTGGCCAAGAAAAGTAAGTTGAAGCTCTAAGAAGAGTGTATCAGCACCCGAATCTAGTTTCTTCGAGCGAAGAAGGCGGAAGCCGTTCATCGAGCATTGATAATTGTTTTACCACTGAAAGGATCCCTTTAAATGGATTAACTTCCATATGAGATTCTGTCTAGGTGCCGCCACACAGATCAACCATTATAATTTCTTTGTGGCGGAACTAAAAGTGTCGGCAGTAGGGGACAAAGGCAAAACAGAGACCATGTCTGGGATTCGGTTTCGGCGTTGGAAACAAAGTCTTGATGCTAGCCGCAGCAGCAGGTGGAATACGTGGCCGGAAGGCACAAGAAATGAACGCGTTCAGTACAGTCCCAGGTGACGAAAAGGGCAAGTCGGTGCCTGCCGCAATTTGTTGTCGTCGATCAACTATGGCGACCTTTGCCAAGAAATCTTTTAATGCCTCTGTATATGCTGCCTCCAGGCCGACATACCCCAAGGCTCTATTCGACTACATTTTTGCATACCACGAATCTGGCGTCCTTCCTCACCAACAGCCGGTATCTGATGCCTCTCGACCTCGCTACAGGCCACGATGGGACCTTGCCGTCGATCTAGGATGCGGAACAGGTGATTCATCTCTTTTTACTTATGCTGCTCGACTTAGTGCTACAGGTCAGGCTACGATTGAGCTCACCCCGTTCAAGAAGGTCGTCGGCGTCGAACCTGGAGAGAAAATGCTGGAGGCCGCGAGAAAGTATCTAAAGGAGAGAATCGGTAACTCTGGTGCGTTACCGCACTTTCAACGATGACCTGCATTGATAAAAATTTCAGATGGATCCCGTTTCGAATTCGTCAATTCCAGTGCAGAGCATCTGTCCTTCCTCGAAACTAACACCGTAGATCTCGTCGTTGCAGCCCAAGCAGCTCATTGGTTCGACTACTCGAAACTGTGGCCTGAGATAGACCGCGTCCTCCGCCCAAGCGGAACAGTGGCTTTCTGGGTGTACTCAGAGTTCCGCCTTCCTGCGTATCCTTCTCTGACGCCTCTCATCACCGAATACGCACAAGGAACGGATCCCGCAACATCGCTTGGCCCACACTGGCAGCAACCAGGACGGTCTATACTAGAAAACCATCTTCTAGACGTACCAGAGCCATCGTGGGGAAAGACAGATCGAGTTTTCTTCACCGGTAAGCAGCCCTTCTACTGCTTTTCGTTCATCTCGTTCTGATCGACTTCAGGGTCCCATTACCCGAACCTTCCCTCCCCGCTCCCAGTCGTCTTACGCTCAAAGACGACATGGGGCAGTTTGTTGACTTATTTCCGCTCATGGAGCTCATTGCACACGTATTTGGAAAAAGGCGGGGAGAAGGGGATCGAGGACCGATTCTGGAATGCGCTGAGAAGGGGCGCAACGAAAGAGGGCCTTACGACGGTGGAGGAGTCTAATGAGCTCATGATAGAGTGGCCTATAGGCATGATACTGGTCAAGAAAGAGGAGAAATGAGGACAGTCTTTTCTTTCTTGTTTTGCAGGCCAGATCCGCTCTCGATGCTGCTCAGAAATGAGACCTGTATTTCTTCTTGGATATTGTAATCATACCGCGGATTCTATGCAACAGTTCATTTTGTACCTCCTGTTACCCTGGGATCAAAGGAGCCAATTCTCTCAATCCTGCTGTGACGCCCGGGAGCCCAATATTCTGCGGTCGTGTTCCCAATCTCTATGAAACTCCTCCTGTTGGATCGCCCAACGGCTACCTTCCCCAGCTGTGCTTTGAGCATTGGTGGTCTAGATTTATCTCAAGAGCTTATGGCATTTACGAGCTCTATGATGTTCACGAAATCCCCCCATGTTGATAGTACGGTATCTCTCTTCTCTAACAAGAAAAATTATGACTGAATGTTTTGTAGGGCACAAGCAAGGCCTGAAATATTGCCGCGCTGCTCCATCCATGAATATTCCGGAACCCCGTCCGCTCAACGTGACAGATGCCCTCCGCTAGTAACTTAACGCTGTCAAGGTACAGTTCCAGGACCAGCCTGACGTCTATAACCAATTTTTCGACATTATGAAGGAATCTAAGAGCCAGCTATGCGTTCTCCGTGATTTCTTTTCGCCTTTCTCTTCTTGCAGGGAGCGCAGGATCGACACACCAGTTGTCATACAGCGTGTATCGCATCTGTTCTTCGGTCACCCTCAGCTCATTATCGGATTCAACACGTTTTTGCCAGCGGGGTATCGTATCGAATGCACCTCGGACGGTCCGACACACAGCCGAATCACCGTCATCAATAGCGACGGAACGATTATCCTTTATCAGCAACCCCCGATTCCACCTCCGGGTGAGTGCCACTTATATTGAATAATATATTCGGGCGGACAGGCAGTTCGACGCACATACGTTGCACCAGATAAGGGGCCACGTGCAAAAGATCAAGCAACGATGTGACCCGGACACGTTCCAGCAGTTCATCCTTTCTCTTTGCTACCATGAGTGCGTTACTGAAGTATCGACATATTCTAGGTGGTTCTCCAGAAAAACAAAGTGCTGGACGCCTTAGTCGTATGTCAATTTTACACCGTTTCTATCAAACAAATGCATATCATCAACAGAAAAGCAGAAGTTAGAAGGAAAAGCAGCTAGAGACAGCTCTCCCTCTCCATTGGCACCTGAAGATTCCAAGATCGAATTTTCGGCCAAGTTCATCATCGATCATGTTCCTCGCGCTGCCACTGATCCGCAGGGTCAAGCTCGTGCTGATTTGAGTGCCTGCGGAATCATCTACGCAGGGACCACACGCGCTATCTTTCTCTCTAATAACAATTTACCAACGGATGAGGCAGTGGGAATTACGGCGACATGTAGGAGGGAAAAGGACTATCGTCCCCTATTAAGATATGGTACGTGAAGGAATTTCCTCCCCAAAATCATACTCACTCCGGTGCTTTAGATTGGTTTGAGCTTGACACAGAATGTACGTTGTGTATTTGCTGTATTTGCTGACGATGATACTCGTGGCTCAGTTGTGGGAATGAGCTCAGGGTCTCCTCGGTGACCCAGACAAAGAATCGCTGATGGATTGGCAAAGAGTCTACCAAAGTGATAAGCCTAACTGCTCTTTCTTCACGACGTATGCCATCCTTACATTCTGATCTTCTTTTCTATCTGTTAACAATCTTATGACTATAGGTATGTCATTGACCTGCCTGGATATGGAGAGACACGTCTTCAGTTTGAAGGAATCTGTGACTTTTTTGTCATCTACTTCTCATGTTCGGAGGAAGTGATGACATGGGCCACCGGGTCAGGGGATGCCGCATGGGTGCTGAAAGAAATATCCAACATACGCAATCTTGACCTCGAGAGTTCGCAGAAGAATGTAATCAAAAAACAGACATGGTATATGCTCGTATACTCAAGACTAGCTGTCCTTCGCCATTTCCTATGTTATCTTCTAAACTTCGATGTGGAGCCTCTTGATGTCCATTGAAGGTTCTTTCTCCTCCAAGCATACCCTCCATGCTTATCTGATAACACTGGTATCTTCCTCGAAATCACCAAAATTGCACACCTTTGTAGTATAGAGGTCTTAGCGAAGCAGATAGACCTTGGGCTTCGAAATTGCAACAGCTCCGTGGTACAGCTGCTGAGGAAGAATGCATCTCCTGACTGCCCCAAGCTACACGTTCTTATTGATGAGGCTCAGCATGGACTTCTGTCAGACGTGTGGAGTGGACCAGCACAGGTCCCATTTATGCGACTTGTCGGAGAAGTCATTAAGCCCCGAGCCATTATCGCTGGCGCATCCAAGCTTTCCGTTGATAAACTCGAGGTGGTGGAATTTTATGGCCCATGTATGAAGTACGTCCGGGAGGGAACCACTTTGTTCACATCAACCAAGACATGGCCAGATGGTTCCACTAAGAATGGTGTGCATGATCAGATGCTTCGTTATTGTGTTCTAGATCACTTACCGGAGCTCCTTAATATTCCGGGCCTGCTAGAACGCATCGAAAAGTGGCTGTCTTGTCGGTGAGTATGTACAAATACTCTCAACCATGTCATACATTTTAAAAGTCCCTGTTTAGTCCCCGGTTCATTGCCACTCTCTTGCAGTTGTATATGCAAGCTGAAAAACTGCTTGGTGATCACAATCAGATTCCATACCACAAGATCCTCTCCGAAGCCTTTCGTAGGTCGACGGGATTCCAGCCAAGGGATGGTATCATCTTTGAGGGCATAGAGGGGGAGCTACCACAGGCAATAACTGAATTGTCCTTCGAGTATGGGACTATGACTGTATGCAAGCGATTCGAGCGGGGTGATCTTGACGAAGGTAAGTGACCTTATGTCCGTTATGTGACACACTTACAATGAAGAGTGTTTACATCGTATGGAACACTGTAGACATCGACGAACACCCTCATGCAGAGCGACATATTCAAAATGTATTATCCAGCTCATATCACTACTAGTCGTTTGCATTAAAACTCGTAATAGCAAAGTTTCTTTCCACCTTTCTTATAATTTGCGCGCATCTCATAGCCCGAGTATCTGCCTCCGAAGTTTGCAACGATGTAAAGCTATATATCTGAGATTCTAGTTCATGTTGCCGAAGTTGAAGACCATATACAGAATCTGTATGGACTCGGAGCTTGAGCATCTGAGCGGTTGGGTGTCTGCAATTGTAATTCGTGACACAGCGCGTAATTTCGACAGAAGCCTCTTCCACAGAGCGTTGTTCAATAGGATCTGCTGGATGAGTCATCGTATGAATGGGTATCGCTGCGCCTAGGTCCAGTGTCTCCAGAAAATTCCAGCGTCGCAGAATGTTCAGTAACATTGTCTATAAATATGTCTCGTTAAATCTATGAAAAAGGGACGTGATTGAAAAGAACACTTACAACTACATTATCGTCATGATTCATCTTTGCCCTCTTCTCGTCAACACATATACCGATGTATGCAAGATTGGCGCAAAGTGATAGAACCTCCAGCATAGGAACGTCAAGGCACCAATATCCTGCATATTCTGGTTGAAGCAGGAGAACTGTCAAACTCCCCGAGTTCATCGCGATGATGTTATAAAGAAAGAATTGTGCACGCTGTTCGTCCTGTTCCTCGAAGGCGTTTCTTCGCCCTAATCGCAGATGAACCTCTTTCAAGTCCCGACAGGCCCCGAAATAATTTAGGAAAGAATTGTCCAGTTGGATACATCTTTTCCATATGCTGCGATGGAGGAACACCCCTGCGTCATGCAATTCAATCCAGAATTCGTGAGGAATGTCGAAGTCAGACGGCATGTGGAATTCCGACAGGTTCCGCAAATGTGGAACGAGTGCGGGAACGGTCGTTGGCTCTAGACTGAAACGTGGACCTGAAAGTATGAGTTGTTGCACAGAGCTATATGTTCCCTCAGGGAACGCGCCAAACAGAGAGAGGACAGGCATGAACAATGCTGAGGAAAAGAGGTCCATGATAATTTTGAGTCTGAATAGATTGGGACTGTTGGCGATGATGGCGGGAGCATAATTCAATGACCCACCATCTATCGTCAGATAGATCAAGCCATGAAAAGGCGCGCAAGGGATATCGCGATCGATTCCTAACGATGATATCGAAACGAAACGAATATGAGGACGATTGCTTAGTGAATGAATGATTTGATCCACTATTTTTGGCCGCAGTACTGCCTTTCCCATCGTCATCCAACTGCAAAACTGAATACATGTCCAGGACGCCGATGGGAATTGTACTCACTGGATCCTTTCCAAAGCGTCCATCTGTGAGACAGCAGCCAAAATAAGTGATCCTATGGTTCCGTAAAACGTGTCTCCGTTCTTCCATAATGAAGCTAACATATTTCGAAGACTCTTGGAATTTGATTTAGAGTCCGTAGGTAACATACGAAAGTACAAGGCCCGGATGAACTTAGCCAATCGTCGTCCTTTTGAAAGCTCGCGAAGAAAGCGGATTGTGTGAGAACTATCCCTTGCCATCTGCGTGAAATTGATGTAGAATTGTTCAAAAATAAGTGGTGTGGCAACATCGCAAAGATTTTTGCACGTAAGTCGGATTGCTTGGCGGCTGCCGGTACGAAGATCAGTCTGCAACAAGTATTAAGACCCGAAAATCTGAACAGAATTCCAGCTCACGTTGATGACGATCTTTTCCAGTATCTCATCAGGAAAATTCAAGAGCGACATGAAGGTCAATGGCAGGATATCTGATAGACGCGCGCGGGGATCACATGGCTAATTTAGGGCAAGCACAACGTTCCATTAGCGTCCATAAATTCGAAGCAAATCAATTACAGCCGAAATGTGCCTCAGAATAAACCCAAGAACATGGAGTACCCGCACCACGCTCTCTGAGTCCGGACTTCCAGAAGGCGATAAGCCGTAAACCATTGGAGTATCACATATTTGAGTTTGCGATACAGCAATCTAGGTCCTCGAAAGAGTAGTGCGAGTCAAGCAGGAACAAAAATACAGCCGATGTGACTAGTGCGGATATCCCTTTGTACTACAGCTATGGCTACAGCTATGGTAGAGAGTAATCCTGCCGGAGTTCGGTAAGCCGGTGCTGACATCATATTGCTAAACGTGGACAACTCTTCCGGTTTTCAAACCGTAGCGGTATCTTGATGAACTCATCCTGCAAGCTTTGTAACGGTCCAGAGCGGGAACAGAGTGGGTAAATCAGACTGCCCTCGGGCGGGATAGCAGACGTACGGTCATTCTTTGTCGCCGCTGGCCATGTTGCTGAGGCTAACTCCTAGTGTTACCTGCAACTTGTCAAGCAACCTCGCTCAGCCTGGTCATGGGAATTGGTCTGTAAGTCTCTTACTCTTCGTTTTCAATTGTTCCCTGATATGGAAGATGTTTCAGTGCATCTCGTGCATTGGTAGACATGTTACCAGTTTCTTAAGCTGTCATACCATACTTTCAGTTGTCTCCATAGCCTCATGAACAAGTTTTTGTTTCCCTCTCATGGACTTTATAAACTGCCTGAGTGATCTCCTTCAATGTATATGGGTCTGAATTCTCTTGTTTGGTCAGTCCCACAGGAGGGGGTAACCACACTAATTGTAACTTAATTGCAGGTATACTGTAATATCACTAAATGAAAATAGAATATTCTTTGTCATACCAAGGGATTTTTCTACTTGCTTGTTAGCTGATTGTATATTTATCACTTTGTCCAGATTGTATATCAGACTCAGACTCTCAGCCACTTGATTAGACATTAATACAATCTGCAAGACCATATCATATAAGCTCTTGAACTATTCTGTGCTATTTATAAAAGAGAAGACTGAGTGCAAGGCTTGCAAGTCTTTTGCTACATATACTTGCTTCAGAACTTCTCCTTTTTCTGCTGTGTCATTCAGGTATTGCTCAAAAGGATGTATGACATGAATTCTGTTTTCTTTGAGAACTTTCTCAATGGATCTCTCTTCCTATCTGCATTCATAACATCTAGTACATTGGGATATGGCATCTCTGGCTCCAGAGTTACACTGCATGCAGTCAGTATCACCTTGAGTGCAGGATCTATCTGCACTTGCTTTTTACTCACTGCTTTGGATAGATGCTCATCTTCTGAATCATCAGATGAGTCCTCTATCATCTCAGCTCTAATTACTCCACTCCTCTTCTTGTTTTTATATCCTCTGAGGATGATAGTGGATCTGACCTGGCAACTCCACTAGTCTTTATATGGCTCTTACCTGCCTTCATTGAATGTCTAGAAAAACCCTGCTCTCTTTTCACATCAGATGGTATCTGCTTGAGTGGACCATCAGGTGGTGGCTCTCTACTACAGATTCACATACCTGAGTCATTGCTAGCCTGCTGCATTCTCATTGCATACACCTGTTGTTCCAACACCTGTTTTTCTTGGAGCTATGCATTGTAGCCTTCAGAAACATGAAAAAGTTCTAGTGTGTTGATAGCAGTTATTACTATGTTTTGGCTCTGTATTGTTAGACCTAACTGGCACATGACCTGAACATATGATAAACTAACACTGCATCATGTTTGTACAGTCATGCTAGAGTCCACTTTAATATGATATGTTCTGATAGATAAAGTGCTTCAAGGCCAGAGGCAGGCTAGGCTTGAGAGAAGATAGTGTGAGATAAACTTATAGCTCAAAGCTGGACTACTACAGTGAGAGCTATCCTACTTATATACTGTTCAGCTTGTAATAAATATAACTACTGCCTATTGTACTGTTCTGTGCTATGATACTGATCCTGCCTGGTCATCAGGAGTAAGACAATAAGAAATTGTCTGTGAATGAGATGACTGAGTATAATGGCACCCTATCTGTTGTGATTACCTAATTCTCCCATGCTCTTCAAGAAAGTGCTTGAGATAAGATAGGTGCCCTGATAAGATAAGAAAAAGAAAAAAGATATGGAGAAAATTATAACATGTATCTTGCCAGCCTTTATACATGCATAGTGATCATGAGTTACTAGAACTTTCGTAGCCTTCTGTTCATTCAAGCAGTTTATCAAACTGGCAAGATAGAGAAAAGATCTTCATTCACAATACTATGGAGAAGATAACTGAAAGGATAGTATGGCAGTGAAAGAAATTGGTAACATGTCTACCACTTCTCATGTGCAGGACACACTGAAAGGTCTTCTGTGTCAGCAAAAAATTGAAGACAAGGAGTAAGAGACTTACAGTCCAATTCTCATGTTCAAAGTTGCTTGATAAGTTGCAGGTAACACTAGGAATATAGCTCAGTATTATGCCCAGCAACAATGAAGAGATAATTGTACTTTGGTTATCTCATCTATCTCAACATCCATTATATAAAAGCAGCATAGGTCAACCATGACTATGCACAACTTGTTAGCAGTAGAAGAGAGAGCTGTGAAACAAGAAGAGATGAGGAGTGTACTGGCTATGATGAAAGATTTTATAGAACAGCAGACATCTATGAGTGATAAGAGGCTCACAAATTAGAAAAAAGCTATGCTAAAAAACTAAAAGAATCTTCTGAGTTTCTTACAGCAGTAGGCTAGCTGAGTATAAGTGCCAGTCTATGATTCTGGTCTGAGAATGATGAGATACAGACCTAATCACTTGTGTGCATGTTTCTTCTGTAGAGATACTGACAGACATCTCTTGAGTGACTGTCTGATTAAGGCCTCATACATTAAAGTGGAAAAGATAGAGATAGCAGATAGAACACCATGTCTATTAAATAAAGGAGATATTTCTAAAGATATTAGAGAGCAGTATGTTAAGAAGCAAGTTGATGAGTACCACACTCCTTCATAGCATCTATCATCTGGTGTTAAGCCTAAGTATCATATGAACAGAAACACATAATAAACAGAAGCTGTCTCACACTTTGGACAGTTGTCTGAGTTCACTGATATGTATCTGATTGATGTGTCATAAGGCTATAGAACTAGGCTTGAGGTAGAATAGTATGATATAAAACTTTAGCTTGAAGCTGGGGATTACCAGCAAGAGCTACTGGTCTTAAATACTGTACAAGTCATAGCTAATAATAATCCTGCTAATTGTGTGTTGTCAAATTCTTTGTGCTTATTGTCCTTGAGTGTCACTATCATACATAAAAGGTTGATTGTGTGTCATCAGGCAATGCTGTTGCATCAAAAGACAATGACAGACTTGGTTAGTTATAATGACTAAACCTTGTCTCATGGCCTTAAGCACTTGTCATTAGTGCTCTGACTAAGCATAGATAGAGATTAAATAAGAGAAAAAGGTGAAAAAATTGTAACATCTGGCCTACTGCTCTCATTTGTGAACATAAACTGTAACTCCAACCTATTACAAGATATATCAGATCTTCAACACATATGACTTTGTCTGCAGTCCACTCACTGGATTCAATGTTATTTTTCACATTCAAATTACCTTCTCTGACATAAAAAGGTTTGACAATGTCAGGCTAAGTCTCTCTAGGAGAGTGAGAAGCATGTTTAAGGACAGATGTTGCAAGAACAGAGAAAATGATCAGACCAGAAAGAGAGTACATCAGACCTCAACAAAAAAGAAAGAGAAGTTGACATTTTATCTAGACAACCACTAAAGAACACCTTTGAAGTGCTGGTGTTGTCTACTCTCACAGACACAAGAAGGATTGCTTTTTTAATACTCATTGACAAGCTATATAATCAGATATCATACTATTGCAATTATCATTCATAATATTTTACCAGTGGATCCTTGTTACGATTTTTCCTATTTTCTTTTCTTTTTTCTCGGGAATGACCCCTATCTTGCTTAGTCAGAGCACTTAAACCAGCACTTAGGACCATGGGAATGCTTAGCTCAGCAACCCAGTCAGTCATTGTCTTATCGTATGGCTGTGCACTGTGAAGGGAGAGACAATGCTCTTTTTGTCACTAAACAGCAGTAACAGCAGCGATGACAATTCACCAGACAACAGCTTTTGTGGAGCGCCTGGCAACAGCAGGGGTAACAGCTCTACGACAGACAATATCTTTTGTGAACAGCTTTATTTATAGTAAGATAACGAAACAGTATTTAAGTAGCTTAGTTCTCGCTGTAACACTCCAGTCTCGAACTAAAGTTTATTCTCTACCATTCTACCTCGAGCTCCTGCTACTTGCAATGCCTTGGCCACTACCGCTATAACTTGTGAACTCAGTTGGACATATCCGAAGTGCGAGGTACCGAACTGTTTATCACATGTTTATAGTCACGTGGAGTTTGGGCTTAACAATCCTCTCCAGTGAAGAAAGCCTCTAGCTGACTAAGCTCAACATTTTCAAGGCAAAGAAAATGATTAATATTGGATTAACACCTCTTCTCTTCCTTTTGGCCCAGTTCAGACTGTTTCAAAGAGAATGCAGCTATGTCTATTGCAATAACTGAACCATTCAGTTTATCATTATATATAGCACTTCTTTCATTGAGAAACAGGGATGTCTATAAAAAGTATATAGCAAGAGCCCTACTAAATATCTCAGAGACTGGAGATAGAGGCCCTTTGTTTGAAACCCTCATGGTGTTTATTCTGATAGAGAACCTAGAAAAGCCAGATGAGTGTTGCCTGTCAGATATTATCTATTTCAAAAATCCTACTTCTATCTGGGCCACATCTCAATACTGACTCATTGCATTGGTAAAGAATGAATCAGATAATATATTTATAAGCAGTCCTATTGCTTCAAACTCAGATGCATCATCCTGACTCAGCTTCAAATCCACCAAGCTAGAAGACTTTCATGAATGGCTAATCAACTCTTATAGAGTTCCATTTATATTTCTTGATAGAGCAGAGAGATTCACAGTTTTGAAAAATATAATGACCAAGAAGTGAGTCTTCTTTGCTGTGCAGAATAAAGTGAGACACAATGAGCCTCTTCTTGACAATAAAAAAAAAGGTGCTTAGAGACTCATACAAATGTGATCTTAATCCTTTATGATTGTCTAATGCATATCCTGCACTATTTTTAGCTATCTGCTGACACTCATATGCTTGAGATGTGGCCTACACTTAACTCTGATAT